ACATTAAAATCAAGCATAACATAAATTTGACCTTACTACAACCCCCCTCCTCGACCTTCATGAGAGAATGAGCTATTAATTGCCAGATTTGATGAGATTTTTAAAAATTGCTAAGGACTGGGCAGATCAGCATTCATCAGACAAACAATTCAATTTATTTTATACTAACTGATACAAATGTCCAATGATAATATTGTGTTTTACATTGAGGGATACGTAATAATAACCTGTTAGTGCTTCGTGTTACACGTGTAGAAACATTGTCGTTTAGAACACATTTATTACATAACCGGAATGGTGCTATCCCACTACACATTTATACACCACGCATAATATGGACTTTTTAAACAGTTCTTTCAAAGTAGGCCAGGCTAGTATTCGAAAAACTGTTTCCGATGAAGTTTCCCAAGTATCCACTTTCAATTTATGCTGCTCGCTTGTGTAGCGTGTTTAATATTTTGTATTTTGATTCGGATGAAGATGACCAAATGGTTGAACAATAAAATGCATGGGGGAGAACAAATCCCCAGTATAATCTTTTAAGTTGATCAACATTAAATATATACTTATTTCTTCTAATTTAGCCAAGTTTTTGTTTCATGACTTTTGCAATAGAAGTAACATGAGATTTGAATGTCAGAGTATCATCAATCGTCACACACAGACACTTATATTCAGATACGCATTATAATAAAGTACCATTATTTATAAAAGATATTGTTTATCCTGCAAGGTATTCAATCGTTGTCGAGGTCGAGAACCAAGAAGCATCACTTTCGTTGTTTTATCATTTAATACCAATCTATTCTTAGATGTCCACTTTTGTCGCTTCATTATCTTTTGCATGTATTTGTTCCTTATTTCATTTATTTCTATATACGTGATGTATTTATTTCTTGTAATTATGTATTTTCTTGAATATTACTGTACCGCCAGTGGAAACTGAATTTCTATGTAACCTGTTCGCAAAGACCAAATAAAATATCTTGTATCTTGTATCTTGTAAACTTAATTCATTGCAGAATTTAGTTGGCTTTCAACCGATTCTAAATTACTTCCACTGACATACAGAGTTGCATCGTCAGCAAACATGACAACTTTTCCTGACTCTACAGGGTGTATCATAATAAAGGATATTGAAGTTTAATGACGATTTATATGAAAACTACTGATTTCATAATCAAGCACTTATGTCTGTTGTAAAGGACAGAATGTCCTCTTTTTAATGACACCCCAATCATACTTCTACTGTCACAGTTGACTGAATAACAAAGCATTGCTGTCCACCATGTCAAAGGTGCACTGTGACAAGTTAGCATTCAAAGATTAGTGCTTGTGTCAGCCCAGACATATTGAAATGCTGAACAATGAGTGGATTATGTGTCTAAGAAGGAAATGTTATCAAACTTGGCACAGTGCACCTTTCACATGGTGGACAGCAATGCTTTGTTATTCAGTCAACTGTGACAGTAGAAGTATGATTGGGGTGTCATTAAAAAGAGGACATTCTGTCCTTTACAACAGACATAAGTGCTTGATTATGAAATCAGTAGTTTTCATATAAATCGTCATTAAACTTCAATATCCTTTATTATGATACACCCTGTATACTAGAAACCAAATCGTTAATATATATTGTAAACAATAGGGGCCCTACAACCGAGCCTTGTGGTACCCCAGAGATAATTGACTTTGTATTAGATAATTTACCCCCTATTTCTGTCAATTGATCCCTAAATCAAAAGTAAGATTTAAACCATGTAAATGGATTATCAGAGCATCCTATTATAGAAAGTTTGTTAAGCAAGACATCATAGTTAACAGAATCAAAGGCTTTACGCATATCAATAAACGCTACCCCACAAAATTTACTCCTATCAACTTCAGTTGCCCAGTCATCAACCATACACAATAGAGCACTTTCACATAAATGCTTTGGTCTAAAACCAAATTGACTTACGCTGAAGAAATTTCTATTTAATAGGGATGTATGTAGATGCTTTTGTACCTATTTCTCCAAAATCTTTGAAACAATCGACAATAAGGATATTGGTCGAAAATTTTCTATACATAATCGATAACCGCCCTTAAAAATAGGGCGAATTTTGTCCAAGCACCATGCTTTTGAAAAATGCCCTTTGACAAAGAAAGGTTTAAAAATATAAATAAGACTACCTATTACATTTGCAGCATAGTTCATCATTTTCAACATTTTAACAGAGATGTCATCAGGCCCTGTGTTTTTTTTTACCGAATGGCTATCACTTTCTTTTACAACAAAATCGTAAGTAATTACGCTTAGAGGAATATCAAAAATTTGACGATCAACATGATCAAGGTCATCACAATTCTCCTTTGGCAATAGACAATCGACAATTACATCCGGACTTGTGGTTTCACTGACTCACCAATCTGCATTTCCCAGTAGTTCTGAAACACTATCAATAAAGTAGTCGTTCAGTTTTTCGGCAACAATTTCAGGCTGATAAATTTCACTATCATTGATATTCAATTTTATGGAAAGCTGATCAATGCCAGAGGACAATTGCTTTAAAATTGACCATAATGCACCAGGATCATCAGACTTATCTTGTAATAAACACTGTATATACTTTTGTTTAGATTTTTTAGTTAAACTTGTTAATATGTTTCGTATTTCGATATTCTTTCCATAAAATTGAGGAGTTAAACTTCAAAGCCGTATTATGGAGATACTTATTTTATTTATCAATGTAATAATATCACCTGTGATCAACTCTGTATAAGACGGGGCCCTGGTGCGACAAATTACTATCATTGTTATTATTATTTTCATTATTATTACTATTAATATTGCTATTAGTATTATTAGGTGATACGTACGTAGACGTATCACCTTTTGATTTCGTCAAGATTTTTATTATTTATTTATTTATTTATTTATTTATTATTATTCTTCCTCGAATTTGTTCGCAGGATATCTCAAGACTGAATAAAGCCATTATCATGAAACTTGCTATGATGATAGATCTTAGTCTAACTTAGAACTGCATGACTTTTTAGAGAGTCAAAATTATCGTGACGTCATCCAGGCGCCATTTTGTGAAAATCAACTAATGATCATATCTTCATGACGGAAAAGTATTTCTCATTCATAATTATCACGATTAAGATAAATATCCGTCCGGTCAAGTTGAGGTCAATAAAAGTGCGCAAATGCGCGCGTGCGCGTTCGTCCGCGCGTTTACGCGCGCGCAAAAATTTAAAATGCTCTAAATCATCCCAAATTTTTTTTGCATACGTTTCAGGCCATATGGAGCATTTGATAAAAAAATTACGCACACGCGCATGCGCGCGCGTTTTCGCGCGTACTGGCATTTTGCAACATAGAATCGCCGATTTTTTTCTGTCATCATATTCGGTACATTTTTCCAAGCATTTTGATAATTTGTTCACCTTTTATTTACGCAACGAGCGTCCGTCAAAGTTGACAGCACGCGCGGATTTACGTTATCTTTATCCACAATACATGGGCAAAAACATGCCTACATAAAATTCATTGTAACTCTTTAGAATAGATAGAAACTCCTAATATTTTTTCATATTTGGATAGATTATGAGTCGGAGATATGATTTCATGTCTCATTTTATCCTCAATTAACTCATGACGTCATCATAATGGCCTCCAAACTCAAAAATTTAATTTGCATATTATGACGTCAGCATATTTTTGGAAAATTGATTGTATCTCTGTAAATGTGGATCAATTTTCTTTTTAATTTTGATATGTTCTAGCTGAGACAATTTTCTACAAATGTAATATTCACAATTTTTATTTTTGACAAAAGTATCAGGGTGTATTTTTGCGATTGAAGGAGGCATGTCAATTTTTCGCATTTTGCGTGTATTCTCTATGGGACATGACTTTTTCTCAAAACTGGATCCTACACTCCTGTCTTTCGCGAGCAAAATCTCCGTTGTTTTAGCTTTGTTTTCGCTGAGCTTTGGATATGTTGTAGCTGAGACAATGAGCTATCAAAAGTGTGCCTTTTATTTTTCGATTAGATGCCAGGATCAAGCTCATATTTCACTTGCAAAGTAGGATTTCTGAATTCCATTTCCCGTTTACGTGTAATCGCTATGGGAGATGTTTTGGTATATCGGTAACGCACTTGACTTCCAACCTCGAGATCCCTGGTTCGAGTCCGGGTGTCTCCAACACTTTTTTTTCCTCACTTTTTTTTCCTTTTGACCTTCACTGTACCATCTCCTTTGATTATTTAAACACGTAGATTCGCAAATAATGTCATAAATAACCCTTTTTACTTTATTATTACCCTATTTTCACTTAATCCATTACTTTTTGCGTGTAATCCCTATGGGAGATGACTTTTTCTAAAATCTGGAGTCTACATTCCTGTCTTTTGCGAGCAATATCGCCGTTATTTCGGCTTGGATTTTGTTGATTTTTTAGTATGTTGTAGCTGAGACTATATGCTATCTAAATCAACCCTCATTTTTTCAATAAGCTGTCATGATCGCGCTCATGATCATGATCATGATCATCATGATCATCATTATCATAATGATGATAATCATTTATCAATTACATTTTCATTTCTTTGAATAAGATAAAAATCGTCAAAAGGTGTTCTTCATGATGTAAATTAGAGTCAAATGTGTAACTGGTTACTGCACAGGGTCGAAGGTCATATATTGTTTCAATCTATCTTCCCTAGATCCATGATGATCAAGGAGACACAATTTAATCTTGACATATGAATAGATCATAATGGGAGAAGCATATGAATGGGAGAAGCAGTTTACAAAATAATATATCGTGTAATGCATTATTCGTTATGTAGACCATTATCATACGTATCACCTAATTCGTCTAAGTGACGAATTAAAGTCTAGTTATTATTTGTTGTTGTTATTGTTGTTATCATTATCATCATTATTATCAATATTATCATTTTCATCATCATCATTATGATTATCAGTACCAATGATATACCTACTTGTCCACTTGCCGGTGGTCTCTCCTTTTCGATCAAGGCAGTTCTCACTGAGAGGACGAAAGAACTTTTCCCATCCCTCCTCGGCATAGTCCCACCCCTTGGACTCAAGGATGAGCGTTCTCCCAGTCCCGTAAGCCATTATCATGCAGAACGACAAATGATGAGTCTGGCAACCGAAGCCGCATCTCACTTCAAAGTTGCACACGATCTTCTTGGCCTTGCTACAATCTGGAGGGTTCTGTTGAAAAAAGATTAGGACGGAGAAATCACACTAGTATGGATTTAAAGAGAAGGTTGAGTTCTGGGAAGAGGTAAAAAAATAATTTGTGAGCGTTATCATTGTTATCATGCAAGTGTGGAAGAACATCAGATACATGTTCCCTGAAAAGCATGGCTCTTAAAATACCTTAATATTCTAAATATGGCAAGTAACGGCATATAACTCGGGACGGATTTTTAAGCCACATGTTCAAGTCGTGTAGTCCCATATACATCTTTCTGTGTACAGTGCTTGTAACTTTACGAAGACCGGGCCAAATTTCTTATTATTTTGATGATTCCAGAACCTTGCAGTGCACACCAATACTTATATGCTAGATGATTAACCTTTTCTGGTCGGTTCCACACCGTTTCTTTCACAATGCAATCGCATGACCAAAACTCAACTTTATCTTTAAAGACGATCGCAACGACTTTCCGGTAAGAAACTTATTTCAATACCATTTTTTATCGTTTTAAATCATGTTCGGTTGAAGTCATGGTTATTGTTCATATTTTTTAAAAGGGGACTCCAAGACTATTGGAAATGACTTTAAAATCTATCCGATCATGTTTTCGGTAGACCATTTTTCTTACATAAATATCTCATGGAAATCTAGAGACAAATTGGCCTAACTCTGCCCATTACTATACCTGAAGAAAATGAAGTCTCTGCTGTATAAGATTTGAGAGCTTTTTCGACTCATTTTGTTTCCATGATGAATTTCCATCTCCTTGACTCAAAGTGTTATTATCCAATATGATGTACCTGGGAAGAAATTCAAAAGATTAAAAAAAGGTGATAAAACAGGTTATTCCTTTATCAGAAGATCAGACCAACCAATGAATAAATTAACAAAGACACCGTTCATTTAGATTGGGTCATGAAGTTTATTGGACACAATAGAATTAAAAGTCGAAATCTGTACTTTGATTAAAGGTAACATATATACTTATACTAAACATATCTATAGGAAGAAGACTGTTGTTCTTTTAACTAATGTCCATGTAGAGTTTAAATATGGACAGTCCATATGAGAAATAACTCTCTCTCCCTCTCTCCATCTCTGTCTCTCTTTCCCCCTTTCTCTTCCTAACACCAATTTTTCCAGCCATTCTTTGTCTATTTAGGATTACCGTAGTGGATATTAAGTTTTGCAGGGGGTGGGTAGTGCTCCCTTCCTATGATTTTCAATATTTGGTAGATAGAAAGAAAGAAGATTGGCGAAATGAAAGAACTGTTAATTACTTTTGTTCTTGGGCATGTTTCCTGATATCCTTGCTAGGTGAGTCGTGCTCGAAATGCTTACTGTGCTGGTTAGACCAAAGAGATTGGTCGAATACGTTGAGGCTGACGATAACCAAGGCTAGCGTAATCGTCAACATCAACTTGTATAATTTGTTCATGATCACGACTCTCCCTCGTTAGGCAACCAAACGTATTTCTACTTTCTGCATTATAGATTAAGATAATGACATAGACAGCGTCAAATTAATCGGTATCACAATAATGTTAAAGGTAGTTGGCGTGTCACATCTCTTGAAAACAGAAGGTCGTTTCTTCCCCCTATTCTCCCTTTCTATAGGGTTTGGTCCATAGATTTAGAAAAGGTCCCCAAATTCACAAAATTAATAATGGCAAAGGATTGGCAAATAATTGGCTAATCTTCGCAAAAACCGTCAGTAACATTTGCTTACAGACGCTAAAAGTCGCCAACTACCTTTCGCAAACACTTTCGCAAACAATCGCTCAAATGTTGTGAATTGTCGCTAAATGTCGCTTAGGGCAGAGGCGAACAAAATTCTCAACGTTCGTAAAGGGTGTCTCAACGCTAGCTCACAAAATAGCGGCAAAGACCACGCGAAAGACGACGGACGTGAATATCACAACATTCACACAAAAATCACAAAAAGCGACTGCAAAAAGGGGGAAACCAAAATTCACTGACGGGTGGGAACGACCTTCAGCGACGGCACGACGGCAATGGAAGAATGGCTGCGGCAGGGAACGGAGTCTATAGCGACCAACATCGGACGTTGTCTGGGCGGCGGTGGGTTGCAGCGACAATGACGTGACTCAGCGGTCGACATCAAAGCCAGTGTGTGTGTACGGGTCCTATGTATAGTCGAGTTTGGCGTTCCCACTCTTACCAACGTTCCGGTCATCTACTCAGACAATGGTCGTTGATAACGACTACAACGAAATTGTGACGACCTCAAAACGACTACAGACGGAATCGCACGGCATGGAAACGTCAAGGATATGGGGGTTGCGGTCTCCAACGAAATCTGAACGGAATCACAACGAATTTTGTTGCCGCCACAAATTTTTTACCATGCTGAAATTTGCCGACGGACGCGACTGATTATTTCGGCCGTCTGCGGTCACTAACGGATTCGTCAGCGACGATTAAAGGCAACACACGATGATTGGCAGGAAATTCAAAATTGCAACCCCCCCCCCCCCCCCCCCCTATTCGTCATAGTGTGAGCCTGCCTCAACGAACGTTGCGATTTTTGATTCGCCAACTTTTGTTACGAATGTCAGGGTGCGCTTTTGAGACTTTTAGCGACTTTTAGCGATGTTTAGCGACAATTAGCAACATTTTGAGCGAAAGTTTGCGAAAGTGTTTGCGAAAGGCAGTTGGCGACTATTAGCGACTATAATGTGAGCGACATTTTTTGCGAAGATAAGTAACTATTTGCCAATCCTTTGCCACTATTTGTGAATGTTAGGATCTTTTGCTAACTCTTGGTACTCAATGGTCGATGTTATAATGATAGAAACCATATGGTAGCGGGGTCGCTAGCATTAGAGAATCAAAAAGAACGTCAGCGACACCGTCTTACAACCGTTTGTAAAGGCTTGCGACTGTTTTGCAAACGCTTGCAACTGTTTACGGAAAAATAAGTGCAACAAGAAAAACTGTTTGCGACAATGAAAAGTGTTTGCGAACTTTCTTGCAACTTTTAAAAAACCTTTTGCAACCTTTTAAGAACCCTGACGAAACCCCAAATTCGCCACGTTCTGTAGCATTCGCCGCTTAGTGAGATACCCCCTTAAACCATTTATCACTTTATTCAGTTCAAAAAGTGATTGTTTATTTGAAACGAGTGGGCCCTAAAAGGAAACTTTATTGACACTTGTCATAATAGTTTATCATCCCTCTATATATTTCTTTCTATCCAATCTCCATTATCATAGTCATCATTGTTATCATTATCATCATCATCATCATCATTAACGTCATCATCATTATCCTTACATTTTGCATATGCTTTCAATTATTTGTCCATTCTGCTTAATAAGAAAGCTTGGCGGGATACCGTCATGCAATCATTAAAAAAAAAAATATTTTAGTCCCAGTCCTCTAGAGAAGTACAATATCAGACCATTTGTGTTAGGTCAATGATCAGACCAAGGGGATATCACAGCGATCTGTGATAGTTCCTTGATCAGACGGTCAACATTTATACTTCGCTCCCCAAATATGTTAATCAGAGGACACATGTAATCAGGTGCTGGGTATAATAAATACAAATAACAGTAATGAACAATAATAAGGGCGGAAAAAATAATCATAATTATTCCGTCCAATAACTTACCGCGTAAACGCCTCTAATGTGAAGCTAGTAGACAAGAAATGTTTAGATATTCCAAGGGAGGGGTAATATAAATCATGGAAACAAGGCATACATTGAAGCTAGTAAATCCAGGAAAAACATGCCCACATTTATCACGATCGATTTGTACTAGTAGCAACTGCTCGTTCCTGTGATCCGTCGAGCGCTCAAATGTCTGTTAAAACTACGTGTACTGCCCTCACACTGAGTGCAATATTATAAGTACCGGTATTATCTTTAAATGATATACCGATACTTATTTGGACGCTTTCGACAAGAAACCTTCTTAATCAATTAAAACTATCAAGAGATATCAATATTTATTTGACTACTTTTTATTTCATATTAGTCGTGTATAAAGGGGGCTCCGCAACAGGGTAATGGTGTTCACCATGTTTTAATGCGAATTCCTCAGTAAAACACAATGTTTTGCTAAAACGATATCACCGACTGATCTTTTGAAAATTGGAACTCATATTCTATGGTTTAATGCGGTACCGCGCGCACCGCGTCTAATCTAAAAAAAAAAAAACACCCCTTTATAGCCACCTTGACACTTGCACGAATTTTTGTTCCCGCATTGCCCAGCATTGAGGCGTGCCAGTGCGTGACATTTAGTTGCACGGAGACCGTGTATCGTTCGTGCAATGCGTAACAACATGACATGCATTGTCCCGTCACGTTTACGACATACTTACGTCATACTTTTTTTTCTTCAAATGGACCTGAAAATAATTTGAATTCAGGTATTATGGTTACCCATGTCAGTGCTCACCTATCTATCTCTTCATATATCAATTTTGCGGATGATTTTAACCAATATACACTGTTGGTCATAATGGTGGAATAATTATTTTTACCCCAATTTTTGGAATGATTTTGACAATGATTTATTCCTAATAGATCTAGATAATAGTATACATTCTCAGATTATATTGAATGACAATTGGGGACTGTTTGTTTTGCGTGATTGCTAAAGCATGTGTGTGCTACTATGCTAATCAACTAGGGGACCTACGTCCTTAAGTCATAACTGACAGTAATGGGGATTATGTCTCATAAAAGGGCACTAATATAGCACATCGACACGATTTTTATCCTGGGGGCTCACAGTAACGAGGACATTGCTTAGCCAATGAATCATTTTCCCCCGATCCCCAACAGGAAAAATCTCCTGTAGGGTCATGCATTATGGTTCAAGGCATGCCTACATAGAGGATTTGTTTATGCTGGGGGTCGGGGCAAAATCCAATGAATTATTGAAAATTTATTGCCATTTCTTTGTTTTTTTTATTTTGTGGGGGCATCGACGTACCCTAGCGCCCGCTGCGTACAGTCATGATTTATTGGCTAAGCAATGGCCTCGTTACTGTGAGCTCCCAGGATAAAAACCGTGTCGATGTGCTATATTAGTGCCCTTTTATGATGCATTAATCCCCATTACTGTTAGTTATGACTTAAGGACGTAGGTCCCCTAGTTGATTAGCATAGTAGCACACATATGCTTTAGCAATCACGCAAAACAAACACTTCCCAATTGTCATTAAATATAATCTGAGAATGTATACTATTATCTAGATCTAATAGGAATAAATCATGGTCAAAATCATTCAAAAAATTGGGGTAAAAAAATTATTCCATCTTTACTTTTTATTCTATGCTAGAAGGAAACTTGAAACTGTCCAGAATCGTGCCGCTAGATTAATCTTTGGCCTTGGGTCAAGAACTCATACTTCACCTTTACTTAAGGAGCACCACTGGTTACCTCTCTACCAACGTGTTCTGTTTAAATTCTGTTTGTATGCTTTTAAAATACTCAATCATTTGGCACCTGAATATCTGACACCCTCCAAATATATACGCCAACTCGTAATCTTCGTTCAGCAACCGACACATGTAAACTTAACATTCCCAAATCTAGACTCTCAGCAGCTGAAAAACGCTTTGCAGTAGCTGCATCAAAGTCTTGGAACAGCATTCCTCTTTCCATAAGGGAAATTACCTGTCTTGCCACCTTCAAAAGATCCCTCAAAACTCACCTTTTTCCCCAATGATCTATGTGATATACTTCCTGTACTGTATGTTTTTGTCCTCTTTTCATATATTTATATTTGTAAGCGCTGTGATGCTTATTGTTTTTAGTGCTCCTAAATATTCGATATTATAATTATTATCAAATCGATGATAAAAGGGAGAAAGGGTTTATTTTTTTCAGTATTTCTTACATTCTTTCTTTTGTCAATTTCCTTTTAAGATCCTTGATACTTTCTAATTTCCTTGTATTCTTTTTTTTTAATAAAGACATTTGAGGCTTTGACCCGGGCGGTCCGGGTTGATTTGCCCTGCAGTCCGGATACGGACCGCGGACCGGACTTTGAGATGAACTGCTTTAGGAATCCTATTGATCCTGCTCATGAAGTTTTTGTCATTCTGGCCACTTTTGTCAGAGGTATTTTGCCAGGCGTTATCATAAGAAAAGGATTTGGTGCCCTGATGGTAGAAAAAGTGTTCAAATTCACCCTCATCAATAACAATATGGTCATTTCGGTCATTTTTTGGCACTACGCTTAGAAAGTGTGATAGAAAAAAGTAAATAAACCGACTGTAAGAATGAGGGTACGTGCAGATACTTCATTTTTCGTGTTTCTAAAATGGAAAATTAAAGAACAAAATATTTAAATTCAATTCAATTCAATTCCATTCGTATTTATTTCATTTCTAACAGAAAGATAAACAAAGGCATTACAGATATTGTTACAGAAAGTATGAAAACAATGTATACATATTCATTTTTTATCTTAATAAGTACACAATCATATAGCCTAACACTGTACACATAATAAAATCATTACAAGAAATTCTTACTTTCTGAGGAAATGGGAGGGATCCACTAAAAAGAAGTGCTTGTAGTTTTTGGATCCCCCAGAAAAAATAAAATTGTTTTAAATTGTGCTTACGAAGACTTGGAAAACACAAAACAATATTACAAAACAATTAGCAACCACGAAACGACAAGGAAAAAGAAAACCGATAAAGAAGAAGGACAAATCATGATCGAAGAAGAAGTAGTTATATTGGTGATTCTAGGAAGGTAAGATCATGTTGAGTAAAAACAGTTTCTATTTTCGCAGTCACGAACTTCAACTTCACGAAATTCATGTGCAGTGACTGCAGTCAATGGTCTTTTTAAATCTCTTCAAGTACCATCTACTCAAAAGATACTTTGTTTATTCAGAATTGTTATCTCCAATATAAGATTAATGTTTTGATGAATTTTGATCAATTACTGCGAGCGTAATCTTTAAGAATTACCTTAATTTTAATCGGGTAATTTTAAAATGCCACTTTTCTGTATACTTCGTAAGTTATGTGAATATGGATGCAATATAAGAATTAGGACATACTCTGCAGGATCAGGATTGTATCATGTTTATGTTAATTTTTAGACATTAAATAGCAGGGCTATTCTATTCTATTCTTCTTCATTCTTATTTTCTTTAAACCTCTTAAATTTTTATAATATTTTTCTTTAAATCTTCTTCCAGTTATTTAATTTATTTATTTTAGTTTTAATCTGTGAGTTGTTTAGTAGCAGTTGAATAGTAGCTACGTTAGTCTAGTAGTAGCTTAACTATTTGTTGTTGTTCTTCTTCTACCACTTTACAAATTATGTTGTTAGATGAAAGGTGTGGCAATTTCTCAAGCGTTAAGCTTGTATTGTCATACATCTGTATGCTTCTGTATTATTTGCAATTGCAAATGTATAATGATCGTAATCTCCCAGTGTTTACTACCGTGATGGTCATGATCATATTATGTAAACTGTTGAACCATGCAGAAATGAATAAATCAGGTTTGATTGGAAGGAATGGATCAAGGTTTGACATCGTTCGCTATGTAGAGGGCGACCTTCAAACAACACAACATTTACTGCATCACTTTATTCTGAGTCTCCCCAATGAATGATGGATTTAAAAAATACCTTCGATTTCCATTCGCATGAGATGCTTGATAATTCATTAAAGTTTCGTGATTATTGCACCATGTTTGATTGCCTAGCTGAAGGAATAAGCCAGTTTACAGATACAATCTGCGCATGGGCAGCTAAAGGTCATTTGTACCAAAATGGTAAAACCCACAGAGATGAACACTGGATACGCGCTCATGAAAGTTATGTAACATTATTCATTTATGCACCAACGGTACATTCTATGATACGCAGGTGGAAGTGTTCTTTTCAAGAGGTCAAACAATAGGTATTCATGAAGCACAAGTATGATTTTGGCAGTTATAATTCTAAGATGCTCAAAGTGGAACTTCTCCATGTGTAAAAGATCTGTGGATATTTGGGGTCATTTGTACCATGTGCTATCTGTAAACTCCCTTATTGTTCAAAGGAGTGGTTCAACTTCGGTTGGTAACGGGCGACCTTCCACACCAGCATTAATGTTATCAATACAGTTCTGCATTACTTTATTCAGAGTGTCCCCAACGTGTGATGAAAGATGAGGCGTGATGATAACATTGGGGAGGTGTAGGAGAGGATGATCTTTAGCTAAAGGCTCCGGATGAGTGGCATCTAAAGCTGCTCCACGGAGCCTACCATTACGTAAAGCATCTACCATCGCATTTTGATCAATGATCAAACCTGGAGACGAAAATATAATCAAATTCAAGTCAAATGTTCCACTGTAAAACGACACGTAGAAAAATAACTGTCAAATAATCACAAGTAACAACCAATATGTGCGATCATTATAGAAAAAAAGATTATAAAGGCTTGTAAGAAAAACCCCTTAAAGGTACTATGTCCCTTTTGCAGCCAACCTCAAATGCTGTAGAACTTTGCAGGAATTATGAATATGTCATGTATGTCCTATCTGTGAAATTTAAACGTTAGCAGTGTCCTCATATTCAAATTATGCGAGGAAACCCATTTACTTGCTAGACTTCACTGTCAGACACTATTGAGTGACTGACTGGCTTTTTCTTCTTTGGTAATAACATACATGAAAAGTTAGAGTTGTAAAGGGTACATGAGCATTTGTCTACATCAATAACCCACTTCTTGTGATAGCCAAGATTAAACTGATTGAATCTTTGCGCAGCATAAAACGTATGACTATTCAGTACAATTGTCTGAAAATCAAGACTATTACTTTTGGGCTCTATAGCCCTAAAGTCGATTTGACAACTTATAGTCGTTATTTTCCCACTTGAAGACATTTTCAAGCCCCACCTTTTTTAGGGAAGTTCTAAAATAGTATTATCTTTCAAATGCAGTTGGAATTTAACCTTTTCATTTTTTTGGCCTGCAAATGGGACATAGCACCTTTAAAGATAAAGACCAGTTCTGGTCATGCGATTGCATTGTGAAAGAAACGTTGTGGAATCGATCAGAAAAGGTTGATCATCCAGCATATAAGTATTGGTGTGTACTGCAAGGTTCTGGAATCATCAAAATTATAAGAAATTTGGCCCAGTCTTCGTAAAGTTACAAGCACTGTACACAGAAAGCTGTTTATGGGACTACGCACACGTGCGCGACACGTGCGTTTATCTCTTACATACTAATAGATAAACTAATTTACCAAATATATCAATTAGTAGGCGGTTTCCCGGCAAAATTGTTATCATCATATATTAGTCAAAACATATTCTTTCACATGATTGGTAATAAGAGCTTCCATTTCATTTTTTGAAATTGGGGCGTTTCCAATACTGGTCTTTACCTTTAACATAAAGAACAAATCTACAAGGAGGAAGTATAAATCAATAATTTGTGCACAAAATAATCATAAGGAGGGAAAAGAAGAGAAGAAGGGGAAGCATTTACATCAATTTACTATATTAAATTTTGACTCATGTTTTCAAGGGGACGTCTTTTATAAAGTCGTTTCAATTGTTTCATAACCACACACAAAAGTTATATTCAAAGCTATCCAAAATCATGCATGTCATCGCATATCAACATTTACCGCGGTTTTGCCGGTAGTTTTTTTTTATATAGTTTTTTAATAAGATGACAATTAAAAAGTCTGAATACTTTATAATATCTTCAACAAATATGAGGAACAAGATCAACTCCATGAAGCTCCAAGTTGGCAATGTGTCTGTCTCTCCTACGGTAAGCGCCTGTAACCTTGGGGTCTACTTTGATCAGTCCATGAAAATGGACAGGCACATTTCACAGGTATGTAACACTGCTTACTTCCAGCTTCATAACATTGCAGCCATTAGACCATTGCTTACGAGGATGGCAGCAGAAAGCCTTATCCGTTCACTTATATCCTCTAGACTTGATTTCTGTAACAGTCTCCTAGCTGGCCTTCCTTGTGCATGCAACCTTGAACAGACTTCGAGCGGTACAGAATGCAGCAGCACGTTTGCTTACTGGGCTGAGGATGCATGATCACATCTCTCCTGTCCTGGCTGAGCTACATTGGCTTCTTGTCAAGAGCAGAATTGAATTCAAGGTTCTGCTGCTCACATTTAAGGCAATTCATGGTCAGACCCCAGGATATGTGTCATCTTTAATCGAGCGGCGTCATCTTCGCCCTGGACTTCGCTCATCTGGCCTTACTCTCCAGATGCCCATTACTCATCTCAAGGGATATGGAGACTGGGCATTTTCCTCTATTGCTCCTCGCCTGTTGAATTACCTCCCATCATCTATTCGCAAAATTGACAACCTGGACCACTTCAAAGCTTCACTCAAAACTCACATCTTCCTTCAGACATTTAAATGCTAACTCGATTAGAGGAGCTCGCGCCTTCGAATGGTTTTTAAACAGATATATGGCGCCATACAAATGTTGTGAATCATCATCATCATCATCATACGACCTGCGGTTTGACCAGGGACGTGATAGAGAAGGACTGGAATCAAGCCGCTCTCCTTTGACCCCATGCTCCAAGCCGCCGAAAAGTTATGCGCTAATCTACAACTGTTGACCAGGTGGTGAGATAAAAGAGCGCATGAAATTTCAGGATTTAGAATTCCTACATCAGAAAATAGTATCACTGCAACTGTTCGCTGTCCCTTCCAATGATTTCTCATCCATTGTTGAATGTGTAAAGAGTAGAACAAGCGAACACAAACTTGTGTACTTTCATCCTTTTTTAAACATGAAAAATACAAAAAACACGCGAAAACACGCATTAGCAAACTTAATGTTATTGAAGATTGTAAATCATGGATCAAATAACGGGGCATTAAAGCATGCACAAATTAGCGCATCATCCTAAAATATTGAGTTTTTGACAGGATGTAATTTTTCTTTTACCAACTCTGGCACACAAATTAAAGGAAGGACGGAGTTCTAAATTTGAAAATTTGTTTGATGCACTATTCCAAATAAAATCCCCATATAAAGTTTTTGATTTACACTAAAATTTTGCCGGTAATTTAATATTTTGTAATAAATGTAAAACTGGTGCCTGGCTTCCGAAAGTCCCCGCAGTGGAAGCGCGGTTCGGAGCATGGAACTTCAAAGCCAAGTGGAATGTTACACATCCCATTGTTACGCTTTAGAACTCAAGAATGCGTTTGAATAAATTACAAGAGTTTCGCCTCCTTTTCTTTCAACCTCCCTGGTTTGACGGATCATTATTATTATCACCACTATAACCACCAACACCACCACTATCAAACCACCAATGAGAATTAAAGACATTAAAGGCAAGTTATACAAACAAACCTCTTCCTCCGTTCACAATGATAGCAGTAGGTTTCATCAGGTCCAATTGTTTCTTGCCAACCAGGTGCTTGGAATCTTTGTTCAGACTACAAGTTATTACAAGATAATCCAGCTCAGGAAGCATTTTCTCCAATGATTGGCAATAGGTGGCGTTCACTTCTCTCTCTTCAGCTGCACTTCTATAAAAAATTTCAAGACGGATGAGAATTCCAGACTTCATTTTAATATCTTAAATCGGAAGGGACTGAAAAGACACTAAGCTCTGTTTGTGAGGGGTGCTTGGGGGGTCCGCAATATTTGTTGATGTGTTTTCCTAATTGATTGATTGCTTGATAAATTGATTGATTGATCGATTGATTAATTTTCAATTTATTGTATTCATCAAGTGTAATTTGAAATATATGAGACAAATAATAAAAACGGGAATAAAATATAACTCGATACGGATAACTAAAGACAGCGTATTACCAATGGGGTCCGAGCTATCATTTTGTTAATTCTTTAATAGAAACCTACATAGGTGTAAATAAAAAGAACAAATATTATCCGCGGGATACGCCTTATGTGATTATGTTTTTATCATAAATTACACTTTTAATTGAAAATGGTGTTTCATAAATACTAATTCTGGAGTTCTGTTGTCATTTGAATTATAATGTTTGTTACAAGTAGCTCACTGAAATGTATCTTTTGTCAAAAGGACAAGGGGAGATTTCTTTCTCGAGACAAAAAACATGGCTTCTCTAAACAGGTGGCCTTCATAAAGAGGTAGCCACAAAACAGGTTTGGCAGTACCTGTTTATCGGAAATATGAATCAAGAAAGCGGTGTCAACGTATTCTTTCAAACGTTTCCATCACTGGATTTTGCTAATATCAATTTACCTCTGTGTACGATTATGATAGAGGACTTTCATTTTAAATCCTGTAGCTCTCCTCGCGACCTCATAACCGATAGATCCCATGCCGAGGATGCCGAGTCTTGCTCCAGACACTGCGACTCCTATTGGAACATTAGATTTAACCCAACCAGGCTCAGTTTCTTCATGGCCCTGTGCGTGGGCTATACCTGTATACAAAGGAAAGTCCCAAATGATGACGATATCTTAGAACTTTAGGGTATTTGTATTGCTGTACAGATATCAAATTGTTAATAAATCATAGCAAACGTAGACATTTTATAATCTATTATCCATTGATAATTTTTATTCAAACTTTCAGGGAAGTTTTTAATCGTCAAATTCTAAGGAATATGGATAAATCAATCAACTTCTCTCAAAACTGAGTCGAAAGTTAATCGATATTTTTTAAGGAGAAGTCCTCCCTGATATTTATCTTTCTTTAATAAAAGCATAAATCGAGAGAAACAGATCAGTAACAATTTTTTAGCAATATCCGGGCCATTGAAAATCTAAAAATATTATGAAGTTTTAAAGTTGTGATGAATCAAACATAAATTCTCAAATCCGGTCATTTTTCTGTACAGAGCAAATAGAACAAGACCTCGTAATTATACGTCACAGAGTTGCAAACTTATGTTTGATTTATTACAACTTCTAAAAATTCATAACGTTCTTATTTTTCAAACTGATCTGTTTCTCTCGATTTCTGCTCTTGTTACAGCAAAACAAATTCAGTGAAGACTTCGACTTCAAAAGTATTTATTAACTTCTGATGTGGTCTTGGGAGTAGTTGATTGATTTATCAATAGGCCTTAGAATTTAAGAGAATAATAAGAAAGACGCACCATATCATTGTAGCCACCCATATCTTGCTCCCTATTACCTTCTGGAGTGATCGACTTTTCATACTTTAATTTTTTCAAAAGTTATAGCACCATTACGGTATTCAGTTAGAGCCTCTTTAATAAGGATACACCGTGTCAATGTGCTCATCTTTCATCATAGTTTAATAAACGATTTCTCAGAAACCGTATTGACCAATTAGTGCCAATTCTTTGCACTCCACTTACATAAAATCTGCAACCGATATTATGGTATGCTATGGTATTCATCACCAAATTATTTTAAAGAGATGGGCTATGCTTGTTAAATTAAATAATATGGGATGTGTTTTCACATCTCATTTCTTACATCGAATTTAGGTAGATGCATAGTTCTGCATGTAAAGCAAAGCCATGTTTTCTAAACTATACTAATTCAGCCCTTGAATTATAAGGTAATGAAAAATATGCCATAAAAGTATACTGGTAATTATTCCAGCAGAAGCGATGTGCCAGTATTATATGGGTAGTGATAATGGTAATACAAAGGGCTGTCTTATTGACTATTCATTCTTCACTCGCATAAGTTAGTGTATCAAATCATACAAAACTAGGTACCGTAATTTTATGCACACCAGACGAAGGTAAACTCTTAAAACTAAAATGCTAAATCGCCATGTAAAAGGGCCGAGGAATGAACTGTTTTTCTAAATGTCAGATTAACATATTTAACATGCTACATTCAAACATTATAGTGTTAGATCCAGCACGTTCAAAGTGTTAATTTGTTTTAAGAGTGATCACGGGGATATACTATATGAAAATTGATATTAGAGTTTAGTATACCTGTCCCGCGAGGTACTCGTTTTTCCGAAGGATATTTTTTTACGAAGATTTATAATTCCGAAACACAAATTTCCCAATAATTCTGAAATAAATTCTGAAATATTACGAAGGTTCTTAAGTACAAAGATTCATAATTCATAACTTTTAGAATTATGATTTATGAACCTTGTGGAAAATGACATGTAATCGTGATCACGGTGCCCTATGAGCAATCAAACATTCATCATTTGTTTGGACCCCTGAACATCTCATGTTATCAACTCTCGTTCTCTAGGAGTCACCGATTCTAACAGAAATGGTGGGATTTGTTAGATATAATTTCGATAAATCGTAATGTTTTATTATTGTCAAACAAAGAAAATGGACCTCATTCCGTATAAAATAATCCCCAAATTTTAAACTATATAACACTTTATTGCGTAATCACATTTTCTCAAAGTTCTGGCATACCAAGCAAAAGCCAAAATTTATTCGGCCGAACAGCAAAGGTCAACCGAAGAAATTAAGGGTATTGAGGGTTTGGGATCAGTGACGTAATTGTCTCCTATTAATATAACAGTGTCAAACATAGTAAACCAAGCTTTGATTAAGGGGGTGGTCGCTTACATTCTGGTAATCTTCGAGCTGCAGCGATGAGCAATCCAAAAACAAAATCAGCACAGGTGTCATCCAGGATACCACGTGCATGACCAACTTTTATACCTAGTTTCCATAGTAACGGTAGATCCAGATGGTTTGTACCTGTACTATGGGTGGCTAACACCTAAGGGAGAAGATGGAAATACAGAGAGAGAGAGAGAGAGAGAGAGAGACTGGTGAAAATACGAGTATTAATATATTATTATTATCATCATTTATATCAAGTAACTTTGAAGGAAAGCAGCAAATCAAAGTTTGCCACTACCTCATAAACTAAACACACTTTGTTTTTTCGAAGGATTTTATCATAATACACAATATTTCAGTGTTTTTTTTTTATTTTGTAGCGGTCACCCCTAAATAGGAGGGGCGTCCAAAAAAGCGGCCCTTTTGAGGCGAAATAGTATTTCGTAAATATTTTTAAGGTAACCTCTTAGCACCATGGCTTTGGAGGCATATGAAAGAGAGTTAAATTGTCTGCATTTTAATACCTACATTTTTGCGTAGTTGGTAATAATAGACATCACAATTTTAAGTAAAAATATAATTGTTGTGATAAAAAAAAAAATTAAAAATCAAAAAAACATTATTTTCAATAAGCCTATATCGAAATTGTAGTTTGTTTTTTTATGTGTGTAACTTTCCAGAAACCTTCCCAGGTACAAGGGCAAGATATTGTGTGAAGGAGTGGTTTGTTCTCTTTTCAGTGAGAAGTTATAGCAATCCAAAGTTATTGACTTGATTACAACAAAAACGATATCTTGGCACATGTAAATTAATTAATCCCAATTCCACTAAAATTCGTATAAAAATAAAAAATAATTTAATTTTCTCAAATTACACCAGACTCACGGTGGTTCCAAGTTTTCTTCAAATATTATTTATCAAAAAGTTGTTTTTCGTTTAAAGGACCCCCTTTGATTTAGGGGTGACCGCTACAAAGTTAAAAGAAATATCCTCTGAAAAATTGTGTAATCGAATAAGGTTACAGGACCCGCATAATTAGTATGAGAAAGTTATGAAGTTTGATATTTTGATTTATTTACCTCTGTACATATTTATCAAAGTACTTATAAAAATTGCAAATTAACTTTTCATCATCATGTGTATGCACAATCCATATTTCACTTATAGGTTCAGGATATTTTTTAAACCTAATCTTTCGTTTTGTTCATTTCAATTCTCGCCATTAAGTTTGGTATAATAGTTATTTAATATCCCATGTTTAGGTTTGGTATATTTCATCTCTCCCTTTTAGGTTTGGCATACTTCGTATCTCGCCGAAAGGTCAGTCGTATATAATTTATCTCACCTTCAAGTTTGACATACTTCGAAGCAGTTCTTCATCCATCGGTGGTTTCTCACTTGGTATATATAAAATTCCTTGTATTTTATCTCGATATTCATCTTGATTTTGAAGAAAGTCTCTCCAGACGACAAGTCTGAAAGCTTTGTCCGCAATGACTCTCTGCTCGTGTGAAAAAGGCAACGTAGTCGCAAGGATCCACGGTCTATTGTCAGCCATAATCGAGAATAGCCGTCTGTAATGAATGTCAATTATGGAAATTATGAGATCTAATATTATACTTTTAAGACCACATGAATAAAACATTGACTGAATTTTCAAAGGCATAAATGAATGAAAATACACCAATCACACCAACAAGACCGGCACCAGACCGACGACGGACCGACGCACACCGGTCGGTGTGGAGTCGGTATGGACAAAGGAACATCTCTTCACTGCTATTATGTCTTCTTCTTCTTCTTATCGAGTCACTACACAAGTCCCGTCCAGTGGTCCACACAGGCTTTAGCACGGCAATTAACGGCTTCCAGGTCATCTTGGGTGCATGGCTCTGGCAGGAGTGGGCAGACTAGCAGGTGTTCCATTGTCTGTTCCTGGCCGCATTCACATGCCGTTTGTTCGTCTCCTAGACCCCACCTCTGCATTAGGACTCTGCATCGACCGTAGCCAGTTCTTAGGCGGTTGAGGCTAAGCCAGGTAGGCCAAGTCTCACTGGAGCCGGTTGCAAGGGATTCCTTCGGGCTGAGGGAGAGTTTATGTGGAGTGGTCTGAAGGTGGTTAGACCACAAAGTCATCCTTTGGTTGTGAGGGCTAGTATTAAGAGGCTCTACCGAGTGCAGAAAGCTGTGTCTGGATTTGAGCCGCTTGCCCACTGGCTGTTGTTCGAAGAGTGGGTGGAGTGGATTGTTTTCTTGTTTGTCCTTTTCTTTCTGGGACAAGACCAACCTTCTGACGTGTGGAGGGGCAATACCGCAGAGCAGGTAGATGTCTTCTACTTTAGTTGGCCTTAGGCATCCAGTGATCGCTCTGCAAGATGAATTTAGAGCTGGGTCAATCTTGGGTGCATGGGCCGACCTACTCCATACTGGTGATGCATACTCCGCAGCAGAGAAGCAAAGCGCGAGGGCTGTCGTCCGGATTGTTCTGGCATCAGTCCCCCAGTTGGTGTTGGCTAGCTTCTTGAGGATGCTGTTACGGGCTCCAACTTTTGCCTTTGTGTTGGCAATGTGGTTCTTGTAGGTAAGGGAGCGATCGAGTGTGACGCCTAAGTAGACTGGGTTGGGAGTGTGCTTCAGCCTTTTCCCATACCAGCTGATCCTTAGTTGATGGTTGGCATCCCTGTTCTTGAGGTGGAATGCGCTTATCTGAGTTTTATCAGGGTTAGCTCTCAGGTGGTTGGTCGCATAGTATGGGATGAGACCGGCCAGGGCATCACTGAGGGACTCCTCCAACTTCACAAAAGACTGGTTCTGGGTGGCGATGCAGAGATCATCGGCGTAGAGGAAGCTCCTGGTGTTTGGGTGGATCGGTTGGTCATTCGTGTACACGTTAAAGAGTAACGGTGCGAGCACACTTCCTTGTGGTAGGCCATTTTTCTGTCTGCGCCATCTGCTGCGATTCCCATTGAGAACCACAAAATATCGCCGATTGGACAGCAACGTCTGGATGAGTCCAGTCAGTCTCACGTCCTTTGTCAGCTCAAAGATCTTCCTGGTAAGGATTCTGTGGTTCACGGTGTCGTAGGCAGCAGAGAGATCAACGAAAGCAGCTCCGGTGATTAGCTTACTCTCATACCCGTCCTCGATGAACTGAGTGAGGTTTAGGAGTTGGCCAGTGCATGATTTTCCTGGCCTAAACCCTGCTTGTTCTGGAATGAGATGTTCATCCACGAATGGGGCGATGCGGTTAAGGATAAGCCGCTCGAACAGCTTATATGTATGGCACAGTAGGGAGATAGGCCTGTAGCTCTTTGGACTGGCTGCGTCTTTACCAGGCTTCAATAGGGCAATAACTTTGGATTTCCTCCAGAGCTTTGGGATGTTGTTGGTGCCCAAACATTCGTTGAACATTTTGAGAAGCCAGTTGAGGGCGCCTGGTCTAAGCTGTTTGATCTGCTCGCAGAGGATGTCATCAAGTCCAGCAGCTTTGTTGTTTTTCATTGCTTTGATGGCAGCAAGCAGGTCGTCCATGGTGAACGGTCTAGTGAAGCCTGGGTCATCTTGAGAGCTTAGAGCGTCTGGGACCTTAGGGAGTCTGGCTCTTCTGGGGTGATGGTCAGGGTTTCCCCGACCATTCAATAGGAGTTGATGGGCAACTTGGTCAGCAGTGACTTCAGATCTTGGTTGGGCCTTTGTATAGTCATTGCCCAGTATCCGGATCGTTTTCCATGCCTTCCTGCTGCTATGTGTCATGTCAGTGGATTGAATGAATTCCTGCCACTTCCTCCTTCTAGATTCACCAATTTCCTTGGTCAGATTTTCTCCAGATTCCAGTGTCTCCTCACTAAAGGGGTCCATCTGGAAGTGTTCGATGTAGTCTTCATACATCACCTTGGAGTGGTCCGTCAAGCCTTGAATGTAGCTTGTGCGACATCCTCGGGGGATGTTACGCCTTGACGATTTCTTCATCAACTCTACAAAGGTGTCGTAGTTTTGGGGGGTGGCAGGTAGGTCCTGGATGTAGGAGTCAAAGTCCTTAGCAAACTTTTCCCAGTTTGCCTTCCTCAGGTTGAAACGACGTCGGAAGGGTACTGCTCGTGGAGTAATGACTGCATTAACCTTAAGCCCTATCGGTCGGTGCTGGGAGTGAGGGATTGGGTCGAGAATGACTTTCTCGCACTGGTTAGCAATCCTGGTAGATGTAAATATCAGGTCAGGGTTGTAGCCACGTCTCCACCTTGCACTGTTGAAAGAGGCAGGAAGCTTAGCGTCATGAATGAGGGACAGCTGGTTAGCATCTGCCCATGTCTCAACGAGTTCACCATCTTCGTTCATTTCTCTATATCCCCAGGAAATGCTATGGCTGTTGAAATCACCAATGACCACATTCATCCTGCCGTCAGTAGCTCTGCCGGGCAGGTCGAAAGGCTCTTGAGGTGGCTTGTACACGGAGCTTACGGTGATTCCCATTAGGTCAATAGAAAGTGAATATGCATGTGACACCTGTTCTACACATTTTTACATAATAGCAGTGAAGGGATGTTCCTTTGTCTACCTGAGGAACTGTAGATTTTGTCCGCTTTCTTTGTCAGTCATATTCATAGTGCCAGTCACAATCATTTACGATCATTATAAAATTAGAATAAGAATTTTATTGACTCTTCTCGGAATAGGAAAGTATAAATAGCAATGCATGACTTGTGAATACAATTCTTTTACATTATACCAGGGACTTGCTGATTATACATAACGACACAAAGATACAAACGATAATAGGTCTAATCTAAAGTGTATCAAAGTACAAACGAGAACAATGTAACCAACTAGTAAACTCAATATATGCATACAATGTAGATAGTGATAATAATAAAATGTATAAGAATAAAGCAGTCTATTTACAAGCTAAAGAGTAAACAAAGTAGGCTGTTTCAATATCCTCCCGCTTCGAGTATGTGCAGGTTCAGCTGTAACATATTGTACAACCTGAAATGTTTGAACTATCTTGTTTCTCTGTTTTTTAAAAGAAAATGTCAACATAAAAGGGCGAGTAAATCTTGCTAAAACTTTCAACTGAAAAGTGCTTCTAGAATCAAAAAGTTCTGTCCTGTGCAAAGCACTTGGAAGCTTAGTCTTACCAAACTTTTAAGGTAAATATAAACATATCTCCCTTTGAAAGTAATGACATCTCTGAATTCAGTGGACAAGCAGAGTGTGCACTGCATATCACAATAGGGACTTTTAGATTTGCGTGGACTGATACGTGTGACGTCCATGCAAGGCAGTGCATTAAAAGGACGTCGATCGTAGCAATCCACGTTGTTGTTCGGCAAATCTAAAAGTCCCTACTGTGGTGTGTTCGCATCAAATCGACTTTGTTTGATACGTGAGGGCAAGTGGCAGGAAGTATATCAGGATTTATTGGTGAGACATCCGTTTTCACCATGGGAATGAGTGCATGGCCTGCGTATGCCTTCTCAAATTTACTAGAGCAATACAAATGCACATGCCAGGTTTTCCATGTACTTCACCCTTCATAACACTTACGATGTATGTATAGGCTGAAAGGTCTATCTTGTTGTTTTATCAAGAAGTCTAAAAGCGCGTCGTCTCATATAAAGTACATTCCACCATCAGTAGTAACCAGGACTAATACTGTATTTAACACAATGCCAATAGCTTATGTAATAAAATGTTTGATCCAAATCGACTTGTCAATTCCAGTGTAATTACAAATTCGATCAAAATAAAAGAATGTTCCATAATATGGGAAATAATCTGATAGGCATACATACACCAAAAGTATTCAGCATTAACACATTTGACTGTGAAGTTCTAAGTTGAAAAATGACTTGATATAAAGTGCCTAATTATGCCAAATTATGAGTTTAAAATTGCATAAAATTGTTATACGTTGAAAATAAGTCATGAACCTGCAAACATAATTGATGTTACAATATAAAAAAAGATTATAGGTAAACCAAAAAGTAAGAACTAAAACAAAAATATAATATACAAGCGCCATGCAGGAGTGTCAAATCTGACAGACGTGAGCGCTATACAAGAACTCACTATGATTAATATTTATTATATATTGTACAATATGTCTTCATGCAAATAAGGACTTTGGTTCATTACAATCGGCGCGTGACCCCCTATAACTAGAGAGGTGAATGCTTAACTAAGGAGTGCTTTAACTAAAGGAGCATGACACACAGTCATGATTGAAGCTTACCGGTACATGTACGATGTATGTTGAACGTCAATGCATGCTATGTTATATACATAGAATATATATGATTAGGAAGAGACGATGTTTTACACTTGATGTCCACAAACGTATGATGGCAGCTACGATATATGAGCACAAGATTCAGTTATCGTCATTGAGAAAAAAAGCTTCGAATGACTCTTGAGTACACAGTCGATCCAAAATCCCATGCATGCACCTGCATATTTTGAGCAGTCTGTTTGTTAATAAATCGTCCCTATTTTAACGAAGTGACGGTAGTGAATGAAAATCGCATACAATTTGTGTGCGGATTTTCCTCACTACCGTCACTTCGTGAAATGTCGCTCAGAATAGAACGTGCTCATCAGACCTATATTTGCTATCCGGCACTGACATACTGGTAGGGGTGGAAGCTGCTGGGGGTGGGGGCTGCTGCTGTCACCCAACCGAAAAAAATACTCCACTCGAAAAATGGAAAAAAGGAATGGAAAAGAAAAGAAAAGGAAGGAAGAAAAATAAGAAAGATAGAAAAGGAAGGAAAGAAGGAGCAAGAACAAGGGAAGAGGGAACTCCTTTTCATAGCTCAGTCGGTAGAGCAGTGGTCTCGTAATCCGGTGACACAGGTTCGAAACCAAGGCGATGCGCTAGTGCCCTTTAAATGCATTAATCCTCACTACCAGGTCCCTCGGAGAGGACCTAAAGCCGTCGGCAGTCTGGTTGCTTACTTACAAGCATTTATGCTTTCTTAGCAGTCAGGTAAGAAAGAAATAACCATCACAACCATCGCAACCAATGTATTTTAATTCCTGCCTTTATCTTGCATGATAATTTCATTGGTTCCATAATTATAATACCGCCAAATCATATTTTTGTTCTATTTAGTAAGTCTGTAATAGCCTTGTAGGACCTATATTTTGTTTTGATTAATTTTATTCTAAAAACTCAAATTCCTTTCCGTTCATAACATTGTTTATACAAAACTGCAACATACATGTACTTTTTTATCATTTGATAAACAAAAATAAATACAACATAATTCATTGTTCATAATTTCACAATGTATAGGACTAAAATATATCACAATCACATGATAGGAAAATACAACCGCACTACACAATTATTTCATCACAAAAACTAAAACAAGCATTGCATTTTTTTTCTTCAGGATAAGACCGAGGAGTTTTAAGAGCTGGAGACCCAACTGGCAACAAATTATTCCAAGCAGCTGCCGTTTTCTATAGTTGCACAATAGAATCTACTGGTGTTCCGCAGTACCTTTGATGTCCGAGGTTCGAAGCCGCTAATATCATTGGAAAGCTTGGGTGGTGATTTTTTTTTTCACAAAGAAATGTCCTTAATATTTCACTTTTTATTTGAACTAATGAGGGAAAAATCGAACAGATGATAGAATATGAATACAAGAGCCTAATTGTGTCAAGAAATTTGCTTACATTGTATGAGAGCAGCTTTAATAGTAACATTTTGCAGACCTAAAAACTGCAATTTGACACTTTTCCGATTACTTCCGGCTCACGAAAATAAAAAGTGAATTTGTTCATGAACCACCGTTCTTTATGATGTTATATGTCAGATTTGTGCCCACACATGCCCCGTCGAGTAACTTTGATTAATATTTCAGCAATTTTGCTCCATTTCCTTTCGCTTGCCTCCTGTAAAGGTAAGCACTATGTAGGCCTACTGCTCGTATTATCAGACGAATGGTAGCGAAAAGCAATTATCATTACTAAAGCATATTTCACTTTGAAAGTGGCCCGTTAGTTTGCAGCTAGGTAGGATTTGTTTGTGTACGTATCTGCAAGGAAGATCCAAATATTAAAGCACATGCCTGAAATCCTTCCTCCTGGTGGAATCGAAAATGGTACAAAGGGAATGATCTGGATAGGACTCCATCACTTAAAACCCCTTGATAAGACTGAATTCTTTTTTATAAACTAATTTTTTCCACACATTGTTATACGGAATTAAGGTTATGAGTTTTTCTTTTATCAAAACACAATTTATCCTCAAAACCCTCTCCTTTCTTTCCTCCTCTCTATTAAAATCCTTGGAATTATCCCCTTCCCACTCCCCTTCCCCCTCCCCCTCCCCTCCCCTCCCATATTGCAGGCATAACATTTCTAAAAATCTGTTTTGAACTTTGAAGAATTGATACTATTTTCTGAATATTGTATATTCAAAATTATTGATTCTTATATAAATAGTTTATCCGAATTCAAATTTTGCATGATTTAACTGAAAAAAATTACTCTTTATAAGTGCATCCACACAAAAACATATTACTGTCAATATAACTTGGATGCTTATGTGAGGAAATAATATTCTAAGGGGGGGGGGGAATGGGAAATTTATATTATCAATACAAAGGAAACAATAATAGTGCATAGTGAGGCAATGACGTCATAGACTCATCAGTGAGTTGCCAATTTGTCTTGTGATTTTCAAAGTCATTAAAAATTCATAACACTCTTATTACTTATCGGATTTTGCTCAAACTTTTTTGATTGGTTTGTCTGATTTTTCTGCTTCTAGTTAAATTATTTTTGAGGTGGACTTGGCCTTTGAGTTGTTGACTTCGTTCCACCTCTACCTCTATATAGCTTTCAGAACCGATCGTATACTCAAGTTAGGGGTCAAGTAAAGTTACTGCCGCGGCTTAATAAGTAATTCTAGAAAAAAAAATGTTTAAGTGTGTAGTATACCTTTACAATTTTTACCGTGATTACTCCATGAATAATGATTCTTAAAGTTTACGTTCACAAGAGTAGGGCTATGCGTCATAACAAAAATCGCTGTTAATGGAACATGATTGTGATATATTTTAAACGAAGTCCTATAATATTTATTTAAGGAATGCCAAGATTTTCATCAGTTAATGGCTCTGAGCGTCAGTTCCTTCTTGGGAGGTGGCGAGTTTCCTTTTTATCTTTTATTTAAAAAGGTGAATTAAGACGCCTATTGGAAACACAATAGTAAACATGCTCGTACAAAAATGAGAATAATAGTAGCGACTTTATACATAGCACTTTTTCATTAGGCCTAAAACAAAGAAAATGTTGTATTATTGACCTTTAGGGGCCAAAACGTGGGTCGGTCGGTCGGAAAGGTTTTTTCTTTTTTACTTTTTTTTTCTTCCTCTTTGTGCATATTTCTCATTTTTGAATGCTTAAAAAAAAATTCTCTAAAAAGAAGTTTAAAAAATAAAATAATTTAAAAGCCGACATATATTTCAAGATTTTTGGGTCGGTCGCTAAGGGCAATGCACCATTTTTTTTCGTTAGGCCTTACCTGACCTGGTTAATAGTATATTTGTAAAGCGCTTAGAGACATTTGTATTAAGCGCTATATACAAATTAAATATTAATATTATTATTATTGATTCAATTACTTTTCTGCACATTAAAGTGCACATTCTTCACTCCTTCAGCTCCAACTTCAATTACGTTTACATCCTATACCAGGTTCCCATTTAACACCTGCATGGTGGAGAGAAACAATGTATATAAATGCCTTGCCCAAGGACATAAGTGACGTGCCGGGGCCCAAACCCACACCTTTTGTTTTTCGAGTGTTTCCATGCTAATCCAATTACAATTAGTGATTCCAGTGCTTAAACCACTTCACTAATAGTAAAATGAGTGGATTTATTTCCCCAATTCTAAAATAAAGTCCTTTCGATTAGAAATCGTTTCGTAGTCGAGTGGTTGACTTGGAATGCCAAGGTCGTCGTTTCTAATCCTGGCTCGTCATTTATTTCAGGGATTTTAGTTACTTACGCAGGTGCCTAGTAGGATGCGTACGTAGTTAAAGATACTTTGTCCCTTTTACGGCCAACATCAAATTCTGTAGAACATTGCAGGAATCATTAATATTATAATGTTAGCAACGCCCTAGTATTCAAATTATGCAGGGAAATCCGTTTACTTTCTAGAATTCACTGTCAGACATTATTGAGTGCCTGACCGACTTCTTTTTTTCTTTGGTAATAAAATACATAAAATGAGCTGTAACAGGTACATGCAGCATTTGTCTACATAAATAACCCACTTCTTGCTATGTCCCAAAATTAAATTGATTGAATCTTTGCGCCGCACAAAACATACGACTATTTACATAAGTGATCGCAATTACTTATCACTTATGTCGATTCGACAACCATCGTGGTCATTTTCCCACAAAAAGACATTTTCCACCCCTTTTGTTTCGAAAGAAGTGATTATATTGGAATTTAACCTTTTAATTCGTTTGGCCTGCAAATGGGACATATACCTTAAATGTGCAGAATAGTAATCATATCCAGCAGCGTGGCGTCATTATAAGCTTACACTCTTAAAACTGAAATGTTGAATCACCATTTAAAAGGGCCGAGGAGTGACAACTCTTTCAAAATGGTAGATTAACACTTTGAACATGCTGGATCCAACACTATAAAGGTTGGATCCAGCATGTTCAAAGTGTCAATCTACCATTTTGAAAGAGTTGTCACTCCTCGGCCCTTTTAAATGGTGATTCAACATTTCAGTTTTAAGAGTGTATAAGCGCTGTATAAACGCGGAATATTATTATCATTATTATTATTATTATTATCATAATTTTTATTTGTTGTTAGCTCTTTGACCGATTATGTTTTCTTACATTACCGTGCTTCCCCCCCCCCCCCCCCAAAAAAAAAAAGAACATACACTTTTGAAATGGCTGCCGAATAAAAAATATATGATTCTGGGGAAAAACTTTTATATGTATGGAAAGCTCATAAACTCAATTTTCATATGACACCAACAGTCCGAAAATAATTCATGCTTGGGTGAGCACTGCTCACTTTTGTAAAGGGTATGAAAATTAGGTTGCGCAGGAATTAGCCTTCCAATATGTGAGAGGTAAATCCTTTGGAGCTTACAAACTTGAGGGTGATATGATACATTCATGATTTGCTGAGTGAAATTCATCTTATAAACCAAACTTTTATGCTTGAGGGAACAGGAATTGCATTTTTTAATGTAGCATTGTAACATTCCCTGGTAGACTCAGTAGTGTGCTCATCGGAGACAGGATGAGGTGATGGTACATGTTGTAATTTCCATGTTTTCCATACATTTGAAACTTTTCCTACAGAATCATATATTTTTTATTCGGCAGCCATTTCAAAAGTGTATAGTTTTGGGGGACGCACGGTATAGGCCTATGATTGATATTATTCGTAATTGATACAGCAAGGCCACGTCTTATGAAGAATTGCGGTTGACTCAAATCAATCGCGAGTCTTCCGATCAAGGCAAGTTTGCAGTTATGTACATAATTGCGATTGAATTAATAAGTTGCGATTCATATCAACTCTTTGTAAAACGGGGCCATGTGCGTGTTAGTAGTTTTAGTCCCATCAACCGCCATGTGTGAACGCTCACCTTCCATCCATGGCTTGTGGTAGACGAACCATATTGCATGAATGAGAAAAGTAAATCGATTCATTTCAAATCAATCTAACACGAAACCATTTGGCATTCAATATTGCGTGCTGGTAGGTGATGCATGTATCAGTGCTGGTATCAGTGTATGGTATGATACTTGGAGGAACCGGATCTGCAGGCTTATGATGTATTGACTGTCGTTATTGTTTACACTCGGACAGATACTGTTTCGATTTTTTTAATCAAACGAGAAGATATCTCGACCATTCTAATAATCTGGTCCTCAGTCGAATTGAGCTAGAGAAAGAAGACACTGTTGATTCTTTGTATCAAACGAGAGGATATCTCGACCATCCTAATAATCTGGTCCTCAGTCGAATTGAGCTGGAGAAAGAGGATTGTAGTAAGAGGGGATAAAAATGGAAGCACAATCACGGACTTGCTGGTCACTGAAATGCTCTGATTTTGGTTTTCAACCAGATACTTCACCAACAATCAACGTGCCACAGGTAAGATTGGGTCATTCTTATTTCATTTATTGCTAATTTAAATGCTAATTTTATTGGAGGAGCTCGCGCCTTTGAATGTTTTTTGAAACAGATATATGGCGCTATACAAATGCTGTTCATCATCATCATCATCATCATTGCAGCGTATCATCGCAACAGTCTTATAACAAAATCAAATTTGCGAAAGATATTCATGTAGGTATTTATCAATAGACATACGATACAGAAGAGTTCATACTTATTGTTGCAAACGTATATTCTTACTGCGTCTTTCAAATGGACTTGAATAAAAAGAAAGGTTGAAGTTCATCATCTGTTTCTTTACGAACAAATTCTAAAATTAATCATAATGATAATTACAGTAATGAATTAGTTCACAATGGTGGATACAATAGAACCGAAGTGAGAAAACGTGTTTGTCAAAAATGACTTACATGTTATACACTTATCTGATTAAATTGAACAATTACAATCTGTGTTCACATGTTTACCAGATATGAAAGCAGCAGACTGCTCAATCCAGATGCTGAATTTACTGCTTTTCATTCATGCCTACTCTTGTATAATCGATACAAATGAATAGAATATCAGCTGTTATTTCCATTTATCTGATGATACAATAAATCTATTTTGAGCTTGAGTTCGAGTGCATGTAGCTTTAATCAGAATAAGCTAGGCCTATAACATGATAACTACTTGAATTTTGAGGCAATACGAACTTTTATTTAGCAGTATATGAGTTGTCAATAGGGATTTAAATATTATTCCTAGGTTGGTTTGTTTGTTTTATTTATTCACCATGCAAAATAATTGTTTGCAGATAATAAAATTCAGTGGGTTACAATATATATTAATACATAGTAGGAACAAAGCATATACAAAAAATGTTTGATGCGCAACGTCCCTAAGACGTGAGATGGTTAAAAAGGTACAAATTATTCAAAATAAGGCACAAATGATTCAAAATAAGGTTAAAAAAAGAAAGATTCAAAATAAGGTACAAATGATTCAAAATAAGGTACAAATGATTCAAAATAAGGTACAAGAATTATTGATTGCTTGGGTCCGAGGACTTATGGTATAGTTGTAATTAATGAACCAAGAGCGTAGCCAAGACTTTTTAAGGGGGGGGGTGTTTTTTTGCCCAATTCGTGAGAAAATATTTAGCGGCGAAATAGAGAAGCGCAAGATATGGATCATACTTGAGATGCCGTTTACATAACACAGCTGGGATTGTAAATATGAAAACTAAGATGAATCAAATTCCGAGTTATGTGAGTAGCGGTTGCATGAAATACATATTTAAATTCTAACATATGCCAGGAATCAACATGAAATAAATATATCAATTGTAAGTATAGATGTTCGTAGTATCTGGCCATCTGACTATTGCTATTTAAAATTTACACCGTTAATAAACTATGTTCACACACAAATCTTACAATCCCAAGAAAGTTTAAAACTACATGTACACATTCTTTAGGACCAAAAGAATATTTTCTATTTTACCAGACACAATTCTAAAAGTCGATTATTATGTTTGGGGAATTAATAAACTTCAACTTGAATCTATCCTAATGCCCATACACTCACAATCTTCGTGGAAATGTCCCACGGTACTGTTATATAAATTGAACAAAGGAAAAAAAACCTTGTCTGACGACCCTCTCATCATTCATCATGACAAGGGACTTTCTTGATAAATACGCTCCTCACACAGATGTTATTGCTGTTAAGGGGAGTCTCATAAAACAGGCGTTGGGGTAATTTGTCATGATCGTTCATTCCTTTTGTCATCTGGTGACAAATACGCATGTAGACATATGTCAAGTTGAAAAGCAGAATACTTTGCTAAACAGACGTTAATAAGGACGGAGATGTATTGCCCACATTGGCTTTCTTCATTTTACCGAGAAAGAACATCATTTGGCTTTCCTTTGTATCTATTCTAGTATTTTTCTTGACTAAATATTAATCAGTGATTTTACTATTTTTATTCATCAGGGTCTAGCTACAAAGCAGATTTTGAAACATTTCTGTACACATAAACTATGCAATAATAATTATAGATTCAAGGTAATAAACATTGTCATTGACGAATTAAAAGATGAAATTTAACAGCAAAATTTGAACCATCTATAATATAAATACTAATAAAAATAATAATAATAATAATAATTACGATAATAATTTTCTCATGACGGATGAGAAGGACAATCTTTGTACGCTGTTTTCATGTGATATTTCTTTCATAATTAAACTATAGGATCACAGGATTGCAATGTAAAAACGATAACCTTTTACAGTAATAAATGTATGTCGAGCAAGTAATGCAAGTAATTAAAAGTAAAATAAATAAAACATGTTCCATTTTAAGTCTTTAAAAATACTTTGTTAACATATCTCAGTTATATCTGAAACTGAAAGATGTTTTACATCAGCGATAATATAACATTGTATACACATATATATAAATACATTAACAAAGGAAGAAAGAAAGATTATTGGGCCCATGTTTATTGAACTCGGTCTTAATCAAAATAGAAGCGAAAGTGGGAAACCGTTTTTTTATCATGGTTGAATAAAAATTTGTATTTAACCCCTTGAGCAGGGCTCAAATTAATTTTTTGTCCACGGGGGCTCTTCCCCCCCCCCCAAAAAAAGTGCCCCCGTAAGCCTTCTCACGGGGGCTCTTTTAGTACTGACGGGGGCTCTTTTTTATACAAATATCCCTTGAATTGGTACCTATGATACTCCTCAATTATTTGCTATTTCATCATTATCATTTCAATCAGCATTTTCCCTCTTACAAATTTACAAGCTACATAGCTGTTACTGGCCTGTGTATATAATATAAACGCATACAACACTGATCTTTATGATGTCTTTAACGTGACATATCTTCTTCTCCCCTTGCAAACGAGAAAGAAAACAAGGTCATTAAAAGGGATTAAGCGACAAATAATGATTGTGATTCAAATTGATGCGAATATTTGTTTGAATAAGCACTGCTATTCACCCGAATCTTCTTTGTAAAAACAACTTTTACAAATCTCAGCCATGCTTACTGAGTTGAGACGTTCCATTCAATGTAAAATACTCATTAAAGAATACACTTCTCCTAATCTGAAAGTGATCTTACAACACAGTGGCAGATTTGCATGGCTGAGATTTGTAAAAGTCGTTTTTACAAAGAAGATTCTGGTGAAAAGCATTGCTTATTTAAAAAAAATCCTTGCATCAATTTGAATCACAATGATTATTTGTCGCATGATCCTTTTATTAAATAACCTTGTTTTCTTTTTTGTTTGCAGGTGGAGAAGAAGCTATGTCACGTTAAGAAATCATAAAGATCAGTTGTATTATGCGTATATACATTTATGATACCAGAACAAATGTTGATTATCAGAATGTCATTTTGGAATACCTCTATACAAATACCACATTGTCTTTAGCCCGTATCAGTATTAGTATGATCCAATATAAAGCTATTATTCTTTATTTAATTCAGTATAATGCTTTTCCTCAAAAATAGTTTTGCTATTTTTTTAGGGTTGAGACGCTAAGAAATGCATTGGAAAATGATGGTGGTTCTCTCTCTCTTTATTGTAATCATGCATTATCAACTACATATAACGCAGCAACCAAAAACTTGGGTTATCTAAGATAGGTGAAAGTAAGAGTTAAAAAGAAAGTCATGCTAAAACGGCCATTCACTCCCCCCCCCCCCTGAAAAAAATAAAATAGAGTAGTCCTCCACTCCCCCCCCCCCCCCCGTAGATCTGCCCATGTTACCATATCATTCCACGAGATATTGGTCTTCCTCTTCTTCTTAATAGGGACTTTTAGATTTGCGTGGACGTGCACTGGCAGTCACATTTGACGTCCTTTTAAGCACTGGCACTGCCTTAAAAGGAGGTCACACGTTGCAGTCCACGTTCTCATCGTGCAAATCTAAAAGTCCCTAATATTGATTTACTGGTCGAGGTTCATTATTTGCTGGTCATTTGAAATCACCAGATTTCAGCGGGTTAACGCTTTCACAACGAAAAACTTCTCCATGACCATGTTTCTGCCCTTGCGCGATCGCCTCCAGCTCCAGCAGACATGGCGCGGTAGCGTGCACACATACCGCTACTAACGGCGCAGAGTAGGCCTATAACCACTGCTGACGGCGGCACTGCACTGCGAGCTGAATCGGTAATAATAGGCCTATACTCATAAAACGAGAAATCTTGCACGCTAATCTAAGTTCCATTTCATTGGTTTAAGGTTTGAAAATTAAAACTCAATATTGTGTTAAAGTTATAACAGAAAAGATAATCTTTATTTTAAATTCCACGGGGGCGATTTTTAATTTTGCAATCGCCCCCGTGAGCAACCTGACGGGGGCGATTATGTAGCTTACGGGGGCGAATCGCCCACCGCCCCCGTGTATTTTGAGCGCTGCCCTTGAGTCTTTCAAAATATCAACTCAAGGGCAATTACCCTATCGTATTGCTGAATCTTAAAGAAATCGAGTTCGGATTACATAACGTAATGATCACACATTCCAAAACGTGATGAACAAGCGATTGAAAAATAAGTAGCCTTTGCCTGATTTTTCTTCGTGAATATGATTTGTTGTGTATTCCGAAATGTGTTACAGATGTTCTAAATATTTAACACTATATCGGTATATCAGGAAATAATTTTCTATATGAAATGCAACTATCACAGTAAAAAAGAAATAAATAATAATAATATTGAATTCAATGTGACCTCTCCCCTCCCCCCCCCCCCCCCTCCCCTCCACACACACATACACAGACACAATTTCCTTATGGCAAATGCGCCTCCCCTGTCGGTATAAAGGGAAGTAGAATCGATGAAGAAGGAAAGAAAAAGGGAAAGGAGAAGGGAGAAGTAGAAAATAGAATGGAATAGGAAAATTACATTGTGGTTTTTCAGCCTCATGGTCCGCCTCTTGTGATGCAATGCCTGGATGCCTCTGCCTCAGTAGGTTGTGCATTGTCACTGCCACCTCCACCATACCCTTCACAGTGTTAGGGCTTCTGCTCTAGAGTCCCGAGGAGACACCTGAATCTATTGGCCAGGATCCCAAAGGTATTTTCCACCACTCTCCTCCCCCTTGAGAGTCTGTAGAAAATCCTCTCCTCTCTGGCCGTCCCTCTTCTGCCATAATGGCTTCATGAGGTAGTTCCTTAGTGGAAGGAGTCATTCCCATCCTAAGAAGGACATTTCTTGGAGGTCATCATGGCTTGCAGTCAGAGGGACAGGGTGGGGGAGTCCTAGAGCTTTCTCTACAAGGCCGTTGAACAGCTCAGAGTCGCCAAATACCTGAGCATCTGACATGACATTGTGTCCTTTTCCACCAAGCTCGATCCACACAAACTTGTAATCTGCATCTACCAGAGTGAGGAGTGGTATCGAAAAGAAGCCCTTGTAATAGTAGTACAGGCTGCCAGTGTGGGGTGGCTTCTTGATAGCAATGTGTTCGCCGTACAGGGCCCCAATGGCGTGGTAGATGTTCCATCTCTGCTCAAACTAGTTAGCTACGGCTGTCCAGGCTTCAGGGGTCATAGGCAGGCTTAAAAACCTAATCTTTGTACACTTGCACAATTGCCTAACATACTTCTGAAACCATCTCTGAGATGCTGGACACTCCACACCTGAAGGCACACACAATGGACCGACTGTTGTCTCCAGTGTCACTGCCAGTTTTAGTCTTGGTGAGAGGGGTTGCCTAAAACTGGTGCGTTCTCTCTCGGTTGCTGGCGCAAGCTGCAAGCCTCCATCGAAGAGCTGTGGTGTTAACCCTGTGTAGTTTTGGAACGCTACTGAATCTTTCAGCCTCAATTGGGTGTCTAGGAGGCTGGAGAACTGTCCAGAATGTTGCCTCCTCTCCTCTGTGAGCCATGGTCGCACCCAGAACTGCCTGTTCTGCAGCTCTCCTGGCCCTTTGTGGTTGGGGCTTTGGCTGGTCTGGCTGATGATCGTCTTCTATCTCTCTGGCGATAATTTAAGCATACAGTAATACTGCAAATGGCATGTCATCATCCTCAGCTACTACCATCATCAATGGTTATGAGTTGTAGTGGTCACATTGTAGGAGTTCAAGAAACATGAACTTCGTGGTCAGTCGGCCTGTGTAATGTATCCGTCGGGGTCCAATCGTAGTTCAATTCGTGATCACTCTGGACCCTTATCGTGGAAGACATCGCGACCACAATCGTATCATGTCGCAACAGAGCGCATCAGTTCGTGATGACCGTATTCGGAAGGTATCCGAACGTATCTGCGCGACCCGATCGTCCCAAATTGGGGACCCCGATCGTGATGATCGTGTCACATCGAGACCCAATCGTAGACTCAATCTGGACAATCATACCGGAACGTATTATGATCGTATCTGAACGGGAGACCAGATCGTGTCCCCTGAAATTGACCAATCGTGACAATACCGCATCCAAGCGCATCAAATCGTATCAGAACGTTTCGACTCGCATCAAGATTCAAGATTAGTTTATTGTCTTCGGACATTCGAAGGTGCATATACATGTACATAAATAAATATATAAATACAAACAAAATGTTACATTTTAACATAACATTTAACAATCATCACAATTTTAAGTAGGTTGTATTAAAAGAATAAGATTATAGCATAAGAGAAACAGATGCCTATATTTTTTTTTTACTTTGATGATCGCTGAGTCCCATTTATACCGCATTGCGATTCAAACGTTTCGTCTCAAAATGCAGTAAAATCAGATCCATGCGGTTCTATTATTTTGTATTCTAGTTGGGTTTTTTTATTCAATTGCAGGTAGGTGCACATACAAGTATTATTCAGTTTAGATGATATTCGGTTACAAGTGAGCATATTGCAATTAAAGTGCCCGAGAATAATAACATTCGAAGTCGAGAGTAAAGGTTTTTTCAAGTTGAAGTTCTGCTTTAGAAAGAAGTCAGTGGAAAAATTAAGAGGTCAATAAACAGTAATAATTTATTGAAAATTTAAATGTTTAAATCTTACTTCATACTATAATATCCCAGGTCCTTATGTTCTAAATAATTCCTGCGAGTTTAAATCGAATTTGGGTTAATATAGCAAACAACACTACCATCTAACAGTGGAGGATTCAGGGATGGCAATCGGGTGCACCCCTGCCCCCCCCCCCCCCCCCTCCTTGACGGCAGTAAAAGGGGGAGAAAAAGCGACGGAAGAGGGGAAAAGAGCAAATAAGGTAGAAGAGAAGAAGAGAGAGAGATTTAAACAAAAACTGGGTAACGGGTCGGCAACGTATTGAATGGGATGGAAACCCGACTCCACCACAAGCCAGGCGTAATGCGTACATAAATGTATAAATCAGTGGCAGATTGGGGTGGGGGATCAGCTGAGGACCCCTCTTTGGCAGCCTACAAATAAAAGGAAAGAAAGAAAGCGACGGAAGAAAGAGGAGAAACGGGAAAATACGGAAGGTAAAAGAGGAAAAGATAGATGGAGAGAGGTAAAGGAGAGTGTGTGAGGGGGAGAGAGAGAGAGAGAGAGAGAGAGAGAAAAGGAAACGGAGGGGGGGGGGAAGAACATGAACATTAAATATAAACGTACAGATTACATTACCGATGAGTTGGAACAACATGTGAATGTGAAGACTGCCTACGAACAAAGAGCAATAGCTGGGAAGAACAGTTCTGTGACATTATTTTTAAGACAGAAAGATAAAAGATTTCTCCCGAAATTAAATGATAAGTGATGTGTGAATATCGAGAGATAATTACAATTTCTGTCGCTCATGACGCCCATGTTGAAAGCTCTAAATTGTTGAAAACTCAAGGGCGTCCTGGGTCTTTAACTTTTTATTTACAGAAATGTTAGCATAATAAGGCGATAGCAGCGTTATCCAACCGGGATACCGCGAGAGAAATTTATTTAATATCTACCTTGGATTCATTTTGAAATAAACGTCAATTGCGTGAAAACAAAATATTAGAAAGTGCTAGGTATTTTGATGAAGAAATAACTTTTTAAAAGAAATAAGTGTCTTTTTTCTTCGCCCGTAACATTTACAAACATTAACATTTACAAACTAAAGATTTCAGGTAGTGACGTGCTTTAATTCCTCTATTTATTGGGCAACGAGGTGCTTGAATATCTTTTAGACAGCGAGGTGCCGAATATTATCACATTCGGGCAGCAAGATGCCCAAATAAGGAGGCCCGGTAGCTCAGTTGGTAGAGCAGTGGTCTCGTAATCCGGTGACCTGGGTTCGATGCGCTAGTGCCCTTTAGTAAGGCATTAATCCTCATTACCAGGTCCCTCGGAGAGGACCTAAAGCCGTCGGCCGTCTGGTTGCTTACTTACAAGCATTTATGCTTTCTTAGCAGTCTGATGAATAAAAAAAAAAGGATTTTGCGAGCTCCTCTCCAATTTTTTTTTTTATTAATCGGAATTTGCTTAATCTTTGACTGTCCTTTTCCTCCCATTTATTTTCTTCAATCAAAACCACTTGATATCAGGGTGGGCTTCCCCTTTAAAAAAATATGCCATGACTGTAAAAAGGATGAAAAACATTGGGCTAGAGCACTCTATATTTCGGCTCTACACTGCCCTTACTATTCAAAAATGTAACATCTCTATATAGGTCGGTCGCTACGCTCTCTCGCATTGTATACGTTAACTTTAGAGTTATAACAGATCTGTTAATTGCATTGGCCTCTTCATATAAAAAAAAGGTCGTTCCCCGATATTGGAGAGTCACAATAGATACTGTAATGATGCTTTACGCTGATGTTTAAGAGAAGATATAGGTAAGGGATAAATATTAAGCTCAGGTCTGTGATAAAAACTATTTGAAATGCCCTGTTCCAAACTACATAACGTTAATTTTTACCCATTTTTTTGCTACCTCGCCATATAAGATACAACTGATGATTTAAAGTATACCGAAGCCGTTGTTAAAATGCAACAAAAACTAAATAAAATGTGCCCGACTGAAAGACAAAAATCAACATCTCCGATTTCGTTTAAGATGTTCATATCTTATGATAATTTTTGCAAGATCAACCAAGGCCGGACCGAAGTTGTAACATATGGTGTGCGGTGGGCTTTATATACAATTCGAATTTTAACGTGGTCGTAATAATCAATGTGTAACTGTAGAGGGGGAGCGTAAATTACGGTGCAACATACATGTTTGCAAATCGAGGTGTCACACTCACATCCCCACTCCAAGTGTTCTAGCGACATCCATGGTTATCTACAGGGTTGTTGGTTTCCATGCTAAAGATAAATGCACTCTTATCGTTGGCAGAAAGAGAGGAAAATTAGGTGCCTATTTAAGTTTAATTTTAATTACAAAAATCTTAAGGCTTTTACAACGTTTACATGGTCAGTTATCTGGAATTTCAATTTTTTTTTCTTGATACTTTTGAATGTGAAATTGTCTATACAATTTAATCAGAAATTACAGTTATAATACTTCCACAATATTAATACATTCTTTTCATTGTGTTGTTTCAAACAGTGCGGCGTCAACGTTGTTCTCTACTTTATCTATCGCTCGATCGTCTTCCTCTATTTCATGACGTATATGATCTTTGATCTGGTGACAACAATTAATGGCTTTGATGGGGTTCGAACCTTTATCTTTCTAACTACCTGGGTGTACCTGATATTCAACCTCTATGTCTTGGTTGCGTTCATCAATACATTAGTAGATGTGTATTTGTTCTTCAAAAACAGAGGTGATTTAGTAGAAGGTAAGATTAATGCTTTTCATGTTTTCAACTTTCAAAATTAAATACCCCATTCGAAGAATCTTTCAGAATGCAATCCTGTTTTGGTTTGATTCGATTATATTTTATTGGATATATTTGAATGTTTATTTTATATGTTCATATACACGTACATTATCATATACTAAACCATGTTTGACATGTATGGTCATAATGAAAAGGCATCAAACCATATTTTACTTCAGTAACGACTGGGCGACCTATTGTAAACAACCAAAACCAATTTTTACCATCATGAAGATGTTAAAAAGCAATAATACATAACACAAGAGAGTGAAAAATGAAACCCACAAAACTGGCAGAGAAGTGACAGAAGAGGGAAGTGAAGTCAGGCAGAGGAGGGGCTGAAAAATTGGAAAAGATTTCGGGGAAGAGGAATAGAGACAGAAGTAGATTTGATGGATAGTTTGAATGGCTTGCATGGGAAGAGGGATTCACAGCCAGGGTTATTGCCGAAGAAGGACAGAGACAAAGGAAATAGGTAGAAAACAAATCGATCGCCAAAGTCAAAAGACACAGCACAGAGAGTATGAGAGAGAGGGGAGAGAGAGACAGAAGGGCGAGGGGTAAGAGAGAGATAAATATATAGATGTATAGACAGAGAACGGTTTGGTAAGTGGGTATATAGGTTTATATCATTATTTAATGTATGAATCATGATACATTCAATCGAAAAAAATCCATAAAGATATAGATGAAGGGGTAAAAACGTGATACAAAATAATTATTCACTCTCATCCTCAGCATTATCTTTTATACATATCTCTCTATCTCTCGCTTTATCTCCTTTTCTCCCTTTCTCTCCCTCTGTCTTTATCTATCTCGTACTTTTCTTGGATCTCCTATGCTGTCTGCACTATTATCCTCCCTACCTCTCTTCTTTATTTTCCTCCAGCCATATTATGATGATTGTGGAATAGATTTAAGCAACTGTTATATTTTAAGCGAATGTTATTAATATGTATATATATATATATGTGTACACTGATTTATTTAGAAAATTAATTCACTGTGTGATATGTCTTAATACGATTTATGTTTGTATACATATTTATGTTTTTACAGTGTACAAAATTCTGCAATTCAGCCATCTGGCTGCAAATGAATTTTCAATAAAACCAGTACCATTACAATTATTATTATTAAGTCGATTTAGTTAGACTTTAACGATTCCCAATTATTCGCAAAAAAAGGCGGGTGTTTCCTTGCTACTGTAATTTTTATAATTTTCATATTTTTGTTTGGAGGAGATCAAGTTGAAACAATTTGAAAAGTATTTAAGGGGCTTGAACATAACTGGAATACTGATGACACTCAACTTTGTGTAAAAAGTATAATATGTATATGGTTTGGAGGGATAGAGTAACTATAGAGTGGGTATTTTTACCAAAAAAAACATTCTCAAAATGTTTTGAAATGTGTTATACTGATGACACGAACGACAATGTAGAGCTACATGTATATGGTTTAGAGGTATAGAGTCAATATACAGTGCGTCCCAGAAAAAACGAAACCGAGAATTATCGATGTTTTATCTGACTTAATCACAATTATAACTAATAAATGTCACCGCCAGCCAAATGACTTTTTGGTACCCTCTCTTCAAATTGTTTTTAATCCCCCATGCGTGAAATATACATCATATGAGTTGCATCAAAAGAAAGAGGAGGATCTCAGCTTCACAAATATGTGTCAGTTATTAATTATAATTTTGATTAATTCATGATAAAATATCGTTAATTCTCGGTTTCGTTTTTTCAGTGTACTCAACTTTGTGTTAAAAGTGTAGCTCCTAATTAAAAAGTAATAACCAATATGACTTTGTAATGTGTTTTTACGATGGAGAGTAACTTGTTTTCTGTCCAAACAATTCTGCTATACAGGTGACCGAGCACCAGGATAATTTAAAAAGTGTTGTCAAAATCGCCTTGTACCAAATTTGAGCTGATGGAACGAATGTGGGTATCCGGCCATTGTGCATGATCTTCTTTCGTCTTAAACCCTTGTAAAAGTTAAATTATGCCTTATGCCCAGTGTGCTTTATTGTTTAAAATGATACAGTGTATATAGGCTTTCACAGAACCTTGTTTCGATCCACAGGATAACCTTTAATTATATTGAACATCCTACTACTAACTTCTTGTATCACGATATCTCAGTCTCCTCTGCTCATTTGTCCATTGTGCCATTTCAAATACATAATGAGCATTATGTGTTATTTCGAATAGCGAGTGAAAACTCAAAGGTTACTTGACCCACATGCAAGAGAAAACACATATGATGATAAGTATCACAGAAATTAACAGTAGACTTTCATAAGAAAGATAACATCCTAAATAAACTGTATCCATTTTTTATCACTGAATGAGAAGGGTTACCTTATACAAGTGATGCGAATGAAGTCAACATTGTCATCATATATATCGAAGAGAAAATCATAAATGTTGCTTGTAACAAGCATTTCCTTGAGTTTAAGTTGATATTAACACATTTTCTTTTCAACTGTCTAATAGTCAATGTAAATAGGTGAGCAATTGTTTTGGAGTGATATAACACACACACACACACACATAATAATAGGGGCTTTTCGTTTGTGTGGACGAGGACGTCGTTCACGTCCTCTAACGATGCGAATTGGCGTCAGACACTCGTCCTGTTCACTACCTTATAACCCTTTTCGTTTTAAGTCGACACCCGTTCTCTACACGATGACGTAATGGGCCCCGCACGCGCTTATTCAATTTCTCCTTCTTCTTATTTTGTTCTTCGTTTATTATTCTATTATACTCTTTCTATTTTCCTTATGTTATTCTTTGTTTTTCTATCTTTCATCTTCTCTTCTATCTTTCCATTGTCTATTCTTTATCATTTTCTGTTTCTGTCTTTCCTAATGTTATTGTGGTTTTTATCATTCTATCATTTTTCTTTCTATCTTTCCTCATATTATTCTTTGTTTTTATCATTCTATCATTTTCTGTTTCTGTCTTTCCTTATGTTATTCTTTGTTTCTTCCTTCTATCACCTTTTCTTATGTTATTCTTTGTTTTTTTAATCATTCTATCACTTTCTCTTTCTGTTTTTTACTTTCTGATTTACGCTGCGATGTAGCAAGATGACGCCATTCTGACGACGGGTCATTAGTTGTCTGACGAACCTCAAATCATCGATGAACGGGTTCGCAAATGTGGCCTGACGACGCCAGACGACCCGACGCATGCGCAGATCGCCGAAATGACGTCACATATTTGACGTCGACTATGTCGACGTGACAAACGAAAAACCCCTAATGGCATTTTACCCACATTCATTGCTTCAGCCCAAACTTGGTACAAGAGGACTTTAACAATACATCTTTAAAAGCCTGCTGCCCAAGCATCCGGAGCAGCGCAATTATGAATATGAAATCATTAGACAGGGGATTAGTTCATACCCTTCGTCATGAAATATGATTCAAGGTCACATAGGTCATACGTTTTTAATAAGAACCTACAAAAGTTTAGTACACTTTATTTTGATACGCACTGTATAGGAAGGCTGTCATTCGTGTTAAAGGTAATACAAAGTTTTGGTATGGGGTCATGAATTTGGTTTAAATGAACATATTGGAAGCATATGCGATCCTACAATATTAAATGATCGTTGTCGCAGTTGAAATCGAGTCTAAAGTTATGAAATTGTAAATAATTCACTGTTATGTTGTATAGCTCCCTCTCAAGGTCAATATATTAATTAAGTTATACAACGATGTTTCTTGACTAAAATCGACCGATTAGCTATTCCCGTTTTGGAAATTATATATCACATCTACTTATTCTGAGATGTTCATGGTCGCAGCTACCATTGTACGGCAGTAGGCGCTAATTGAAATTTATCAAAATTTACCGGGAGCACCGGTAAATTTTTATATTAAATATTTCTCGAAAGCAGAAGTGTTTCAGGGGCTAATTTTTCTAGTGCTTAATACCCCACAAAAGTTCACTAATATAGCACATCGACACGGTTTTGATTCTGGTTCCTCACAGTTACGAGGCCATTGCTTTGTCACTGAACCATAACTGTACGCAGCGGGGGCTAGGGTATAGGGGGCAGTTTCCATAAATAAATTTAAAAAAAGAAAATGCAATAAATTTTCAATAAAAAAATCCTCTGGACGGCCATGCATTATGGCTCAAGGCATGGGCACACAGAGGATTTTTTAGTGCCCTTTTGTGGGGCATTAATCCTCATTACTGTTATTTTATGACTTAAGGGCGTAGGTCCCCTAGTTGATAAGCATAGTAGCATACACATGCTTTAGCAGTCACGCAAAACACACATTGGCAAATTATTATTCAATAAAATCTGACAATGTATTCTATTATCTAGATCTATTATTTTTAAATTATTTTTTAAATAATTCCATAAATTGGGGTAAAACTAAAATATTCCAACTCTATGAGCGACAGTGTATGTCCCTTTTACAGCCAACATCAAATTATGTAGAACTTTGCAGGAATTATTAATATGTCATGTATGTCCTATCTGTGAAATTTAAACGTTAGCAGTGTCCTAATATTCAAAATATGCAAGGAAACCCGTTTACTTGCTAGACTTTACTGACAGACACTATTGAGTGACTGACTGTTATTTTTTCTTCTTCTTTGGTAATAACATACATAAAATGAGGTGTGAAGGGTACATGAGCATTTGTCTACATCAATAACTCAATTCTTGTAATGGCCAAAATTAAACCGATTGAATCTTTGCGCAGCATAAGACGTACGACCATTTGGTACAATGGTCTGAAAATCAGACTATTACTTACTGGCTCTATAGCTTTTAAGTCGATTTGACAACTAATAGTCATTATTTTCCCACTTAAAGACATTTTCAAGCCCCCCCCCCCCTTCTTTTTTTGTTGGGGGGGGGGGGGTTCTAAATAAGTATTATCTTCCAAATGCCGTTGGAATTTAACCTTTTCATTTTTTGGCCGGCAAATGGGACAGGGTACCTTTAAGGCAGCTTGGGAAATGAGCAATTTTTAATATACATGACTGTTGATATAAATAATATTCTCTTTGTTTGCATATTGTGTTACGATCTTCAAGGATTTGTGTAGACATTTCTGTATCAGATATCAATCAAATAAAAATGCTGGTACATGTACAAACATACAACAATGGGAATAAATGAATACAATAATGAGTTGTATGGATTCCTCCTCCTGTTTCTTTAAGTGTATACGTGCAAAAAAAATGTTGCTATATGCGAAATGACAACATTAAAACGTATTGTGATTTGTTTTAACTTCATATACGTTATTGTGTAGCACCTATTGTTTAGAACTTATCCAAGAGTTTACTGCTTAACTTGTTCTCACATTTTGAAACATGTACACAAATATTCTAAGTTTTCATTTATCATGATGTAAAGATTTCTTTACTGCATGTAGAGTTCATCTGCGCACTACATGAAAAAATTGCCTTGAATTAAATATATATCACGCGTTAGTGTTCTGTATATTCCAAATAACGGATATCTTGCCTTTCCGGGCAAAGCAGAGTTATGCAAAATAATCAACCTAAGTTTGTCCTCTCTTTTGTAAAACACTGTTTTAATAAGAAGAAAAAGAAAGGAAAAGAAAGAAGAAATAAAGAAGAAGCAGTGGAAGAAGAAGAAGAAGCAGAAGAAGCAGAAGAAGAGGAAGTAGAACGTAACCCTTCCCTTGTTCATAGACGCAGGTTATGTCTAGTGGAAAACACTCCGTCCCTTGGATAGGACGTTAAATGGAGGCCCCGTGTAGAGAAGAGTCACTACCTTTGCACGTTAAGAACCCACTGCACTATTCGTATAAGAGTAGGGGGCAACCCCGGTGTTGTGGTCCACCTGCACACACCCCCAGTATAGTACGATAATACTCTGTAAAGAGGTCTGTATTCAAAAGGAAGAAGAAGAAGAAGAATAGGAGGAGAAGTGGAGGAGAAGAAGAATTATCGGCCGTAAGCGAAATTATGATAGAAGTGAGAAGTAATAAGCCCCTGCCTCTCCAGAGAACAGACACTCTAACTCTCGATCTCTTCCTAATTATGTATTTCTCTATAATGTCTGTCTGACTCTCTGTCTGTCATTTTACTATCTCTCTCTCCCCCTGTCCTTACAGGGTAGTTTGTTGTGTGTACATTGTGTGTGTGGCTGGGTGACGGGGGATATTTGCCCTTTTTTCTCGATCGTAATCTATTAATTGAACATGTATTGAGTTATTGGAATTATGTTATTATGATGAAAAGGAATTATATTTTTGAAGAATCATTGTATCGTTTTCATGTTGAATGAAATCAAGATTAAAAATTACGGAAAAACAATAATCTTTATCTGGACACACACACCCATTTTCCCCAAAATTAGCCCGATACATTATAGTACTTGATGAGGACAAGTCACACATAAGAATGAGGAGTAGACGTGATAATAGAAACTAGTAGAGGGGACATACAAATTAAAACAGTTAGCTAGGTAGGGACGATATCTTAAAATGTTCACTGTCTTTGGTCTGAAATGACTTTAAAATCCAACTGGAATTTGATAGGGTGCTAGATTTTGAATATTGGTACTCACAAATTCATTTGGAAAGCTAAATCTTTATGGTGTCATTTTGTTTCTAATTGATAGTCATTATTTCAATGATTCTTTCTTTTTCCTCATGCAGTTACACCAACTCGTCTCAAGTTCCAGTGGTTTATATTCAACCTGGTCCTGAATGGTTCTATAGTGATAACCTTCGCCTTCTGGATCCTCTACTACACCACACCTTCCATCCAGATACTCTTCGCTAACATGGTGAGGAATATTAATCTTCATCTCTTACCAGCTATCTTCGCTCTAGTAGACCTCCTCACAACATCTGTTCCTATCCGCTTTGTTCATGCTATATACCCGATCTGCCTTGGTTTGGTTTACGTCTTGTTCGCTGTGCTCTACTGGAAGGCAGGCGGTACCAACCCATGGGGTCTACCTTTCATCTATCCTTCACTTGATTTTGGCGATGATCCTAGCCAGGCTTGGATCTTTGTCGTTGAAGTGATAGGAGCTTCCATAGTGTGCCAAGCAGCAGTCAAAGGGCTATATCTTCTTCGGGAATGGACAACACATCAAGTCAATCCATCTTATACAGCTTTAGATGGAACCAACACAGAAAATGGTGCAACCACGGGATCTCATATGGAGCTTTCTGATAGGTAACATGTTATATAACCATGATCAGTGGTAATCTTGCCGATCGACAGAAGAATCAGGCGAGAATTGTAAAAAGTTATATTGGTATGTGGTATAAATATAGTTGTTCATCTTTGATTTCGGTTGTGTGGCCCTCATCTAGTCGTAGCAGTATTTCAATCCGAAGCATCAACTTGACTTCACATCCTATCGTAAGATTCTGGATTCTGCGTGATCCTACCCCAATTACATGGTCAGGACCGACAATTATAGATCAACTCGCAGTGTCAATATTCACTTTGTCGAGAACCGAATCACCCCCGAACCGTCCTCGGAGAGAACTCAGCCGACTTCTGTCAAGCCCCTGACAACTTTCGGGATAATTAAACAACAACAAAAATCATTAAAAGATTAACGACAAACAGATAACAGTAAAACCAAAATTACATCATCCCGGATTTTTTTTTTTTGGGGGGGGGGGATTTGTTATGTTCATCCAATAGTCTGTAATTATACGCTAGTTTATGTCAAATAATGTTATTTCCTTACTACAATAAAAGACCGAAATTATTTAACAATTATAATTGTGTTCATAAGTTTATATCATTTATATTACATCTGATTTAGTCATCATTGTATACGACATGTATTTCTGTTAATTCATGCATAATTAAATCTTAAGATTAATCATGTAATTTATTATATAATTGATTGTTGTAAAGCGCATAGAGAGCTTATTATTATGCGCTATATAAAAATGACTTTATTATTATTATTATTATTACGCCAATCTTTTTTATTTAGGGTTGATTTGACGAATATTAAAGAAAGTCGGGTTATTATGCACACGATTACAACGTGAATTTAAATACTTGTGTTAAGTTTATTCTTCTTGATTTCGATTCTTTGTGGATTAATTGCAATTTAAACTTTGTAGGACCTTTCTCTCTATTGCATTAATGCAATATTCTTCCTTTATCATGAGTTCTTGATTATTCTCTTTGCTGATACTAATCATATTGAAGAAACTGATTTTGATACAGAAGCCTAGCTATCAGATTATTTGTCACCAATAGACCGGTTTTCTAACATATTCAAAATGTATATTCAAAATTTGATACAAATGTTGTTCTTGACAACCCGAAAAGGTTGCCAGATGCTTGCCCGACAAAGCATCAACTAATTTATGCAGACTGGACTACCAGTTTTGTAGTTCATTCATGAATAACAGGTTAATGGAATAACTCGTTACTAGGAAGGAAACATCCATAAATGTGAATATGTTAGTAAACCGGTATATTAATGCAGACCTTCTTGCCTATTGAAATATAGAGAAACGTCAGCGTCAAATAAAGTAGGATCCAAATGGTAATGCATCAATGGGCTATTTTCGTAATGTAACCAAATGTAATGCGTTGACATACCTAGCAACATCTAATATATGCAGTAAACATTCTGCATATTGAAATACTATTATTCTTATCAGGTGAATGAATTAATTAGTATTGAGGTACTTCACAAAGACTTATATTTTAAATTTGGTTACATAACGAAAATGGCCTATTCACTCTAGTCTAGAGACATATACAGTGCATATTTAAAAACAACCTATACCTAAATTTGGTAACTTATGATTAAAAGGCCATAATCTATGTGACCTTGAAATCTATTTCATTGTAAAGAGTCATTTGTTTTCTCTCGGATGGTTCGCTATTCATAATTTTCTGCAAGGGATGACTGAGCACCCAAGTTTTGGCCGAAGCACCAAATGTGGGTCAGGCCATAAATTATGTATGTATTAAACACCTTTCTTAAATTACCTTATTGGCGTTGTAAGAGGATATCTACCCCGTTTCGGCACTTGTGTACGAGACATCAATGGTATAAATTTACAATGATTAGTAGCAAAATGATATATAAATATAAACCTGCCCAGAAACCTGATGCATCTTGCGGACCTTCCTTTGAAACAGCAACGGCTTGAGTGGGTGACTCCAACAAGACACAGACATGAACAAAGAGCTAGAGTGATGACAAAGAGCGACTTCAACTTGAAAAGTGTGTTGATAGTAACCGAGAGATTTTTCTTAATTTACCTCGAAAGTAAAGGTTTTATGAGGGAATTTCTGCAATCACTTTGATGAGAAGATGAATGCGTGGTGATTTCGACTGTCCAAGGGGCGGGTTGGCTTCGGTATTTATACAATTTAAGCCCCTCCCACTCTTTACCAAATTTGGTGACAAGGAGGGGCCCGAGCTAGTTCGACAGAACCTTTTGTGTATTAAGCCGAGTTTTTGTGTATTATGACGATTTTTAAATTCAAAGTCTCTAGAACTGTTTTCATTAATATGTACTGATATGTGAAAGGGGCAAGGTTATTTCTAATGTATAAGTACATGTAGACGGTCACCCTTTCACATGCGACCCTGAAACATGTTTGTGATAATAGCTCAAGGTGACTTATGACTTATTTGTATTTCTATTTTGTTTGACTCCAGCTGTTTAAACAGGAGTACTAAATAGGAGAGACTACCTTGCTACTTTCACTACATATGTAGTTATTATTCAAATAAATCTCAATATAGTGAAAGATTTGTAGGAAGTTATCCAATCCAATCTGGGAATGTGTAGGCCGCCCATATCCAGCTGCCTACTCAAATGTACTGATGGGTGAGACTTAGAAATGACTGACTATGTCGCCCATGATTCACCTGGGAAAGACTGGGGTTATGGCTAGTTGTATATGGAATAGATGTGGGTTTTGAAAGTATAGCAGGTCACAATATCCTTGAAAGAGCGTAGGTTTTGAGAAAGACTGTTCCACAACCTGGGTGCAGAAGTAGAGAAAGATCTATCGCCAAGCAGAGAATGATATGCATGTATGGCATAACGAATGAAGGCGCGTTCCCGTAAGTATAGACGAATTTCAACCATTGCTGCTGATGAAAAATAGATTTGCCCTTATAATCAAAATCTACTTTATAATACTATAATTATCCTGATCATGATTATAAATCAGTCAGAAATAGAGATTGATTGTCAAGATCTTTAGGCATACGTGGAGTTGCTGTTTAAAAGAGGAGGAAAAAAGCAATACCGTTGTGCCGCGTCCACAGTCAGTTCATATCAAGTTCAGATCGGGTAAGTTTGCCATTTCCAGGCAGTAAAAGCCAGTCCGTAGTCAATTTATACCCGTTATTAACTAGTTCAACCTCGTTCCCAATACGACCAAATCCATTTTAACTCAGTTCAGAGACAGTTCTTAATGCGTTCGAACACGCTCCTAGAGCGAGTGCAATCATGTCGTGGCTCAAGGGTTATAAAACCCCAGCGCGTTCTTGCCATTCCTTAATAGGGACTTTTAGATTTACACGACAAGAACGTGGTCCGTCACGTGTGACATCCTTTTAAGGTACATGTGACGTCCTTTTAAGGCACAGCCAGGCACGGCCCAGTGCCTTAGCACAATGTCACACGCGGCAGTCCACGCTCTCGTCGTGTAAATCTAAAAGTCCCTATTCCCGTCCAACTTCAACGCGTCAAGCTGTGCAGATCAAGACATTCAAGTGAAGCCCCCATCACACCAACTAGTTCTCACTTCGTTCTGTCAAATGTTGCCAAATGGGCTCAATCTGTCTGCGAACGGAAGGAACGTAGTAGCATCTGTTTACTATCTATTTAAGAACGTCATGGACGGGCTCGGACTAGCTTGGACGAGAAGGGTGTTCTATAACTTCGAGCCTGTTCAAAATGTTTCCCCTCCTGCAATTAGACGGAGTGACAACGTAATTAAAACGAAATAAACGTACTACGAACAGAATTGCCGTACTTCGGTCCTACTAGGAACGTGTTACAACGTGACGTGGTCGAGCATCAATATTTATCAGTAGCATTATTGAACGGAAATGAGGAATTGCAAGAACGCGCTGGGTTTTTGTAGCCCTCGAGCCTATAGGGGCGCGTTCGAACGCACTAAGAACGAGATGAGGACGAGTTGAACTGTCCTTGCACGGGGTGGTCGGGTTACAAACTAGTTAGAACAAGTTGCGAACTGGTTAGAATGGTTTGGACATTGTGAACAAGGTAGAACTAGCTAAGAATTGGTTTAAACTGACTGCGGACGGAATACAGACGAGTTGGACGTATTGAGGACTGTTAAAGCCCCCATCACACCGTATTTATCTGAACTTGATATGAACTGAATGTGGATGGGTTACAGACGAGATGGACGTATTGAGGACTGTTTATGTACGATCTAGGATCGTATTATAGACACTATTTACACATTCGACCCCGACCATAAACCGTTTTACGATTTTCAAGGACGGTTCCAGAACGTAGTGAGAACTAGTTTGGTGTAATGGGGACTTTACTTTGATCAATGGTGATGATGCTGATGAAGAAGATGATGATGATGATTATGGTGATGAATTAATGAATGCTTTGGGAATGACTTTATCAGCTTTTGGTAGAGTAATATTTTGTAATTTTCTTCAATTTTTTTAAAATCACTCATGCGTGAAGTATGCATCATATGAGTTGCATCAAAAAATGAAAAAAGCGGATCTGAGCTTTACAAATATGTGTCATTTATTAGTTATAATTGTGATTAAGTCATGATAAATCGATAATTCTCGGTTTCGTTTTTTTCCGGGACGCACTGTACGTATTTTATAAACATGAACAATAATGATAATTATTTAAAAATGATACGGATGGATCGCTCTATTTAGAGTCAATTAATCTAGTAGATCTGTTCTTCCTAGCGATATAGTAATGTCTTGTAGCAAAAGTAAGAATGGAATTTCCCGCTTCTTACCGAAATCCGAGTAATTAAACTTAAAGCGTAGTCCAAAATCTGGTCGGTTCTTTATATTCCCTACAATAATTGATTAAAGCCGCCGAAGATGGCGTGATCAACAAACTCATACGCTCACCAGCCCTATGGGCCCAGCTTTTCGCCTGGTGTCCACGCCATATTCGGCTGTCAGCAAGTAAGTAGTGGAAGGTCGCATTGCGTTGGTGTGATGGACTAGAGATCAAAATTAAATCGGCCAGATTCTGGACTACGTAAAGCGGGGACGTTGAATATCTTACAACTGTGAAAAACACGTGTTTTTTTTAATGGTGTCTTAACAACATTTTCCCGAAAGTTTCCCTAAAATTATCTAACATTTTAACAAGCCAAAAAAAATCAACAAACCACAACAACTCCCCCCCCCCCCCCCAAAAAAAAAGGGTACCGAGATTCAAGACTAAAATTCTGATAACAACTTTGCGAAACGACGTGAGATGTGATGACATGATTTAAAACTAAAAGATCTTGGGATTATTATGCAATTTCAAGTGCGTCCCAGAAAAAAAGCTTAGATCCTCCTCTTTCATTTGGTGCAACTCTTATGATGCATATTCCACGCACAAAGAAGACGTAAGACTTGATGCATGGTTGATCGTCAACGAAACGGAGTTAAGTCTTTTGTCAACTCTGTTAGTTGCTACGGCAGGCAGCCAGTGAAAAAGAATTTGTTTAATCAAATCATGAAAAAGCAAGCTTTACTTTAAACAAACAGAATTTGTTATTCCTGATTGAGGTGTCATAAGAAAGGGCAGAAAATGAACTTTTTAGAAATGTGATTTTTCTCTTTGAAATTCAGATACCGCCCGCCAAATGACTTTTTGGTTTCCTCTCTTCAAATTGTTATTAATTACTCATGCGTGAAATATGCATCATATGAGTTGCACCAAATGAAAGAGGAGGATCTAAGCTTTACGAATATGTGTCATTTGTAAATTATAATTGTGATTAAGTTATGACATCGATAATTCTCGGTTTCTTTTTTCTGGGACGCACTGTATGATCTTGTGATATAAGGCAAGATAAAGGTACAAGAAAAACCGATAAGTAATGTGCATGGTACCAATAAAAGGAATCACTCGTCATTCGGCCTATAAAAAAAAGGATGTTTATTTTAGTGCCAAAACATGGGTCGGTCTGTCGGAAATCCTTTTTTTTTATCAACTTTTTGTTCTTCTTTTTTCGCCCTGATTGGGCTGATATTTTTCACTTTAGAATGCCTTATTTTCTCTAAAATACTATTTAAAAAAAATGTTTACAAAAATTAAAAAGCCGACCATAGAATTCAAGATTTTGGGGTCGGTCGCAAAGGACAATACAACATTTTTTTTTTTAGGCCTTAAGGTAGTTTTCTGAAGGTGCGTTTATTAAGTCGCCAGCCTACGAGACCAGCACTGAGGGCCTGAAGGGCTGTCAGTATAGCAAACCCTCTAGAGAATCCACAAAACCGTCATTGTCGGTCACTTGGGCTGTGGCCCGGTCTGTAACTCATGGAACACTTGTTTCTCCGAAGGTTTGTCATTCCGAAGAATCGCAATGCCAAACATCAATTTACCATACCAGATGGTTCATTTTTTTGACATTGTTGCATCATTCCAAAGGTTCGTTTAACCGAAGGTTCAACATTCCGAGATTTAAATAGGGTTCATTTTCCATGGAAATATTCATATCTCAATAGGGTTCGAGACATAATAGGAGGAAGGGAGGGAAAAAAGGGGGAATAAAAAGGGTGTATGTGTGTGACGGACAGACAGACTGGAAGGTAATTATTGACCACATAGACAACAGCGAGATAGAGAGAGAAAAAGTAAAGATGTAGAAGAGATAGAAGAGAGCGAGAGAGAGAAAAAAAAAACGAGAGATATTTTTTAGATGGATAGATGATGTCCGATTTATCACTGACCGACCAATGCCAAACACACAGTTCTACTACTTTTGCATTTTAAGTTTTCTTAAGTACAATAGAGTTAAACAACTGAGATTGCCCTTAAATCTATTTCTGAAAGTCATATTGCGATTTTGTTATGCATATATAAAATGGGTTCCTGATTGCTTTATTTTAATTTCGTTTAATTTTGTCGTTATATCAATCAATTTTTATAATTAAAAGAGGCCAGTGAGCTCTGTTAAATTAACCATCTAGATCATTTCCAAGTTGTCACTCTGTAGAGTAATAAACAGGCAATCAGGATCTAACGATTTCTCCTTACTATCTAATTGAGCATCACCACCTTACAGATGCAAAGGCCTAATATGAATTGACTATTTTTAATTCTCCATATGCAGATAAAATTGATCTAAAGCAAGTTCCCGTTAAATCTATTTTCTCACAACCGTTTTTTTAGCATTATAGACAACATTAAGCACACCTCAACACCTTTGAAATTGTATATAGACCATGTCTGTTTAATTCAGTTCAATTAAAGAAAAGTCTTATTTATAGACATAATCAATGAACGATCAATGAGTTTCGTATCACATTTCTGTCAGTCAGAATCAATACAAATTTGTGTCAGAAAATTCAGAGAAGCAAAGGAACTAATCTGTCCTGAAGGAAAAGAAAATCTATCACGAAATTCAATATACATTTACAATATTTAGAGAACAAATCGGAAAACAAGGCCTAATTTTATCAAACACTTTTTCACTGTTGTGTGTATGAAACTAAGGTTTACATTCTATCACTGGTATGTGTCTGAATCTGATGTGTTCATTTTATCACTGTTGTGTGTATGAAACTAAGGTTTACACTTTATCACTGGTATGTTTCTGAAACTAAGGTGCACATTTTATCACTGTTGTGTGTACGTAACAAAGATGTTCTAAACGCATGACAAGAACTGACAACTTTGTCAGATAGTACAGACGGCGCAAGTAATTTCGTAACCATCGATGTAGGGTCCACAATCCAAGCCATCACCCACCACACACCGGACTTCTGTCAGGCACAACAGCGCACCATTCTGATCCCCCATGGTACCCGTTTTAGGAACCATCTCTCGGTCCACACACACAAATTCCGATCTCTGGTGTGTGTTTCTTTCTGCCATAATATAACCAGCGTACTCTAAACGCCACTCTTGAGAAGGACACACGTTGCGGGCAGGGATCATAAGTTTGCTGGTGCGACCAGAGGGCGCCCTGCAGACTGCACAGGTCGGAGTCTGGTCATGCATTTGTCGTATTCGTGAAGGACCAGAATCGACTTGGTATTCAGAGGAGTATAGTAGGGCTCGGTCATCATGTAAGGAAGTTTCTACTTCGTCATAGATAGGCTCGTCCGGCATGCAGAGATAATTTGAGCCGCTACCAGTGTGATCGAAGTGTGCACCTCCAATAGAACCTGATTAAATCACAAAGTAATGTATCACAAACAAAGGTAAACCCACTTATAACAAATTCAAATTCATCAGAATCGAATTAAGCATGATGAAGGACCAATGACAACCACTGTAGGCAACACCGAAGAACGTTCAAGGAGTAATTTCAAACCAGGTACCCATTTAAACCTGCGCAGCGAGTGACAAATGTGGATTAATATCTTGGCAAAGTACATTAGTAAACTAGGTTGGGACTCGACCCTCGAATCATATTATCTACTGTCTAATGACATAATATACGACAACTCCACAACCCATAACGGCACCTGAGTAGAGTATTCCACTTGGGCTAATCCTTATGGTTGGTAATGGCATTACATAGCTCATTTGCATAACAAGTTGCACAGGGGTGTCATGGTCTAGCGGTACGTCACCAGAATGTTGATCACATGGTTCGGGGTTCGAGTTCCGTACTTAATGTACTTTTGCAAGAATTTATCTACATTTGCCTCTCTCCACTCAGGAGTTGTAAGTGTGAATCTGGTAATTATTAATTAATTGAATGCCTTTTAGTGTTTTTGTTAGGGCAGCCGATCTAAAGACATCGGTAATTAAAGTACTTATAGGCGCCTTGAGCATTATATAGGATTGATATTTGCGCAATATAATTGTAGCTATTATTACTACCTTAACATTAATGATCTGTTAGCATAAAATTCGGTTTTCTATTTGTTTTTATATTGCATCTGCTGTATAAATAAGGGTCAAGTTCAAAGAAACTTGGCTTACGTTTGTGCTTTCACGTAACCCTCACCGATTCTTTTCAGCCAGTGAGCCTATTGAAGGCATGTGTTTCGTTTGAGTTTGTTGCACAACATCAGATTGATTGTAGATTACACTAACATTGAAACAAGTGGGCAAAGACTTTTGAAAAATGAACTCGAGGATATTTCATTTCCTATTGTGTATCCCATCATGTTTGAAATGCGTTAAAGTGTTCGCACATTTCAATATGACATACGGACAAGGCTATTGAAATTGGCTGTGGTTGATTTTCAGAAAGTCCTTGCGATTATGTCAAAAACATGTTCAGAGTGTTTCCCCATGTGATATTACCCATCTGTACCAACCTGAATAGATGTGTTCTGCATCTTCAGGACATACATCATTGCCCCAGCGAGTATAGATGACACCAGGTAGACTTGTCATGTTACATACTGGACGCACTAAGTCATCACCGGGTAATTCAGTTGGGTTTGTTTCGTCGCTGGGTGAAGTGGGAGGTACCTCAGCTAAAATGTTAAACATTTAGAAAATTCATACATTGGAGTCTATGAATCGATTTGAATAAACGTATATTATCAAAAGTAGTTAATTCAATAAAGCCGCAAAAAGCTACCACATATTATTGTGTAATTTACCCGGCTTATATTCTCACCATTATCAATGGCTAATTGCACGTATGCTTTTTTTAAGCGGCGGCTGTAAGGACATAAGAATGTGAAAACAAAAAACCCTCGAGTGACCTTCAACTATCCGTCTTCATATTGTATTTTTTTATATAAGCCTATAGTATCTCTTCATTGAGTAAATTGCTAAAGACAACACAGGAGTTACAATATCCGATGTGTTTTCCAATAACTTTAATTTTTATTTTGCTAGCCATGCATTCTCCAACTTGAATAATCACAATGTCACAATTATGCTTGTTCTAGAACCTCTGCATGTCGTGCTATATCGTGTCAGATTGATGTCGTTATAAACCTACCTTGTGGACTCGTCGGTGCATCCCTTCCATCTCTACCGTCCCTTCCAGCAACCCCCTGTGTGCCTGGAGGACCTCTTTGTCCAGGAACACCAGGAGGACACATGAAGCATTCACCTAGAGAAGAAAGAGCATATTCATTTCATATCAAGTTTAATGATCTGCGAGTCTTAAACACTTCTGCCGGCATAAAATTATATTCCAATCAAAATAGCTCCGTCTGAAGGTCATTCTTCACCTGGATGATAATGGCCTACGTCATACGTTCCATCGATAATTTCTTATTTCTCCTAGTTGACGCATAGATATTTTAGTTTCGGATACTGATATCTCCTATTTTCGGACTTTGAAGGGACTTACATGTCCAACCAACATGACCTATGGCTCTAAAAGATCGTTTGGGCATTTTATGTAGGGCTCACTCGTTTTTCTGTTTTCTTCTAGTCAACGCATTTGTTAGCTTTGATGTTTTTGTTCAACTTTCATTGCGTACAATATTTTACCAGTACTGCCCTGTCTAATGCAGTGGTTTCTGATTTGAAATCTGGAGATTTTGAGGTCGATTTCCTGGTTGTTACATGCTGGCTTTTTAGGCGCCTCAAGGCCTGCTATGTGTCCTTGTTTACGTGTCAGGTGAGAGTATCATCATTCGAAAGGTTAATGCAAAATGTACATTTGATTTCCTAGCGCACGGACTAAGGTGAGCATTCGTATGCGATAGGCATTAGAGAAATTAAGAAACTTCTAGTCTCTATTCCATAAGAATTGTTATAGATAACTAGTTACTTCAACTATTATAAGCTATGCTAAAATCTTTGCAATTTTCGTAGAATCTTAGCATATGTTATTGATAAGAAAGTTTAAGAGACGGGGACCTGGTGTTCTTACCAGAATACATGGGCCATGAGTATGGTCCGAATGGGTTCTGACCCAGGCTTGGCTGCTCGGCGCCTGATGATGGGACCGATGTCGGGAGAGTCGATGGCGAGTCGACTTCCCTTCGACGTCGTGTCTTTTCAGGTTCTCCCAGCTCAAACTCGGTCTCGAGAGAGTCAGGAATGTGAATCTTGGCCATCATTGATGGATTCTTCGCAACGAGTTCGAGAGTTGAGAAGGAACGGATGATCTCAGCAACGGATTCCTACACGATTTTGTAGTTAAAAAGTTAAGATACACATTTTTTGAAAGAAAATCACTAATACCGTACCCTCGATATTATTTTCTTTGATTAAGGCAGTGTGATGAAGGTAGTCTTCAAATCTGATATGGATTTTTTTTTGTGATGGAAGATGCCTTCCAACCCTACGATAAGTTGCCGGTAGACTATAATAGGCATTTTGGCCCAAAAACGTTAAAAATGGTCCACCTTCGAGTAGAATTAGTAGATTTTGAAGGTTTTAATCATTCATGAAAAGATTATGTAGTGAAATAAGAGCACAGATCTAGAAAGCTTTTGCTTTCATCAGTAAAATAATACTTATCCTGTGGTGCATGTCTTACTCCAGCTAGCCAGGGATTTATTTGTTTAGTTTAAAGGGAACCTTAAGCAATGGGCTACTGCTTTAATTATTCATCCTGTCACTTTATTGCACAGTTATGTTTTGGGGTTGTTGTTTTTTAATACCAAATCTCCCATTGAGTTATTTCATGTGCTATGTCTCGAACAAAGCCGCAGATCACATAATTCGTCTCCGGGACGAGTTCAATGTCTAGTAATATAATTCTTACTTCATTTTGATAGAGAGGGTAGAAAAAACATCGAATGTGCTTTATTTGCTAATTACAGTGCTTATATAGCGCCTAACAATTACTTTGTCAGAAGTCTCTAAACGCTCTACAATAATGCAGCATAATTACCCTGGCTTTAGCAGTGCAGCTGTTACGCGCGCTGCATTTCAAGGAATAAATTCCTACCAGGTACCCATTTACTTCACCTGGGTGGAGTGTGGCAAATGTAGATCAATGTCTTGCCAAAGGACATTAGTGCAGCGGTGGGACTCGAACCGCGGACCTTGTGATCGACAGTCCGGCGACGTATCCACTCGACCACAACACCTCTACTTTGCTATAACACTTCGATCATTCCGATATGCATTCATCGATGAAAATACCTCGGCCACTACAACGAAAACGCCCTTCAAAGAGTCCGTAACACCATGAAAAAATACATATTGTTTAAATATATATTAAGCCATGTTGTGAATCATGCTGTAAACTTATACATTGCTTTATCTGCGGGGCAAAGTTGAATTCGAGGAGATAATGATTCAACAATATCCTTTAACTATATCTCGTATATCATCCCATGCATAAACAAAATATAAACTAACCCCTAAAATGGAATCCCTTTGGAGAAGAAAATTGTCATTTTAGACAACTTAAACGGGGATCTCAAGTACAGTGGTTCTGATAAAAAAAAACATTACAATCATGATAACTATGGGCGGGCAGTGGCGTAGGACTACTGACGTTAAAAGGGGGCGGGCACTGGTCGTACTAACAATAGGTGGGCGAAATGCGGAGGGCTTACAGGGAATCGTAGATCTCCTTATCTGCCTATCATTTTCTTTTATTTCAGTTTCACTTTCCTTCCCACTTCTCCCTCGTTAACATCTCAACTTTCTTTCTCTCTCTTTCTCTCTCTCTCTCTCTCTCTCTCTCTCTCTCACCGCATCCCATATTCATTTCAATTCATCATTCGATGAAGAGGAGGTGGCTAGCGTGACACTATGTGTGCCAACAGGGCAGGAATAATATTCATCATCTTCTTCTTCTTCCTGATAGTAGTAGCAGCAGTATATATTAATATTATTATTGTTACTGTTGTTACCAATTCTCTCTCTCTCTCTCTTTCACTCTCCATATTCCAAATTTATTTCAATTGATCATCCAATGAGGGGGACGGCTGGCTAACGCTACCCCATTTGTGTCAACCGGTCAATAATGATATTAGGTAGGCTTTTGGTTCTCGTGACGGAAATTGCAAATATTTCGGTCTGAATTTTTTTTTTCAGTTCATGACAATTATAACCTTGAATTTTAAAATGCTGAGTGGATCATAATTTCGCATTTTAAAGTAAAAAACGAAGACAACTGCAATATGTCAGCCCAATTCCCAGTTTTAAATAATACAACACTAAGACGTATTTGAAACTGAAACACTCTTAGGACCACGGATTCTCCGGCATTCTCTATGTCACGAGGTTGAAAGAATGAAAATGAGTCGAACATCTGGCATGGTTATAATTTCTGGATGATAATTATGATAAGACTAAAATCTTTTATCAAGATAATTATTTCATGCAATAATCGGATAGAACAATGACACTAATAAGCGCTAAACAGAACACACGTAATACTTTATCTACCTCAATATTAATAATATGAATATGTTTAATTATCCTATCATCACGGAACGTGATCTTCAGTGAGTTCTTTCGTATCCAATTTTCATGAGTTAAAAAATCCGATACCATTACCACGAAAGTATGTCATGTGCATGTATATACCTTGATTATAGAGGAAATAATAACTATTATTACCCGTATCAGACATCTGAGCTGGTCATTTACAAAACCGTATTGCCCTAGTTTTCACTAGCAGTGGGAACGGAGGGGTATATTATTTGTATTTTCCTTGGTCTCCCTGCGCGTATTGACTTTGCGTGTAGAGACGAGTGAAAATATACCTTGGTATTTTCCACGGTCTCGCACCCGGCCGGGCATCTTGTATTGACCGCGTCGCATTTTCATTGCGCATCTATTATGCGTACGAGAACCTGCGCACTTTGCGCGCACTCTATTGTGACGTAATAATCACACCAAAATACACACTGTTTGCAGTGTATCGAAAATTTTGTCAAGCACTGGATGCACAGTGTTGGTTTGACAAAGTTTGTTCAGTTCTTGAGATTGTCATGGTGGATGTCTGTATTTGCTCTAGATGTCTGATTTAGATAACAATAAAAATATTGACTGGCTTTACTTTCGGGGGATATCAGAAATATTGACCGCGCTAAGACCATATTGCCCTCGTCTTTCGACTCGGGGCAATATGATCTGAGCTTGGTCAATATTTCTGATATACCCCTCAAGGCCAGTCAATATTATATAAATATCGCTAAAATGATTCTCCTCCCCCTTTTCTCATTCGTCCTCTTCTTCTTCTCCCTGGTAGTAGTAGCAGCATTATAATAGTTAATATTAATATTAGTATTGTTACTGTTGTTACCCCTATACCTGTCTCTCTCTCTCTCTCACTCACCATATTCCAAATTTATTTTAATTGATCATCCAATGAGGGGGGTGGCTGGCTAACGCTACCCCATTATGTACCAATAGGGCAATAATGATATGAGGTAGGCTATTGGTTCTCGTGACGGAAATTGCAAATATTTCGTTCTGGGATTTAAAAAAAAAAAATTGAGTTCATGACAATTATAACCTTGCATTTTAAAATGCTGAGTGGATCATAATTTCACATTTTAAAGTAAAAAATGAAGACGACTGCAATATGTCAGCCCAGTTCCCAGTTTTAAATGATACAACACTAAGACGTATTTGAAACTGAATCACGCTTAGAACCACAGATTCTCTGGCATTCTCGATGTCTAAAGGTTGAAAGAATAAAAATGAGTAGAACATCTGGCATGGCTATAATTTCTGGATGATAATTATTGTAGGACTATAATCATTTATCAAGATAAGAATCTCATGCAATATTCGGAAAGAACAATGACACTAATAAATGCTAAGAAAACACACGTAATACTTTATCTCCCCCAACTAGAATTAATATCAATTTGTTTAATTAGCCTATCATCATGGAACGTGATCTTCAGTGAGTTCTTTCGTATCCAATTTAAATGAGATTAAAAATCCAATAAAGTGCGACGGGAATAAATGCTTGGAGCCCGTCATGAGCATGTTAACGCCCCTGCTTAATCCCTATATTGGGATAGTGTCGTGGTCGAGTGGTTTAAGGCGCTTGACTGGAGATGCGAAGGTCGAGGGTTCGAATCCCTACACCGCACCAATATCCTTTGGCAAGGTATTTACCTGCAGTTGCTACTCTCCACCCAGGTGTTAAATGACACTTTCAGCCTTTAGTCGGTTTTGAGACGGGTTGGCGGTGTGGCCGCGTTATGATAAATTTATGATAAAATTGAAATTGAAATAAATTTACAAGTATTTAATGCAAATTGAATGCAAATGTTTATCACTTATATATCATAAACCCATTCAACTCCTCTAAAATAAAGCAGCACGTTTCATTGTCAACCAAAATCTGTCCATGTCTCCCCTCTCTTGTATTTCTCATTTATGCGCTTTGTGTAATGAAAAAAGAGCTTTATAATAAATGATGAGTGATTAAATGCTCTGCCGCGTAGCAAGGCACCATCTTTTTGCCCCCCTTTTCTTATTGTATATATTTCGTTCGCTTCATATCTCATTAATGACATGGTTAATGACAATGTAATTTTGAATGAATTTTAGATGCGATTTCATGTATCACGTTTGCTGTTAGATTGCTTTGACGGCAACATACCGTAGTGTCACTTAAGGAACACAATTGAATTCGATTTGATTGGGTGATATTTGCAGTTGTTGTTTTGAATATATCTATTGAGAATGGAGTACCGCCTTAAAGGGCCCATGACATCGAAATACAATTGTATTCCTGTTGGTGTGCAGTCCTGCATACATCTCATATTTTGATATGTAAACTTCTGAATTTGTTTCATAGATTTAAATATTTTTTGAAATGGCGCCCCGCTGCTCGCAGACTTTTTTCTTTCGAGTTTTGCGCATCTTTTAAAACTTTTTTTGTTGAAAATCGGGCGTATAGTTACAAAATCACGTGACCTTTTGTCTTTGCATGGCAGCCCGAAAATCGCTCATTTTCGTGATTTGTGTACAAAACATATAGAAATGTCATTTTTCCTAAAAAGAGATAAAACATTGGTTATTGGGTCTTGTTTAAAGTTTAGGTGTTTGTTTTGGGAGTCAAAATAGTTACATTGTAGTTAGAAATAAAAAACAATGACATAAACAATAAAATACAAAAGTTGAAAAAACAATAAAATACAAAGAAATTATCAAAACAAGAGATAAAATAAGGAATAACCTAGCTCTTCCAATTTTGTTGTCGTATTATTGTTTCAAATGGTTTAAGGAATACATGTAGTGAAAAAAGAATGCTTAAATATAAAGAATTTATGATTTATGGGTAAAAAGGTGAACATTATGACATTTTTTCGCATAAATTACCACAAATATGCAAATGAGGGATTTTTTCAAAAAATGAAATTTACCATAGTATTCTATACACTTGACTTGACGTTTCACGGCCGAGAACTTAGAGGGGGCATAATGCCCCCCCCCCCCCCGGCCGTATCAAGACCTCAAATAGCCCGACCTTTTTAGGGTACTCCGTTTCCAACGCATCCTTTCGAGACAAGTTTTGTCGAAAGGGTGCGTTTAACGCACCACACCTCGTCGCACCGCGTCGCACCACACACTTTCGACATAAGCCTGTGCCTAATGCACATTCCTTTCAAATTAAATAGTAAGTTCCATACAAGATTCATCATTTATTAGAAGAAAAAGAAAATAAGTGTGAAATAGAATCGTCGACGCCAGAGTTTAGTTTTTTATAATCAATGACTTTGAAGAATCCTGGACAATAAATCACACTTTTATGTTTCATTGCTGTGAGTAATATATGAAACAGGGTTATTACATCAAATTCATAATGAAAAGTTTATCACTTGAAAGGTCTTCCTCAGATAATAATATAGATATATTGACTGCTATGAGAGGCATCACTAGCTGTTTATATAGGTTCAAGTGGACGATACATCCTGCTATAACCCGAGGCGCTCCTCCGGGGCGTGCGGCGCGCCGAGGGGTCACAGCAGGATTTACATCCCCGAGAGCCAGTATAACAGCTATGTTTCGAATATTAAAGCAATCCATATATTTGTTATATAACGAATTCACAGACAAATTTATAAAGAAATCTTACTCCATCCTTTTCTTGAGTAAAGACTGGTTAAAACATCAAAGCAAATCAGAGACAATGTCTGTAAATCTTCGCTGGAAAGTTGCCTGAATGTAGCGATCAGTCGTGAACATAGAGATATGGTCGTGAATCGCAGACAAAAAGCATTGTATGGTATCCGCGCTCGCACAAAGAAACTTTGAACACGTAAACCAACGGGGATCTCAACAAAATTTATTTATGCGGCCCGTCTCACGGGACAACGGGCATCTTTAAAAAAAAAACTATCGACCGGTAGGCAGGCATGCGGACATCCTTCTAAAACTACTGACCGGTAGGCGCGCATGGCTAAAATAACGAATCCAATTTCGACCAATCAGATAATTAGATGTATTCACCATTCTAAAGAAAGGTATATAGGCCTTTTTTTTGTTGTTTACATTCTTTCAAATATTGAGCCAAAAATAACATTTACTTCATTATAAAATACGCGTGGCATCTACCCCTACATGGTATTCCTTTGTAATTTTTTAAGATTTTTTAGCAGGGATTCCATGCATTACTAAAAAAATGACGCCCGAATAAAACAAATAAAAAATGAAATATCACGTCTTAGAGATTATGTTGGAGGGAATTATTTGGAGCTCCACGAGGATTGAACCTTCACATCTATAAAATTGCACTGAAGTTAGGCCAGTGCCCTGTTTCATAAAACTTGCTATCAATAAAAAGTGTCACTTTTCTACAAATGTGCTCTCAGCCAATCAAGTGCAACAATTGCAGTAGCTTATAACAGTTATTGCAACTTTTATTGATAACAAGTTTTATGAAACAGTGCCCTGGCCTAACTTTAGTGCGATTTTATACAAACTGGTCTTAAATGGAAAGCAAAGATGTATACTTTTAAAAAAACGTGTACATACCTGAAGGAACAATACTTGTTTTCTAATTTCAGAGATTTTATCCTCTTCTGTCTGGGTCAGTTTGCCTGAATCTAGAATGTTTTCAATGTCAAAAGCTACATGCGAGAAGAGAGAAATGGAGAGAGAGAGAGGTGGACACGTTGAGAAATGTATAGATTAGATAGAGGTAGGGAGAGGGAGTAGGGTTAAGAGACAGAAGGAAGATAGAGGAAAGGAATGAGAGAAAGAAAGCTAGAGGAGGTGAGATAAGAGAGGGAGGGGTGGGTGCATAGAGAATGTAGGAGATATAAACAGTTGGATAGAAGCAGAAAATGAGGGGGAGAGAGAGAGAGAAAGAAAAAACAACTTTTGTTGCGTAATGACTTATTACAATTTTAGGGAGAAAGTGATCAATATTTATAATATTTTGATCAAAATCTTGTTTAACTTGTCCATTTTCTTTGTACAATGTTGTGGCCGTTACCTTCATTATCATGAATGTATTAGCTTAATTTGTTCAACCGTATTCCTAATAAAACGTTAAACAGGGAAGAAAAATTATCAACGCAAATTCGAATCAATGACGTAAGTTTATATATACGTAGAAACAGAGTATTTGAATATCAACTATATCAATAAAACATATCAGCTGACTAGAATATATATATATATTAGAAAGGCTAGATTTCTGCCTGGTGATAAATATATATATATATATATAATAATTATGTTCCATACACGCAAACATTGTTTTACCAATTTCGACCTTAGGGCTTGGTCACAAAATGATTTCATTTGACTTTGTAAAATGTTGTTATGCATCAAAATATACGCATCCTATCCACCTCCTATCTTTCTCAGTCCTATCCTATACATTATTTTAAAATGTAATATACTTGCACATCCTGTCCCTGGCTTAAACTAGAAACTTGCAATTGGCCAATCCCAATTAATACCTTTAGTTTAAATCATACACCAGAAAATGCTCTTGTGGATCAAAGTTATCGATTAAATCAATTGTATTAATTTGGGCTAAGATGACGTTGGTCGGGAAATAAAATCCTCCTAACACTTCTCAAAATATACTTCAATGATGTTGTTATTTAGGAAGATATCTACCCCGCTTCGGCACTTGTGTAAAATACATCAAAGGTAGTAGTTTTACAGTGATGAGTAGCACAATGATATATCAATCAAACCTGCCCAGAAACCTCACCTTCATCGTGCGTACCTTCCTTTGAAACAGAAACGGCTTGGGTGACTCCAACAAGACACAGACATGCAAATAGATCGAGAGTGATGACAAAGAACGACTTCATCTTGAAAAGTGTGTTGATGATAGATTTCTGCAATCACTTTGATGAGAAGATGATTTCGAATGTCTAAGAAACTGGTTGGCTCCGGTATTTATACCACTAAAGCCCCTCCCACTTTTTGCCAAATTTGGTGACAGGGAGGGGCCCGAGCTTATTCGGCACAACCCATCGTGGGATAGCTATATGTGTGTGTATTGGGTTTTTACAGACGTGCATCAATTAGGTATGATTATTTACGTCTGGGGACCGACCTTTAAACGTCACCATCCGAAAGACGTGACTCAGTTTCTATGCGCTTCCAAAGAGCTTTGGAAATCTTTACCCTAGCTTTAGCTCCGGCTGCCCTTATCGTTGGTATAGATAATAGAAAAAAAGATTAAGTATAAAATAATAGTCTGTATTGATGAAAAGTGTAATATAATTGGTGTGCACAATTTTCAAAATGCAAATTGGTGTATACATTTCATTATTAGTATTACTGAGTTTGTCCTTTATATTGAATTTATGAAAAATAAGACGAACAATTATGTTAATACCAGACTATGGAAAGACGTTAAGGTAGAATTAATAAACTATTTGAATTGTTCTAACTTTTGAAACAAATTAAGAAATTTAAAAGGAATATGTCAATTATTAGAACACTGAGCTCACCGATACTCATCTAAAACTACTATATGCTTTATACGATAGATACTTAATAAAAATGGTCCGGCCTTGCCAGACCGGCTAAGTTGGCCTTCCTTCATATGCCAGAATGTCTTAACAAACATTTCTGATTTATACTAAGAAGCTCACACACAAAAAATGATTTCTGTATAAAAAAAATTACCTGAAACTAATAAATATATTGTTAGGTAAATGTTTGCATAATTCTAAATGAAGATTTTTCTGTTCGCTAGGACCCTCAGCTATCGTAATCTGTTTGTTTGCCATAAAGCAGGTGATGGACGTGACTTCTAGGCCGTTCTTATGGTAACTGGTCAAGAAATGATTTAATTGTAGAAAATACTATGATTGTTTTTCAACAACAAGAAACAAATGGTAATCATCTAATAATTTAAGCTGACCGTTTAATTATTAAAAAAACAAATAGGTTATTTGAAGCCATGGTCTTCTTTAAAAAAATGGCCTTTGCCATACAAACTGAATACTAAAGAAGTTGACTTCAGTGAACCAAATAAGATAATAATAATAATAATAATAATAGTGGGTTCTTGTATAGCGCTCATTTCAGTCAGATTTGACCCTCCTGGCGCTCCCGATTATTACCCTGGCTTTAGCACGGCTGCCATACGGCGCTCTAGCATTTCAAGGAATAAATTCCTACCAGGTACCCATTTACTTCACCTGGGTGGAGTGTGGCAAATGTAGATCAATGTCTTGCCAAAGAACATTAGTGCGGGACTCGAACCGCGGACCTTGTGATCGACAGTCCGGCGACGTATCCACTCAACCACAACACCTCTTCAAGATAGGTAAATAATCAACACAAGATAATGATAAATAATAATAATAGTCCGTTCTTGTATAGCGCAAAACACATTATGATTTAAAGTCTCTATGCACTTCAAAAGAGCTTTGGAAATTATTACCCTAGCTTTAGCTCCGGCAGCCGTAAATCGTTGCACAGTGCATTTCAAGGAGTAATCCTTATCCTAAAACAAGCAGAATGTGAGCCATTTCAAATAATATGTATTTTTATCTAGTACCCACGGATATCATAATCTTACACATCAAGACAAAACTTAATCTCATAAATGTCACATATTTGTAATTGAACAACATAAAAACTATTATAAAATAGGGTAGAAGAATACCTGCAATCTGATTGGTCAATTACCGTGTATTTATTTCTACTGGGCGAACGCGATATCGGCGATCGATACCACCGATATCTCTTTTATTTAATAATTTTTAGAATTTAATTTTTTTAACTCTATGTATGATACCAGACACTTCTTTTATAATTTCTCAGTACCTGAAGGCCAACATATTTAGAATAAAGAGTTAAAGTTATAGGGGAAGAAATGCTGGAACACATTTACAGGAAATGAAAATAGAGAATATATACATTTTTGTTTAACATCATGTCACTCCGCGGGGATAGGGCTGACTATGGGGCGAAGAGTCAACATATTTTCGGTTCTATGTTTATTATTTACTTTTGATTTATTATTGTTAATTTTTTTTCTGCACATATAATAATTTATGTTTGATTTCTTTTCTTTTTTTTCTATTTTTGTATATTACCCATGCCTATAAATTTGTACTTTGTTTTTATTTGAATTGTTTATTTATCATATGATTTTGTTTTTGTTATCTTTTGTTACTGGCTTTTGTTTGTATCATAATTTGTATATCTTTATTCAGTTCACGGGGTCTCTGAATTACAGCCGTTCAGGCTGAAGCGAGCTACAGTTATTAAATACATAAATGAATGAATGAATGAAGGAAGGAATGAAACTTAATCAATGTTTTTTTCCGGTACCTATGGATCGAGTGCTAGTCACTGTAATATTTTGCAAGCCCAAACTCTCATGCATACCCCCCCCCCCCCCCTCCCCCATCCCCATGGTTATGCCTCTGGAGACATAATACTGTTGGAAAAGATTTGGTTTCAAACTGAAATTTGGCATGTTTATGAAATAGAAAATATCAGTTCACGATGCAAGGATCTGTCAGAATCAAATACAGTGGCGAATTCAGCACTTGCTACCAGGAGGCGCAATACATCTCAATATGATCCATATACTTTTAGCAAGTAATTCACTTTCTGAGGGCCTTGGTTTGTGTTACGGGCGTATCACCCAAAGTAACTTTTTTGAGAATATGACTATATTCCGTGGGTTTCTTACTTTTACAGCTAGTCCTTTTAAAGCCACACTTTCCTACTTGTAGCTACTTGCTTCCTCTATATAGAAAACTTCCCCAATCGGTGCCTGTTGGTCCCCCCATGATCCTCTTTTTCTTATGTTAATTGAAAGCTGAGTTAATGAGATAGCCACCTGTCAGTGACCTCGCTGTGTGGTCTAATCCCTGACTGAACAAGGACAGCCGGCCTTTAAACCTGCTATTAAAAGTTATGAATAGTTGCTGCATATATTTTCCTTGGTCGGACTTCCATCTATCAGGAGGAGCAAACTGCCCCTTCGCCCCTTCCTTTAAATACGCTATAGTGATCGAATGGACATACCTGTACATCTCGGCCACTAGCAGCTTGTATTACACTAAAACGCCCTCTTCACAGACTGAAGCGCTGTGAAAGACACACAAACATTGACCCTTAATGCAGTTTTTGCTGTTCAGTTATGCATTTCAGGTTCATTATAAGGAAGATAAGTTGTTTAATACTGAACGGGATTTTTTCTTCGCTCACTCATTTCGAATTACGTTACAAGGCGCCATGGTGTAAAATAACAAACTTCTTCCTATGAAGTATATTTCACCTACTTATAGCTATCAATGGATATTTTCTCAATGGAACGGATAATATCCAAAGCATCAACACATTGCTAAGATTTTAGTAATATATCTAATCCACGTGAGGGAACGCAGAAATACATCCGACTTCATACATTCTTCTATTGAAACAGAGCTTTGCAGGAAATAATCAAGTTCAGTTAATTTTGAACGACATAGACAAGCTAGGTAAAGACCAGGTATGGGTTCTAAGACGTCAAGACCAGTAGACCCTCCAGCTGTAGAACCTCTTCCACCGACAACTGCAGAACGATCCATGGATGCCCTGGTGCATGGATGCCATTCTTTAGAACTTGGACAGGTCAAGCTCAATCATGATTGCCATAAAGATTTCACAAAACCCATGGTGAGTCATGTAGGGGCCAACGTGGGGACGATGACTGGAATTATTAATCATTCTATTAGAGACTCGGTTTTTTTTTCTTCATAATCAGTAGAAAGAACTGAAATTAAATGTAACTTTGAACCTTGATACTGAATCAACAACACCGCCTTTAGGAGAAATACACCAGACAGGGAGCTTAAAATCATATGCAAATATCTTTTCTTTTTTCTTTTAATAAATAATGTTGTATAATTTTGCTTTTAAATAAACTGGCGAAAGCATTATAATAGAGGGAGGGAGAGAGAAAGGGTGAGAGAGTGCGTGTGCGTGTGCGTGTGTGTGTGTTGTATGTGTGTGTGTGTGTGTGTGTGTGTGTGTGTGCGCGCGCGTGTGTGTGCGTGTGTGTGTGTGCGTGTGTGTGTGTGTGTGTTTGCTTAAATTTACGGGGCCATCCCACGCTAACCTAATGCATCATTATATTTAGTAAGTACTGCATTTATATATTAAGTAACTCTAAAATTGCTCACGGACGATACAGGTTATCGCCCCTAATTATTTTAGACCATACTTTCTTCGTTATCACTGATACTATTCTTATTTGGTACTCCTCTTTTCCTTTTCTTTTATCAATACTAGTGTGCGAGATGTCCAATCGTCCTGTTCGTTTTGTTTCGTGTCGGTGTGGCTGGATACGCCTTTGTCTTCCTTATCTACCACCTAACGCGGGAAATAACAGGTCGTATAGGCGCGAAAACGTTCATCTACTTGGAGACCTGGACCTACACGGCCATCACTCTATATCTCCTTCTCTCATTTGTGAACGTTGTCATAGATATCTATCAAGAATACAAATCATTCACCCTGGACGTTTCGACAGGTAATCAAAACAAAGTTGAAGCACTCGAACAGAGCAAATAAATAAACACAAAAATCAACACAATGTTTGACAAGAAAGTTAAAAAATAAAGTCTCATTTAAAACAATAATTCTTTTTTAAATATCTTTGACGTCAAAAAGTTTATATTTCAATTCAAAGTGTATTTTAACTTCCAAAGTTTTCCATTCATCGGAAATGTGAAAGGAATAGATTGCAAGACTGTTGAAGGATACATGTTGCATATTGAATTCCCGCCGGAAGATAGATTATTATTACGCCACGTATCCCATACTAAATCATTATAGTAGGTCGTTTGCTAATAAAACCTCAACGTGGACGAATTTTGAAATTTGAATATTTTAATTACAAGTTCATATTATTTGTAAGAATTTATATTGATTCTGTAGTGAATGGATGCTTGATAAGTTATAATAATGTGATATTCATGGAGCGGTAGGGCTCTGTAGATCAATATAATAATTTTGCAGTTGGCATTGGATTTCAAATCACCCAGTACATACTTTTTAAGGAAAAATAGAGATAGCGGTGTTGTACCTGATTCAGAATATTTTGAGAATTTGATAGTGGCTATAAATACATTCAATGCATTGATAATACCACTTTTTATTAAGCATACACCACATTCTGCGTACGCCAAGGGTGAAAAGTATGCTGAAAGGAGAAACTCAAAAAGAGAGGAATTAATGAATCGACAAAGGTGACTTCAGAAAAATGATTACATAGAATATGCATAGAAATGTGGACAAATTATGTGGTCAATATAATATATAATCAAACATCGCTTCAACCGTTTGCAGGACACACCCCCTGGCGCCTCAGACTACAATGGCTGTTCTTTAACATCTCTCTTTCATCTTCCTGTGTTGGAGCTGTTACATTCTGGGTATGGGTCATCGTGACAGGTATAAGTCCAACAACACGAGCTTATGAGATCATCAATCTCCATGGTATGTGGGTCATCATCGCTTTTCTCGAAGTCGGTGTCGTTACATTTCCCCTCCGCTTTGAGCACATCGTCTACCCACTCAGCTTCGGTCTCATCTACCTCATCTTCGCGCTCATCTACTGGGGCGCAGGAGGAACAGACCCCTATGGCAATCATTATATTTACATCTTTCTTGACTTCGGTAAACATCCCGTCCGAGTGATCTTTGTGGTAGCTGGAGAGATCACTGGAACTTTCCTGATTCATGGATCATTTGCACTCTTCTTTCTCTATAGGGAGAAATTTTTCGCAAAGTGTTGTCCGATTGACAAGGAGCCTGATGGTGAGGAGCTTGAAACCTTGACAACGACAAAATATGGAACTTCAACGAATGAGCATAACAAATGAGAATGAAGAGTTTACCATGCTTTTTTACCTCAAAGTGAAACAGGTATAATGTCAATACCACAATGGGCTGCTCTGTAAAAACTTTTACTTTACATACGCCGTACACCGTATCATTCAATTTTGAAATACAGTTATATTAGATGAAAAATGATATAGAGCTATGAAATTGATCTTTATTCAATAGCGAAAAAAAATTATAGGCATAGTCACGGAATTAATAAGATTATTATTATTTTTTTTATTTTTTTTTTAAATAATGAAAGTTATACTAATCCATGATCATGAACATAATACTGTGAGGAAGACACCATTTGTATGTCTATAATAATACAAAAAACATATAACAACTTCCTCTGTCCCAAGACAACCATCCTTTTACCCCCCCCCCCCCACACACACACACACACACAAGGCTATTACCCCCAGAACTATGCCTTAAAGGCACACTGCCATACTTGTAGCTACTTGCTCCCTCTATATAGAAAACTTCCCCAATCGGTGCCTGTTGGTCCCCCATGATCCTCTTTTTCTTATGTTAAATGAGAGCTGAGTTAATGAGATAGCCACCTGTCACAGTGACCTCGATGGCTCTCTGTGTGGTCTAATCCCTTCTGGCCCAGTAGTGGTGACGGTCTTTAAGTCAGATGTGCATCATAACATTTGGCCGGCCCGTATTATTTAAATATAGGCCACAGAGCATCACATGTAGCAATTACGCCCATCGAGGGGCATTTCTTCTTTTTTTTCAAATGTAGCCCCCATCCCAGGTAAATGAATCATTGGTCCTATTTCGATTTCATGTGTTGGATTTTATTCATAAAACCAGTAAAGTGCTATCAAATATGGCAATGAATTGCTTCTTACGGGTAAATGCTTCCAAATTAGCTACTACCAACTGATTTTTGTTTCGAAGATCCTCTGACTAGCTTTAAAGGTGATACAAAGTTTTGGTATGGGGTCATGAATTCGGTTCAAATGAACATATTGGAAGCATATGCGATCCTACAATATTCAGTGATCGTTGTCGAAGTCAAAATCGACTCTAAATTTATGAAATTGTAAATAATAAACACTTTATGTTGTATAGCTCCCTCTCAAGGTCAAGCTATTAATTAAGCTATGAAACAATGTATCTTGACTAAAATCGACCAATTAGCTATTCCCGTTCGGAAATTAGATAGCACAACTACATATTCTGAGATTTCCATAGTCGCAGCGACCATTGTACGGCCGTAGGAGCTATTTGAAATTTATCAAAATTTACCGGGAGCACCGGTGAATGGTTATATTTAATTTTTCTTGAAAGCTGAAGTGTTTTAGGGACTAATATTTCTAGTGCATTTAATACATCCACAGGGGCATCCAAATATATCAAAATTGTAAAGAATCATTATCCACCCATTTTTCAAAATTTACCAAAACTTTGTAATACCTTAAACGCCGCCTTTATTCGTTGAATTTACCATCGGACAGGTAAGGACTCCTACGAAATACTGCACCCCGAGGTGATTTCCCTCGTATTAGCAATAATGTTAACTGTACCAATGGTATATATCAGGAGAGAATTGATTGTCATTTAGGGTTAGTTGTCCTGGGGTTGTTGTCCTGGTGTAGTTTATCTAAGGGGTATCTGCCCTAAGGATACTTGTTCTCGGGGGTAATTGTCCTAGGGTAATTTTGTTATAGGGTTGTTTGTCCTATAGGGGTAACTAGTTAATTTTCACAGGGGTATTTATCCTAGGGTTATTTATCCTAGAGGGTAAGACATTGATCTACATTTGCCACACTCCACCCAGGTGAAGTAAATGGGTACCTGGTAGGAATTTATTCCTTGAAACGCAGCGCGCGTAACAGCTGCACTGCTAAAGCCAGGGTAATTATGCTGCATTATTGTAGAGCGCTTCGAGACTTCTGATAAAGTAAGTGTTAGGCGCTATATAAGCAAATATAATTATTATTAATTAATTAGTTTGTATAGGGATACGGGATACTTGTGTTATTGGTAGCAAATGTCCTAGGGGTAGTTGTCTAGCCAAAGGGTTAGTTGTTGTTTTTAGATATAATGAGTGTAGAGATACTCGATCTAGGGATATGGGCATGGTGGCTCAGTCGTTAGAGCGCCCGCCTCATGAACGGGAGGTCGTGGGTTCGAACCCCGGCCGAGTCATACCAAAGACTTATAACAATGGGACCTTCTGCCTTCTAGCTAGGCGCTCAGCATATTAGATTGGAGAAGGGTAGTAATAACATATTATGTTATGCAGTGCCCGCTGGAAGAACAGTTTCATAACTGAAGTGGCTACCCTGGGTAAATAAAAGTTATTATTATTATTATATTATCTAAGGACAGTTATATAAAGGTGATTGTTGTCCTTCAATAAAAATAGTTTTAATAATAAAAGTTATTATTATTATTATTATATTATCTAAGGACAGTTATATAAAGGTGATTGTTGTCCTTCAATGAATAGACTCGCTTCGGTAAATGAGAACGGATCTACAGTCATAATGTGTATAATTATGCGTCGTCACAAAAAAAAAGTGAATAACCTTAAGAACCTGATACGCCGATTACCAGCACAAAGTCAGGTGACGGTATTTAGCCCATATTTATCCTGGTAGCCTTGTATATGTTATTTCTGGATAGTACTTTTCGTATGATACATTATTTCCATACATACAACGCCTTTCTCATTCAGTTTTGGTACATACATCAATTACTGCTTTGGTTTTTTCCGTCAAAACGGGAAGTTCCCATTGCCCGGTTTTATCGTCCACATCAAAAGTGTTTTCAAAATTGTGGCAGGATATTAACATTCGAACATCTCTATCAGACATTTATCAAGATGTGTGACGCAGATACATGTTCCGCCTGTGATTTTGACACTAGATATCCGAGCAGCATAGTCAGACCATTGGTAAATATATATTTGGTTCTCACTTCATTTCCATGCATCTATCGATTGTATAAATGAGCCCTCTTAATTATTACTTTCGCTAGTGTAAAACAAACATATTTCCTTGGGATTCAATGATTAGGCCTACTCTTAATGTTTGATTTATTGTCATAAATGGTGTATTGAACGGGACAAATTTTAACTAGCTCTTTCTATTTGTTGGCTCCATTTTAGTTAGAGACCAGCCTGTAGGTCCCGTGACCAATCTCTGGGAGCAAAGGTTTGAAAGTGTTTTTGTGATACATTGTGGATATGCAACTGTGATGGTTAAATAGTTATGTCTCAGATACTGAAAAAGCTTATTTATTTTTCATCTCATTTCATTTCATCTACATGGTTACCCAAAAAGGTCAAGTTACATAATATTTCAACATAACAATGATTTAACATTTGGTAAATATGTTTTAATCATTGCTTTGTTGAAATATTATGTAACTTGACCTTTTTGGGTTACCATGTAGATGAAATGAAATGAGATGAAAAATAAATCAGCTTTTTCGGTATCTGAGACATAACTATTTAACCATCATAGCTGCATATCCACAATGTATCATACGGAAATACAGATTTACTGTGCTCCCATTACCTCCGAAAATGGTTTTAAGCAGCCCTCTTGACTGTCGTGAGTAGGTGATCGTTTGGAACCTTTTAGAGCAACTTCCGGGCCCATGTGGTCTTCTGTTGGTCTTAACCATTAGCATATTTATTCTGTTTTTCAAAGTGATCGGTTTTCTACATCAACCGAAAATTTTTGGCGAAAACATTTGTCCTGAAAATGCAAAGAAACAATGGTTGCCCCTTAAAACCTAAATTTCGGCACTTTGGGCACATTTCATGAGAAAAAAAAATCAACTAGTGTCATTTTTTTGAGCATTATATTTTACATCAGAATCCACGTTTTCAATAATGGAACATTATTTTCCCGGGGGTCTCAGTAAAATTTAAATACTGTAAGCATGCGTGACCAAGAAAAGGCGTAAAAAGGGGTGTTTTTAAAAAAATTTTTTTTAAAGATTGTCCCTACATGGTCCGCGCGGTGCCGCATTAAGTGGTTCAAAACGTCCATTTTGGGCCATTTTCGAGAAAAGGGGTACTTTTTCAAAATCCTGCTGTACTCGCCGGTATACGCGTTTAGGGGTAATTTCTAGCCTAGCCTCCAGGGCCAGACCGGGGGAAAAGGGGGGATAATGCCAATTGGCGAGACTACCGGCCGCCGCCTGCGCCTGCCGGTCTTTAGGTCTTCAGTAGATCAAGATCGATGCCCACGATACCGACCCAGACCTACCAAGTATCACGCATATAGCCGGTCCCTTATACTTTGTTTTGCATAGTAGAATAGTTACTGTTCACTGTACATTGTTTACTTTTTGTAAACACTACATGTATTTTACATTATAGATCAAATTTCAAATGTAATTCTTTTTTTCAAAGAAAGGACAAATAAGTCCTTTCTTTGAAAAAAAGAATTACATATGATGATGCCTGCGCATTTAACCCAATTTACATGTTGATGTTATTGCTTCTCTATTGAAATGCAGTTTTGAAATAGAAGAATTTCTTTATAAAAATGTGTTTGATTCAATTACTTGTTTATGGATACGCTAGACATTTTGAGAGATTTGGAATAAAGAGGGTGTTTTCTTGACAAAGTTTCTAGTTAAAGAAAAAAAAAAAAAAAAAAAGACAAACAATGCAAGATTTGTATGAATGTATGTGTTAAAAAAACGTGGAATTGAAAGAGTGTTTACAATATACTATGAAGAGGTTGTTGGACATAATGAAATATGCGAAATATCATGAGAATCGTCTTGATATTATAAATTCATGGTGAAGAAAGTGTAAGTTTTTTTTTAAAAAATAAGAAAAAATAAAAAAGAAGATAAAGACCGATTGACAGAGAGTAAGTTTAAGTCACGGATGGCCAACCTTTTAAAGCTCGCGGGCCACAGCTAACGATTGGCATAACTTGGCGGGCCGTAGCTAGTCTCCCCCTCCCCCACACACACACTCATGCAATACGTGTACACACCTGAAATTCTGCAAAAACAAACAAGCAAACAACAAGATCAGTGAGAAACACAAATCAGGCTTATATTTAGTGTGATTTCTGTGGCTTGCACTTTTCTATTATGTTGTTAACCTCCATTACATACTCTGGTGAAAATGAGGTAAAGTGGTCCACCTTTCTCTTCTATGAAGAAATACTTTAGAGACCAATCTGATTTAAAGTTTCTGCCTTCATCAGAAACTCTCCTTTTCTTCGCAGGTCTCGAGGTCGTTGCCATGTTGGTTGTTATTTCAATCAAAATCAAGGACACAGCAGAAAGAATATCCTAAATGTATTACTTGTACACTGTACATCTAATTGAACGCGGTGTAGAGGGAAGGGGACTGACTATAAAGTTTACGATTAAGATTCATGAGAAAATTGTACGGCGGGAGAAAAGAGTTGTAAGTTTGAAAACAAGTATGGCATTTCAAACATTATTTCTCGATTCACAACAGTTGTTACTGCGTGCGGAAATTACAAAATGAAATTTACACGGCGAGTGATATTAATGCGGGTATTAATGTCATTAATATAATATAATGAGAGGGAATTTGAGGAGTCAGTGTATCACAACAGTTGCGTGCGGAAATTAGAAATTGATTTTAACACGGCGAGTGATATTAATGCGGGTATTAATGTCGTTAATATAATGTAATGAGAGGGAATTTGAGGAGTCAGTGTATCACCAAGTAACGAGTCAATGCGTTGTGAAAGATGAAATCAAATTATGGAAATATTAGAGATAGCTGCGTGTAAATGTTTTACCCTACTTTATCGCTGCTATATGTGGCTGCATTTCATTTATGAAGTATTTTTTCACTGCTCCGCGGGCCGCACCAGAAGAGCTCGCGGGCCGCGGGTTGGCCACCAGTGGTTTAAGTGATACAGAGATATATATATATATATAGAGAGAGAGAGAGAGAGAGAGAGAGAGAGAGATAAGGAGATAGGGGAGGTTGAGATAGAGAGAGAGAGGAGGAGAGAGGAGGGAAGAGGGAGGGGAAGAGGGAGGGTGAGAGAGGGGGAGGGGGGCTGGAGAAAGGAAGAGAGAGATAGGGAGAGAGATAGGTAGGGAGAGGGAGGGTGAGATAGAGAGAGGGGGAGAGAGAGAGATAGAGGGAGAGAGAGAGAGAGGGGGCGGGAGAGAGGGAGAGAGATAGGAGGGAGAGGAAGGGTGGTGGAGGAAGAGAATGAGAGAGAGAGGGAGAGAGAGAGAGAGAAGGGGGCAGAAATAGAGAGAGAGAGGGAGAGAGATAGAGAGGGAGAGGTAGAGAGAGAGGGGAGAAATAGAGAGAGAGGGAGGGTGACAGAGAGAGAGAGGGGGAGAGAGGGGGAGACGAAAGGTGAGGAAAGAAAGAGCATAAAGAAAAGAGGGTATAGTAAGTTAGTAAGAAAGATAGAGGAAAGAGATTGACGGGGTGAGATCGGAGTCTTATTATTTGTCCGATTTATCGGGCTGAAAAGGGACCATTAAATGAACCTTTTTGACACTACATTTTATGCTTTTTAATCGCAGTGTATCTACATGTATAATGTAATGTATAACTGAGTGGTTTATTTAACTACGACATTGTTTCTTTTTATAGCATTTCGAGTTGATATCCCCGTTTTCAAATCGATATTCGAAACAAGGAATTGTGACCCAACAACTGCATTGGCTTCAAACTTATTGTAAGATTAATCACCTTAATCAATATCTCAATGATGGTTTCAAATTCATATCCACACAGTGTGGTTCCCACGCCAAGTTGTCATTTGTGGTGTATCGTCTGCTAGTAGCGGCTTACTTCGTTGTGTTTTTAGTGATTCATCTGTCTACAGCCATCGCGGGAGTGATTGGATTAAAGATCTTCATCTATCTATCTGACTGGACTCTTATCCTCACCACATTCTATGTGATTGTTGCCTTCCTGAATGCTGTAGGCGACTATGCCTACTACCACTGGTATGGCATGTATCTCAACGATTACAATGATGGTAAGATTTGCTCAGCAATGCAACATGCAGGCATATGTCTCAACCATGTTTAATTCTCCTTCCCTTACCCCCCCCCCCCCCCCCCCGCCCCCTAAAAAACAAAGACTGTTCAACCAGATAGCAGTTTACTATTTTGTGGTATATTATGTAATATAGTAATTGTCAGCTAAATTTTCATAAACTATCGATTTTCATCTATATTGTATAAATCATGGCTGCAACTAAAATTATTATCCAAACCATGTACAGTCAAGGCAACAGTCAACAACACCACTAAAAGATAAAGATGATTTGACCTCACGTCTCGAGTACGTAGAACGTTTTTGTTCTGTTAATTTCTGATCCACATGAGAAGAAAAAAAGTGTATCTTGTAATACATATGTTTCTCTGTCTTTGTTTTTATTCAGAGCCTCCTATCCTGTACAGACTACAATGGTGTCTCTTCAGCATATGTATCAACATCTCCTTCCTCATCCTCGTATCCTTCTGGCCAACCGTCGGCGTTGATCTACCTACCTACAAACTAGCCGAGAACATCAACGTACATGCACTACCTGCCGTCATCCTATTCATAGATCTCATGGTGACGGCCATACCCATTCGTTTCTTACATGTAGTCTATCCCTTAGTATATGGGTGTGTTTATCTGACCTTTGCAGCAATCTACTGGGCATCTGGCGGAACAGACCCGTATGGACGTCCATATATCTATGGCATATTGGACTTCAACCATGCCAGGACCGTGGGGCTAGTCATCGTCGGGGAGACTGTAGGCGCAGTGGTGTTTCAGTGGATGTTTGTAGGATTGAAGATGTTGAGGAACAAGATGGCTGACGATTGTAACTGTTCTGAAAGGGTTCGATCACCTGAAATCATACCTTTAACAGAATTGGCTATGGTTACTTCATATTCTTGACTTTCACTCTGTACTAATAATTCCTAGACTGATAAGGCCTGTATGTGATAGGTGCCTAACTGTGAGATCATCTAGAAGTAAAAGATTGACCGGTGATGGTGGGACTTATTTAGTGGGATATAGGTGTGTAACTGTGAGATCATCTAGAAGTAAAAGAGCGACTGGTGATGATGGGACTTATTTAGTGGGATATAGGTGTGTAAATGTGAGATCATCTAGAAGTAAAAGAGCGACTGGTGATGGTGGGGCTTATTTAGTGGGATATAGGTGTGGAACTGTGAGATCATCTAGAAGTAAAAGATTGACCGGTGATGGTGGGACTTATTTAGTGGGATATAGGTGTGGAACTGTGAGATCATCTAGAAGTAAAAGAGCGACTGGTGATGGTGGGACTTATTTAGTGGGATATAGGTGCCTAACTGTGAGATCATCTAGAAGTAAAAGATTGACCGGTGATGGTGAGATTTATTTAGTGGGATATAGGTGTGTAACTGTGAGATCATCTAGAAGTAAAAGAGCGACTGATGATGGTAGGACTTATTTAGTGGGATATAGGACATATAACATTTCATTTCACCATATTCTAAAAAATGGTTTAGAATAACCTTTTTTCTTTTATACGTTATTCAAATCATGAACATTTCTTGATATAGCTTTGAACCTGGCCCTTCTTTCTTCCTGACACCCCACCTTTTTTCTTTCTCTCTCTCTCTCTCTCTTTCTCTCTGTTTCTCTGATATCCCCATTCTCTCTCTCATTGATAACCACCCCTCTCTATCTCTTTCTCTTCCAATATTTTTTCTCCTTAGAATATTTCCCATGCCATTTTTCCTTACATTTAGCTTAGGGCAAGTGTATATACATAAAGAGAACTATTCAGAATAATAATACTGCCAATAAATGATGATAATTTATTACTTCAAATATAGATTATATTACCTGACATTGTTACATGGGTGAAAAAGCATCATTGAAGTTTCAAATTCAGGAGATCATAAACTTTCTTGACAAGTATCTTTTAAAAACCTTTTTTTTGTGTGTTACCTACTCTCTTTAATTTCACTACATCTATTCTAAAAAAATTGAAACATGCAAGTTCCCGAGAAATAATACATTTTAAAAAAATGCATGTAATAAGTAACAAATTCCACTGGTTTACAGCAAAGAAGTTGCATGTGACTTGTTATTTCTTTATTTTTTAATGATTAGTTATATATCCATAAATTGTAAGTTAGTGGCACTTATTTAGACAGACTTTTTGTCTCCTTTGGAAATTACTTGTTTCTCAAAGTAGAGTGTAGAGTATGCACTTTAAAGTTCAGGATTGTAATTGAATCCAGTGATCAGGGTAATAATAATACTATAAGCGCTTTGGTCGGTTACATTAAAACCGGTAAAGTGCTTCATAAGAAATAGTAATAATCAATAGATATTGTGAAATAAATAGCTGGACTTTGATACCTACTTCTATGTGAACAGGGTAACTACATGTATATCATTGATTACATGCTTTACAACAGCTATAGGGTAAGATTTAATAATATAAAGAAATACACTTTTAAGCATATATTTCATACTTCTTTTTGGGTCATCATGACACTAGATATGCAGTTAACAACTAAATTATTCATAACCCCTGTCAATTTGATGTTTTATTTTTGTTTTGCATATCTCAAGGACGGAAGATGGACAGGATGACTACTTTTTGATGTAAACTTTAGTATGTCACATTCTCATTAAAAGAAATCAAGGAAATCTCATTTTTACAAAGAAACTTAAAAATTTAGAAAAACTTGGTAAGGGTATGAATAATTTAGTAGATTACTGTTTTAAAAAAAAGAACAGTGAAATGATATTGTACAAACAGAAACATATATTGGTAATATAAACTGGACAGCAGGGAAGCAACCATTCCGCCATCCTGAACATGGATTTGGTAAATGCAAATTTATTCTCTTACTTCCCAGAGTTTGGTATCAAATGTTCAACTAATAATTTGATTCAAGTTTTGTAAGTGTGTTAAAATATTGTGTTTCTTGGCTCTCCTTTACCGTCATAATCATAATAGTATTGGCAAAATGGATGAAGCACAAATGCTAGAAAACTGGTCTTGATTATTGTCATTCCTGGAGAAATATTTAAGTTTTAACTGTCAACTTTTATGCCCTTTTCTGATTTTGCATTATTTCAATGCAACGTCGGATATCACTTTAACATTTAATGAGGGAACACTCCTGATGTATCTATAACATGATGAACTCACCAGGCTATCTCTCCTTTACTATTTATATCCACTAAACTGTCTAGAAATCTTCTCTAGACTGAAGGGAAAGCACTGATCATTGTTGATCACCATGAATCTACTAGACAGATCTTTCCTGGTCAAACACACCGACTGATTTTGAAGCGGGGGTAGCCAGCCTCTTTCTCTCTCTAGCATGTTCACTCCCTTCCTTGGTGATAAATACTGAGCACTCTGTGTCAGTCCTATCAAAGATGGAATGACTCAAGTATCACAGAACTTGCTCTTTCTAGCTGACGTTATCTTCTCCATCTGTAAATAAAACATTGAATACTTCACTTAGGGAAAAGGGAAACTTTTCATCTAAACTAATGACCAAATGTTGAATGTATTGCAAAGTTTGTTTTGAATCCTTTGAATTGGAGGTATTTAAAAGAAATACCAACAGCTGAGCTAGAAAATGGAATAATGTTTATAACATACTGCAGGTATCTAATGATAATAATTATAGAAATCATATTAATGTCTTGTGTTTGAGGAAAGTCATTATAAGTAGTAATGAAAAAGGGGTATATTAGAGTGATATACGGGCCCTATTTTTAGTTTTAAAGAGTTTTGATTGATCCAGAATGAACACAAGTCCTCCAATCGATCACAAAAATTACAAACTTTTGTCTCTCTAGTTCACAGTTATCATTGATATAAAATTGTGATCAATTTGTTTTTGTTTTTAAGCTATAGTTATAGTCATAGCCATGGTCTTAGCATTCATTCACTCCCCATTGTGTACATACAAGTAATCATTTGAGGGGTTTACACTTGTACAAGCATTGCTTTTTTGTGGACCCCTCTGTTTCCATTTTGTACTCCTAAATTGTTGTAAATGTTTATAATTGATTTGTTATGTTTTGTTGGAAACATAAATAAATTGAATTGAATTGAATCATATCGAGAACACATAAACTGCCATGTGCTCTCCATTTAAGATAATACAGCCCTAATATTACTAAATTCAAAGAGAACATAAAACAATTGTAAATATCCTAAATGAGAAATTTCTGTAGACATTCGTTTTTAACAAAATTGTAAATTGCATTTACCGCATATATACCATAATCAATATGATATTCAGCATCAAGTATAGAACATTATTAAATTAAAAAAATTAAGCACTAGTATTGTTTGATTTTCTTATGTTCTGATTCTATTCTTTTAAAGAGAAGGTTGAGTTCTGGGAAGAGGTGAAAAATAATTTGTGAGCATTATCATTCTTATTATTAGTGTGGAAGAACATCAGATAAGACATGTTCCATGAAAAGCATGGCTCTTCAAATGCCTTCATATTCTAAATATGCATGTAACATCGTAAAAATCGGGGGGGGGGGGGGGGCCGGCTTTTTACGCCACGTGTTCGTGTAGTCCCATATACATCTTTCTGTGCAAGTGTTTGTAACTTTACCAAGACTTGGCCAAATTTCTTATCATTTTGATGATTCCAGAACCTTACAATACACACAAATTCTTATATGCTAGATGATCAACCTCTTCTGGTCGGTTCCACACCGTTTCTTTCACAATGCAATCACATGACCAGAACTCAACTTCATCTTTAACAGATGTAATTCCCTTTTGCCTTGTGGCTCCAAACAAATGATATGGTGAAAACATGTTTTAATTTCTAAGTTTTTCGGAAGGATAAGAGATAAACAGAGAAGTTAAATTCGATCACAGTTGATGACAATATTAAGACTAAAATGTGGTGTAGATGTACAGTAATAATAATAATAATAGGCATTTCTCTAGCGCCTTCTATCTAGAAGTTCTATTCCAAGACGCATTTATTATTACCCCAGCTTTAGCCTAGCTGCCATTACAGCGCTCCAGCATTTCAAGGAATTAATTCCTGCCAGGTACCCATTTACCTCACCTGGGTCGAGTGTGGCAAATGAAGATTAATGCCTTGCCAGAGGACATAAGTGCTGTGTCGGGGATCGAACCACGACCTTTGAATTTCAAGTCAAGTGTTTAAACCACTCGACTACGACTAATCAAAGAAGGGTCAAAGTTAAAAAATGTTAGTTCTTGAAATGTACATCTACTAGTCATGTATACTTTGATGCCGCAGATCCCATCTATCAAAACAAAAATAACGCTAGGCGATCGAGCATTTGCTTGTGCAGCCCCAAAACTCTGGAACAACTTGCCATTTAAAGTCAGGAAATCACCATCTGTAAATGTCTTTAAATCGAAACTGAAAACACATCTTTTTAATTGACTGTAAATCTAAGCATATCAGGAGCTCTTGTAGCGCAGTAGAATATAAACTTAATGTTGGATAGTTTCTGCGCTCTATAAATGTATTATTATTATTATTATTATTATTCTTTTTGTGCTCATCTACTCAACACGTCTTCTTTTCCTTTTGACCTAATCCTACTTACATCTTGAGTACTTTGTCCTTTCCTCCACTAGCGACCCTCTGCCCATCGGGACTCCAATCCACAGCGTAGACCTCGTCAGCATGACCGGGCAGATCTCCGCTCATCTTATTGGTCTTCACATCCCATACTTTAAGAGTACTATCAGAGCTCCCACTGCATAGTAAACGACTGTCAGATGACCACGACACCTTTACACACCAAAAGACAAAAACAATACATTTTTAATTAAACAATTTCAATTACTACTGAATTTGATCTCATTTCAATGATTTCATCTTATTGATCTTAACAAATACATTAAGAGTACAATCAGAGCTACCACTGCATACTGAACGACCTTCAGATGACCAGGATATCTTTACACACAAACAAACAAACAAACTATCAATGAAACAACAAATTTCATTTAGATCTCTTTTCATCTTCAGAACCAGATTTTTTAAAGATATACCTTCATACCTTGTTTTTTTCCTGAAAATAAAAAACGCTGTGTTACTCTTTATTATACGTGTCAATATCCGTGCAAATTTTCCCATTTTTGGGACCTTCCAAAGTTGAAATCGAAGGGGGGGGGGGGGCTCAATTGATCCCGCCCCACCCCCTCCCTCTCCCCTTCCACCAGTTAAAACTTACTCTAAAAAAGCCCAGTCAGAATATGAATAAACATTTGCACAGGGGGGTCCGTTCTACCCCCCCCCCCCCCCCACCCCCTCCTTTGAGTCTTGGCCATGGAATGATGATGTTTACGCCACCGCCGTCACCAAAAAAGCAGCGCCTATGTCTCGCTTATTGCTAGGTAGGCAAGACAAAAACCAAGGTCTGCCACTTCATATATGAACCAACCTTCACTGATACATTATATTCTTACCTGATAAACTTTACTGACATGTCCTCTCAGAGTAGTGATAAACCTAGCAGGATAAGCACAATGTTCATTATCAGTCATACTAGAAACATAAGAACTCTTCGATTTCTATGAAAATGTATTTATAATTAACGACTCTGTGTCCTAACTGACCAAATTTCATAATATATATTCTGGATTAATCTTTAATACCTGTTTCTAAGAAGCCTTTCAAAACAAGTCAGATCTTTGATTTACACTACACACTACACATTCATCACAATGGTTCACATTGCCTACACAAGTGGATGCCCTTTCTTGAGCGTATGGGAATGAGAGAATTCAAAAATTAACTCCTACTTTTCAAAGGGATGTTGCTTGTTTCAAGGTTTTTTTTCACTCAAACACAGACAGTGCTTCCTTTTCAACTGGCTGTACTTCTTTAACCATGTTAAATCTTGCAATTTTCTTTCACATGGGTTCATAGTATATTGTTCGGAATAATTCTGAATGCTTCTTTAGTCTAAAGGGCAATCCAACCATGTATGAAGTTCTTTTGTATGAAAGCAGAAAAATAAGAGGAACAGAATGGCAAAAGTTTGAAATAAATCAGACTATGATACAAAATTTATGAATGCTTGAAATATGAGATCACCAAGTCTATGCGAAACTCAAATTGGCAGTTTGGTCAAAGGATTGAGACGTAGATGCAGATAACTCTCCTGTTTAATGTGTACAAACATATCTTGAATTTCTGTTTTTCTCCTAAAAGCCTTCTCCCTTGGGGCACTACTCAAAATACGTAATGGATAACATTAACCCTACGTTAACTGGGGGGGGGGGGTCAATTTGACCCCCCCCCCCCTGTAGAAATTTCGCGACTACTCCGAAACTGCTGCAGATATACAATTTTTCTTTCATGACTTTTTTCTTTTGAGTCTTACGCATCTTTTAAAACAATTTTTTCGAAAATCGGACGTATAGTTACAAAGTCACGTGACCGTTTGTCTTCGCATGTCGGCCCGAAAATCGCTCATTTTTGTGATTTGTGTACAAAACATATGGAAATGTCATTTTTCTTAAAAAGAGATAAAACATTGGTTATTTAGTCTTCTTTAAAGTTTAGGTGTTTGTTTTGAAGTCGAAATAGTTGAATTGTAGTTATAAATGAAATAAAACAACAAAAACAATAAAATACATAAGTTAAAAAAACAATGAAATACACAAGAAATTATCAAAACAAGAGATAACATAAGGAATAACCTGGCTCTTCCAATTTTTTGTGTTGTATTATTATTCCAAATGGTCTAACAAATATATGTAGTGAAAAAGAATACTCAAATATGAATAATGTATGATTTATGGTCAAAAATGTGAATTTTATGACCTTATTTGCATAAATTACCATAAATATGCAAATGAGCAATTTTTTCGAAAAATTGAAATTACCAGAGTATTCTATACACTTCACTTGACATGTATGCAAATTTTCGCCGCGATCAGCAGTGAAACGGCCGAGATCTTAGGGGGGATCTTAGGGGGGGGGGGGGGGGGGGGGGGTCAAATTAACCCCCCCCCCCCCCCCCAGTAAAAACCTGGTCTGAAATAGCCCAGTTAAAATAGGGATAAAGGTCCTCTAAATAGAAAAGCCCCTCCAGAGTCACACATTTTGACAAATTGAATTTTGAGTCATATTGTGTGTTGGAACAGATAGGAAAGTTGTCCGCCACCTCATCACAGAGACATTACCAATACCGATACCTTAGGTGATTACAAAATTCATAATTTTCTCATGCTTCGTCAGAATTCATTCAAACTTTCACCAGTCTACTTCTCTGATTTATCTGCTTTCCTCCAAGAGTAATTTTCTATCAAGGTTGGATTTCCACTTTAAAGGAATCCGGTAACTTTTTCTTAGATCCTTTAGAAATAGTCCTTGATTTAGCTCATGCTGCAATGATAATTATAAACCTTTAGGTCGGTCAGGAACTCCATGACTTTTACAAACTGATCGCCTGTCTGATTATCAAGATATTAATGATTGGAATTACAAATTTTGAAAACCGTTCACCGAAACTACAGTCTATTGGGGAAAACGAGTATGGTAAAACCGGTCACTCAAAGATTTTTACTTTTTTGAGGCACTTTTTGATCATTTTGAAGCGCGATTTATTTAGGGCTTCAATATTACACCATATCACAGACACTGGTAACATGTAGGACTGTGTAACTCAGATTTAACATTGTAAAACGATCCCTTTAAGAACACTAGTATTCCATTCTTCACTCTACTTACTTGCCCGTGTGTCCATTCCATAACTTGATGGACTTGTCAAATGATGCGCTGGCTACAAGCCTAGTGTCTGGAGAGAAGGCTACATCATTAATAAGTTGCATATGACCCGTCATCCTAGCAACAGATGTTTTCTCTTTTTCTGGTTGCCATAGAAACAGAGTGAAATCATCCGAGCCTGTCACCAAGCGCTCTGGTTCAGATCCCTGTCAAAGTAGAAGAATGAATGACAAATATGAATGACAAATAGGAGGCGCGATAGCTCAGTTGGTAGAGCAGTGCTCTCGTAATCCGGTGACCCGGGTTCGAAACCAAGGCGATGCACTAGTGCCCATTGGTAAGGCATTAATCCTCATTACCAGGTCTCTCGGAGAGGACCTAAAGCCGTCGGTCCTATGGTTGCTGACTAACAAACATTTATGATTTCATAGCAGTCAGGTAAAATAACCACCACTTCTACTACGTTAACTTCATATAACTTTCCAGTTGAAAATATTGCACAAGCATTAATATTTCACTAAAATTAATGACACAAAATAATCAGAATAGTTGACAGATACTGGTATCCTATTATGTATTCAGATAACTCATATTCAAAAATTATCCAAGTTAAATCTTATTATTTTGGACCGATGAATTTAAAAGGTATTGGTAGTTACTAATAGCCATGTGGACGCCTTCTTACCTTCACTGTATCATATCTATCCTGAGCAATCTTCGACAGTTCTTCAGCTGAAAAAAAAAAAAAAAAAACATGTATCAAATGATTCAGATTAAATATTGTCTACATGCAAATAAGAAAGAATCAAGAATGCTCTTACATAGAGTACATGCACATCTCATTCATTCTTCCATGCCACCATAATGCAGCTTTACTGCATTTTCAGCACTTTTGTTGGTATTAGCACAATATTTTGTATTAGAAATTTTTTATCACTATTTGAGGACTGAATAATGTAATGCTATGATATAAATACTAGAAATGACAAAGGTGATCTGTCCTCCAAGACGTTTAAAACTACATTAACTTGCACTTTAGTCGGAGGTTCACAAGCTGGGGAAAAGCAGTTCAAATATTTGAAAATTAGCAAGGTAAAAGTTAACAAAATATCAAGCAGGTAGTTCCCAAAGATCATAGCTAACCTGTCCCAAAGATCATGGCTAACCTGTCTCAAAGATCATGACTAACCTGTCCCAAAGATCATGACTAAACGGTCCCATAAATAACTAACCTGATTGGCTGATGCGTTGGTAATTGATGGTAGCTTGCACAGGATCAAACCAGCTAGTTCTCATCACATAGTCTGTACTCAGAGCCATGGTATTCACCCAATGCCCGTGACCTTGTAATGTCCTACATAAGATACCCTGTAAAATCACAAATGAAATGACCTTGTAATGTCCTACATAAGATACCCTGTAAAATCAAAAAAGCAATGAATGAAACCACAAATGAAATGACCTTGTAATGTCCTACATAAGAGACCATGCTGCTTGTAAGTGTCGGCTTGCAGGGTGATGTAGATATACAGTAGGCGTGCGGGTGCACCATGTGAGAGGGAGGATTGAGGAATCGTGAAAAGGAGTCTCGGTGATCTCTTTCTCTCGATAATCTTTCTTGAACTCCTGATGACGGATAGTCAACCTGTTCGAAACGTCGAGCCACACCCGCCACTCGTCGTCTCCAAGCGCTATAGTTCTCCTTAGAACTATAAGCTAAGAAAGATAACCAAGTCTTTTTCAGGACTATACCAACAGTCCTTTTCAGGACTACAAACCCTCAAGAAAGATTAATGAGAGTCCTTTTCAGGATTCCTCAATCCTCCCTCTCTCTCACATGGTGCACCCGCAAGCCTACTGTATAAGAGACCATGTCAGAGAAGAAAAAGAAATGTATGCAGTAGAGCAGTGAGCATAGTACTCACCCAATGATAAGGATATTGTAATGTCCTACATAAGATAACCTGTCAGGCCTTGGGGTGTGTCATCAAGCCTTGAAATTGATCTTAAAATTGATACAGTCGAACCTGTCGATAGCGCCCACCAAAGGGAAACACAAAAAGTGGCCTTTGAGGTCAGGTGGTCTTTGTAGACAGGTTCCTTTAGTACATGATTCAATGAGAAACCATTGTCAAGGGAAACAACAAATGTGGCCTTTGTAGACAGGTTGTAGACAGGTGGTCTTTGTAGACAGGTGGTCACTAAAGCAGGTTTGACTGTATAAGGTTTAGGCCCTGTTCATCAAAAATATATAACTAATTTTACGGATACGGGTAATATCAATTTAAAGTTGATAGGAAGTGATCCTGATTGGTTTGAAAGGCCATAAATGTAGGCTACATGTAACTTCAATTTGATTACCGGTATGGATCAGAAAAATGAAGAATAACATTTTTTATTCACAAATCGCTATTGATTACTATTTTTGTATCGCAAAAGTTAATACAAAAAACGATCAATTACAGAGGCGGCATTCAGGGGGGGGGGCACAATGTCCCATTTTGTTCAAGTACTTAACTGTCCTCTTTTCTACTGAAAAGTGTCCTTTTTTACATCTGAAAAATACCCGTTATTAATAAGAAGTGCACTGTTCCTTCATGTAATGTGTCCTTTATAATTTTGTTAACGCCTATCCGCAATACTTTGGCCCTCCCCCCCCCCAAAAAAAAAAAAAGAAGTAACCATTTGTAACAGCCACATTTTCCGTCAGAATTAATTGATGGATGAGTTTTGACATCCAAATTGAATATAACTAGATGGACCTTCGACTGCGAGCAGTCGAAAATGATGCCTCCGTCAAAGAGCGATTTTTACAAACCAAAACAGAAGCAATTTTTAAAATTCAAGTTTGATTGTAATAACAGGTTCTCAGAATATCTTGATTACAAACTTTTTTTCATTTACATGTATGACCCTTTGATCTTTGACCCCATGACCCCAAAATCTAATTAGTTCATTGGCTTTGCAAGATACATACATGACCTAAGTTTGGCAGGAATCCATCAATCGGTTCTTGAGATAACACAATCACAAGAACGGTATGTACAGACGTATGGATGGACGGACAGACAACTTGCAAACATAATGCCCCCGGCTACTTCGTAACAGAGGCATAAAAATGTGCGCTGATATCAGAACAATCCAACTCATTGAAACAATTTACACTGTTTGGACTACCTTCGTCATTTTGATTGGTGGCTAGCGTTTTGCCACGATGCATTGTTTGAAAGATGTTGACTCGCGAGGCTGAAAATTTGACCTGTCGTGGCTTGCCAGTGGGGGCGCTGTTAATTGTGAATCCACCCTATTCATACCTCTGCATATACAATGTGCCAATGACCTATGACCTCATACAGTTCATCTATTCATACTCACATCCGAAGCTCTCCATACTTTGACTGTTCTATCTTGACTGGCTGAATAGATGAGATCAGTCCCACCCCATCGAATGCACGTTACAGATTGAAGATGACCGGACAGTGTTCGTAAGCAAGCACCTCGAACAACATCCCAAATTTTTATATTTCCGTCCTGTATCATCAGGGATAATAAAGGAAAACTTAACTGAAAAATGTGTATGGAATTTACTTCTATCTTTCAACTACAAGACAAAATTTCAGCTGTAAAAAGAGTAATACACAATGGCTGAAATTAATACAAGAATGCAAATCAATTTATTCTTTTGTTGTTTTTCCCATTTCCCTAGGATTTTAGAGTTAACCGTGATGTTAGCACCGGTTGTTTTGATCCTTCTTTTAAATTTTCATGGAGATTTTCAAACAATTCATTTATTAATAACTTCTTTTGATGCTCATCACGAAGGCAGAAAGCAGAATTGTTTCCTTGAATGTGGGTCTAAATCCATTAGGTTAACTTTCCTTATACAAGAGATTCAAAATCCCTTAAAGTGTGCATTACTCTAAGGACTGCACCAGAAAACAATAACAAATAAAGCAACTTAAATTTTGCTTTCAGGGATATAACATATTTGTAGCATCAAGGTTTAGTAGGAAGACCAAGAAGAAAGTTTAGTTACCTTGGATGCTGATGCAAGATGTCTACACTCATGATTGAGATGAAATGGTTGCCATGCCAACCATGTTATCCATTGTTTATGTCCCGTTAATACCTTCCCTTCTTGTTTACCTGTCTCTGGATTCCACACAATGATCTACAAACAAAACAAAAAAACAATCATATAAACAAAGAAAATCATCTTCACAACATTGATAGATTTAATATCCTTGACATCAGAGGTTTAAACAAAGAAGCAATAATTTGATAAGTAGAATGTATCTTAAATGGTCTGAAGTAGCTAGAATCACTCAAGCAACATGTTAACAATTGAGTAGTAAAGATGTGCAAATGATATCATTTTGAGCAAGCAAATTCTGTTGAATTTACTAACGCTATGAACATGACGGACAAAGAAAGCGGACAAAATATACAGTTCCTCATTCTACCCTCAACAATTGCTATGGTAGACAAAGGAACATCCCTTCACTGCTATTATGTAAAAATCTGTAGAACAGGTGTCACATGTATATTCACCTGTTCTACACATTTTTTACATAATAGCAGTAAAGGGATGTTCCTTTGTCTACCATAGCGATTGTTGAGGGTAGAATGAGGAACTGTATATTTTGTCCGCTTTCTTTGTCCGTCATATTCATAGTGTAAGTGCTGTCTTCAGCCGTTGAATGCACTCACCTGACTATTCTTACAGCCTGAAGCTAGCCGTCTACCATCAGGAGACCAAGCTATGCACAGCACCCAGTGCTTATGCCCTATAGGAAATAAAAGCAGAAACACTCTCCATGAAAAGTGAAGTGATCTAAAATCATGGAAAATCAGGTGATTTATTAATGAAGTCCAAACCAATCTCGTGTATCTACAGGTATAGCACAGGAACTAATACACCCATAAGATAATATAATAATATGGTTATTTATATAGCGCCAGTATCCGTCAGGTTCTGACGCTCATGGCGCTTTACACATATTACCCTGGTCGTAGCCGAGCTGCTAAAGTAACTAGCACTCAAGCATATCAGGTAATTGATACATGTTATTGAGTGCATTAGTGAATATGCATTGGCACTGGCATTGACTCTTGAACTCTTCTTATAAAAAGTAACAATGACAGATACAACTGATATTAAACAAGTACATTTTTATAACCTACAAGATATGTTCATGTACCTACATGTAGAATTAAAGGGAATATCTACTTGCCATTTACTTGGCTTTAATACAAACAGACAAATAAGAGAAACAATTTGTGAAATTTTGAGTAATATCCAATTCAAAATAGGAAAGTTATTAAATTTTTAAGTTGTCACCAGCAATTCTGTGACGTATCTTGCAAGATCCTCTCCAATTAGTATGCATTAGGTTTTGATACATTACGAAAATGGTCGAGTGTAAAATACCAAAATGCTAACTGCCTACCTTTACAGGTGTGATGTGGTGTTTCAGTTGTTACATCCCAGAACCTGACAGTTGTATCTCCAGAGCCACTTGCCAAATATCTAGACATAAAATATTCATACACTTTAAGATAACAAAATAATATATCGGTCACTCATATACTTATCATTCAATAGAAAACAAAGATGATGAAAATGCTAAGAGGAGAACAAAAATTGAGTAAAAAGATATAAGAAACTTTTTTCTTCATTTTTCCAAGCAAAATCCTTGTAAATGAATTCTATACCTTCAGACTGGCACAAAGGTCAGATGAGGTCAAGCCACGTTGAAAGAGTGTTGTGATTCGTTTACTCTAAAATGGTTTCTTTTTCTTTTTCAAAAGTTTACAACATTGTGTCTCAACAAGACTTTAAAGGTAGTGAATCCCTTTTTGCAGCCAACATCAAATTTTTTAGGCCTTTGCAGGAATCATGAGTGTGTCATGTATGTCAATCTGTGAAATGTAAACGTTAGCAGTGATCTAGGTATGCAAGGGAAACCGTTTAATCTCTAGACTTTACTGTCACACACTGTTGAGTGACTGCCTGACTGACTTTTTTACATTTGTCTATAACATATATAAAATTAGCTGTAAAGGGTACATTATCATTTGTACACATCGATGACCCACTTCTTATAATGAAAAAAATTAAACTTATCAAGTCTGAAAATCAGACTACCTTCTAGGCATATTTTTGGCAATGCGTGTAAGAAAATTCCAAAAGGTTGATATAATTCAATAAAGAGGCAATTACCAGTTCTAATCTTTTAAGAGGTTTTAGTTGGTATTAAATATCCCTTGTTTACCATATATGATTTACACAATTTTGTATTTTCAGCCTGCAAAAGGGACAGACTGCCTTTAAGAGATGAGAAAAATGAAAGAAAGGAAGCCATAAAACAGAATTATCTCAAATGTAACAGTTTCCAAAATCCAAGAAAGGACATTATTTCCACCTGGGAGGTGTTTCACAAAGATTCTAAGTCAAACTTAACTCTTAGTTGGACTTAAATATTATGGAGAGCCATTTGTAGCCATATTTTGAAATATATTCAAAAGCAAAATTTCAAGTATTTTAGACTTTTCATAAATTCCACATCAAGAACATGAAATCCCCCATGATATTAGAAAATATGAATGATTTGAATCACATTTTATGCCTTTTAAAATAACTTTTACAAAATATTTTCAAGGATGCTAATGGCTTTCCATAACTGTTAAGTCCAACTTACAGATAAGTTCAACTTAGGATCTTTGTGAAACACCCCCCAGAGCAGCTAGAGTTAAATTGTCTCCAGGATTACCTTCCATCTGGACTGAATGCTACTGATATCACTGCTTCTGCGTGTCCTTCTATGGTGCTTGTACATCGGGTGACTGCTCTTACTTTAAACAGAGCCTGAGGTTGATAGACGATTGAGAGCACTTGCTCTGTCTCCTGATCCTCCTTACTTAGACTCTCTGAAAGAGTGGATGTGATCTCCTTCTCATCGACATAGAATGCATATGGTACTGTATCTTCCTGTGTGGAATAAAATAAAAAAGTCTTCACAGTATTTCTTCTTGTGTGGGTTTGAAATCATTAAAAGCTCATCAGTTTGTTTTTTGTGTTGGTATGAAATCATTAAAGGCATCGTTTAACAATGTTAAACCTGAGATGCACGGCTCTACGTGTTATCAGTGTCTGTGATATGGTGTAATATTGAAGCCATAACAAAATTGCGCTTCAAAATGATCAAGAAGTGCCTCATTGATGACTGACAGATGATGTCATAAGGGGAATGAGATCTGAAGGTTTTTTGGGTTGGAGCTTAACAAGTTTGAAAAACAAATATTTCAAAAACTATTTAAAAATCTATGGAAGCAATTCAGAAGTTTACATATCAAAATATGAGATGTATGCAGGACTGCACACCAACAGGAATACATATATTTCAATGTCACGGGCCCTTTAAGAGAGCTAGATTCGTCCCAATGTCCTCTTGTCTGGGTAACACTGAATATGAAATCATTATTTTTTTTAATGAGAACTTCGGTCCCAAAATAAGTTGTGAGTAATAAAAGCAGAAATATCTTAAAAACTGATCGCAAAAAACTAAAACAAAAGTAATGTTTGTGATGGAATTCCTTCACTATTCATTGATTGAAAGCATAATCCTATATTCAATGTTTGCAACTTCATATATCCTGCAAAACTAACGAATAGGGGTGTTTTCATGAGTTTGCTTACCAATAAATTCTGATTTTAATTTTTATAAATCTCCTTACTATCACTTTTCAGGCTTTTGACAGAAAGAGACATTTTAGGTCATACAGGTATGTTAAACAAAATGCTACCCTCAATAAATTGGATTTATGTTTGAGAGAATAGCATCCTTAGAAAAATTAGGAAATGTAAAATATCAAAATTTACACCCCCAAAAATAATGTATACGTTACAAGAAGAAAGTTATCATAACCATACAACAGAGTTGCCTTTTGTCTTGAAAAGAAAGATTTTTTTTTCTAATCACACTAAAAATGTCATAACTTTCTCATTAGTTGTCTGATTTCTTTCAATTTTTTTGAAATATGTTTTTCATATGATATGTATTTATTGAAAGTGATTAATACTGGAGCCAGAGTTGACATGAATGTTGAAAAGTGGCTGACCAGCAGCATGTAGGGGTATCAAGCTGAGTATCAAACAAATATTATCCTTTCAAATTGTAAATGTAGATCTATTCATGTACTAATTTCTTTTTTAAGCTAAATGCCCTTCAATTTCAAGTTAAAAGCATATCACACTAGTGTTTCAATATCTTTTCTGTGGGCAAAGAAAATTTTATAAAACTGAACAACTTATCTGATTCACACAGTGAAAACACACAAACAAATATCACACAAGTGTGTCTAGTATGTCTACAGTATCTTATTAAAGATCTGTTACAAACCTGTTGAAGAATTGCATTGCATATCAACTGTAGTTTTTCTGTTGAGACATCTAGAGGTAGATCAAAAGGAGCTCCTGCAGCCTCTCCTTTTTCACTCACAAACTGAGCAAGAATTCGCTGTCCTTCTTCCATTGTCTACCTGTAATTGGATGAAATACATGTAGATCTAGTGGTTAATATACTAAAGAAATATGACATTACAAGCATCATGAGTAAATTCGATTCCCAAATGATTGTAAACTTCAGTCTTCCTTCCAGCAAAGATTAACAGACAGTGTCTCAGATTTTTTACACTAGTAGTAGTAGTACGACTATCATCAGTATCATACCTCCCCTGCGATAGGGCGGCTCCGGCGCTCCACAAGCATGACAAGGGGAAAGCTGGTGACGTGACCGCTTTGGCGCTTACCTCTAATGACGACTTGTCTTTACTTTTGATGGTAATACCTGACTTATGTGAAGCTGAATCTACGAGAAAAAAAGTAGTAGAAAGGAAGTTTGGAAGTTTTTACCTTTACCGTGGACTTGTAATAATGGAGGTCGGTCGAAGACTCGAGGTTTAACTGTACTAAAGTATTAAAGTACGCCGGTATCGCAGGTCTACATGTATTTGACAACCCACGTGCGTAAGAGAAAAAATAAACAAGACATGTGGATAGAAGAGAAAACAAAAAAAGAAAAATCAGGTATCTTACAACTCGTCCACATTACATATTGGAATAAATTCCTCGATGCGCTCTCTGCAACAAACTAGGCAAAAAATAAAAAACGATAAATTGCAAAGCTTCCTAGAAACCTCATGAGAAATTAAACAATGAGTGAAGTACTGTTCAAGTACAAACTCAAGGTTTTCTATGTTCTCACCAGTACCACATCAAACAAGAAAAAACGACCGGATAATTTCATTAGGTCGACCTCACTACTACCGAACTCCGATTTAAAACGAGGCGGCCGGAGCTCAGCGACAGTGCAGTACGTACGATTCGGATTGAGGTTAAATATAAACGTTATCATGGTTATGGGTTAAAGTTTAAAGATTGCTAAATCTGGAACACGTTAACATCGGGAATGACTTCCAATCAAGAGGAACAACAGGTTCGTTATTGTTATCTATAATATATCCACTCCAACAAAGCATAGAGTCTTAGTTAGACTAGAGTCAATTCTAATGCCAATGTCTTTGCGTATTGACCTCTAAAGTTAGGCTCTAACTTTAGATCTAGACCTACGTGTATTAATAGGCAGCATTTGCACACATGAATAGTCAACAGATGCATACAATGAATACAATGTGGCTGGGGTGGGTTCCTAGAAACCGTCATAAGTCCAACTTCTTGACTATCCCATTGAAACGTGTGTTATAGAATTAACACGCGTTTCAATGGGATAGTCAAGAAGTTAGACTTAGTCTTAGATCTATGACGGTTTCTAGGAACCCGCCCCAGATCGGCAAGTTTGACAAATTGACAGTAGACTCACGATTTGAACTTTTAAATTATTCTTTCTAACATCGGTAAGTTGAAATAATTGTATTTTACTGCTATTTAGGTGTCATCTTTTGTCACTAATAAAGCAGAGCCAGAGGCGCCAAGTTCAATCAAAGATCAGCAATGCCAATGCAATGGCCAATGGCAATGCGTGACATTTTCATGACTTGGCGCGGCGCAAGTGCACAGGCGAGGTTATAACACACGTAAGGTATAGCATTTTTTTCGAAATCTAGCGCGCGTCGTGCGTGATAGCGTTTTCAATTTTGAGTAAAATCAGTTGAGTTTTGTACAGTGGTGTTTGAAATGTTGAGAATCAATAGCACAGCTTTTAATACACGGCCAGGACAGTAATGCAGCTAGACTATGTGTGCAAGCAGCTTTGAATTATTTACAGGACCGGGCCACAAACTTTGCGCATTGAGCGCTGTACAGTGAAGTTACGCGCTCTCATTGGCCGATCCGCTCGAGTGGCTTCGAATTTAAGTGAGAGAGGGCCTACTTAACTTAGTGCAACTTAAGTTCATTGGCAAAGTCAATTGATCTAGACTACGTAATAATATATTACGTGACACCACACATTAAATAGAAAAATCAATGAACATTCCGGTACAACTTGCAAGTTTGTACCTTAAATATGCAGAAAATGAAAATTTGTTTAAAGACCGTCAATACTACTGGGCCAGAAGGGATTAGACCAAACAGCGAGGTCACTGACAGGTAGCTATCTCATTAACTCAGCTCTCAACTAACATTAGAAAAAGAGGATCATGGGGGACTAATAGGTAGCTACAAGTAGGACAGGCTTTAAAGGACAAGTCCAGTCCAAAAATAACTTACGTTCAATAGAAGCAGAAAAATCAGACAAACCAATTTAAGTTTGAGCAAAATTGGATAACTAATAAGAAAGTTATGAATTTTTGAAAAAGTATGTAAAACTATGTAGTCTTAGTTGTAGGAATCTATCCATACGCTTGTTTTTTCGCTTGCCCCAAGGGACCACAAGTTATAACAGTTTGAAAATAGCGTTCCTCCCATTTTTCGGCAAAGTAGGGAGGCGTGAGCAAACACTAGTTTAAACTACATCTACATGTATCTTTTACTTTCTTATAGTGTGTCCACTTTTACAGTGTTTTTTGTACTGATTTTTCTAAATTTTGACCCAAAGCAACTTCTAATCCAGGTTTGATTGTCCTTCTAAAAAGATGACTTAAAATGTTTTTAAAGTCTTCATAGGTGTTTTGAATTTATCATTACTATATAATGTATTAATAATTACAGTATAAATATTCTACAACAAATATTGTGACTTCCTTTTTGCTACACACTGTATTAAGCCTATGATTATCTTGTGCAATTATTGGACTTCATACAAACCTTGTTGTGGCTGTATGCAAGAAAATTCAATGCAAGTTAATTGTAAATAAGTTGTGTATGATTGTCATTCAAATTCTTGTTTCATATTTCAAAGTAGCATTTTGATAATTGTGTTTTACAGGAAGAGAGAGAAGTTCTACTTTCAATCTATGATGGGGATACATGCTTTAAAGAGCTCAATGAAACAACCTATCAGTATAGGGTAAGTATCTTGTTTCAAAGCTGTTTTGTTGCTTTGTTTTCCCTAGATGCTAAAAAAGCTTGGATATCATTGATATGGTGGGGGGGGGGTGTTTCACAAAGATTCTAAGTCGAACTTAACTCTTAGTTGGACTTAAATATTATGGAGAGCCATTCGTAGCCTTATAATGAAATATATTCAAAAGAATTCAAAGCAAAAATTCAAGTATTTTAGACTTTCATATACATGTACCGTATTCCACATCAAGAACTTGAAATCTCCCATGATAATAGAAAATATGAATGATTTGAATCAATATTTTGTAATCAATTATTTTTTACAAATTATTTTCAAGGATGCTAATGGCTTTCCATAATTTTTATGTCCAACTTAGAGATAAGTTCAACTTAGGATATTTGTGAACCCCCCCCCCCCCCCCCCCCCCCCCATGATGTATCAGCAGGGCTCCTAGCTTCTTCACAGAGTCTGGATTTTAATTCACATAGACTTTTTGCAGGAGCCATCTGTTATAAAGTTTAAACTTCTAGGGATCCAAAAATAATACTAACCCTGTAAGTTGGGGCTTTGATCGGATCGGACGATCGGAGCGACATCCTCGCACCTGTGATTGGTATCGGCAAAAATAATCGGCAATTTTTTTTAATGACGAAAATTTTCAAGTTTTTGGCTATCAAATGCTCAACAAAATGTCATGACTGGGTTAAAAAAATTATTACAAAATTCTGCTGATTTTTTTCCGATCATTTTTCTTGATCGGCGATCGGAAATTATTATCCGATCACCCCTGATCGGCTCATGATCAGCCCTCGATCCAATGATCGGTTACAGGCCTAAATAATACAAATGTTGGGACCCTTTAGCGGACACCTGTTAGCGTTGGGCTGTGGTATCTTATGAATAGGGTACTGTCAGCTGAATTCAGCAGTGAATGAACTTGAGATGTAGGTTATTAATCTCACACAGAATGGTGAGAATGAAGTTTACATGTTGTACATTGAGTGAAGGAGGATATCCTTCATTAACCTTTTACACTGTACATTGTAAATCCAGGGGGGTGTTTCACAAAGACTAAGATCGACTTTAAGTTGGACCTAACTATGGCAGGTCATTCATTTCATGCCACTGGTTGCTCTCACCATTGGTCTCTCAATTATGATCTTTAGATAATAATTTTTCCTTAAATACTGAACTATTAAAAATGGTAAATTCTGTAGATTTGTGACCAGGATTTGTACGTCTCTTGAGAAACCAATGCCAGGAATGGTTAGAGGAACTACATGAAGTGGCACGAAAGGCTTGCCATAGTGAAGTTCAACTTAAAGTCGATCTTAGTCTTTGTGAAACACTCCCCTGAAGACTAAAACTTATAGTTAAAGTAAAGGTAGATGATGTTGATGTGCTTTGGATTCCTTTCCAGGTTGGAGAAAATGGAGATCTCAAATCTTTCATGCTTGAAGTGAGTTGGGGTGACGAATATCCTTCAATACCACCAGACATCACCCTAGATGCCTTCTTCAATAATCACATGTAAGATTGTTCCTTCACATTGCACTAAATCTTTCAGCCAAAAATCCCCAGTAAGCGATGTGATGATTGTTGATTAATACCAATTTTTATTTTTTCATTTTTTTTATATAGCGCTTAATACAAATGTCCCTAAGCGCTTTACAAATATACTATTACCCCGGTCATTGGATTCAGTGCTTGCCCGCACACACCGTGTGTACAATTTCCACTTCCTGGGGAGCATTCCAGCCAGGCTTTACTGGACGCTCAAAAACTGCTTTACCAACAATGACGGTCACATCCTACTGGGTACCCATTTAACACCTGGGTGGAGAGTAGCAAGTGCAGGTTAATATCTTGCCAAAGGATATTAGTGCCGTGTCGGGATTCAAACCCACTCGACCACGACACTCCCACAATACCATACCAAAATGCACTTTAACTTTGAACCCAGAAACTTCTGGTTACTAAACAACATCTAAACCACTATGCTATCATGCCTTCTAAAAAGGTTAAAGATCACTTGGGTCAATCAATCTCCAATTTGTCATCCCGGTCCATTCTCATATTTCATTTCATGGTAAAATTGTAGTCTTACAGTGTGCATACTTAAAGGTAAAGACCAGTATTGGAAATGCCTCAATTACATCTTTCTGTGTATAGTGCTTGTAACTTTACCAGGACTGGGCCACTTTTCTTATCATTTTGATGATTCCAGAACCTTGCAGTACACACCAATACTTATATGCTAGATGATCAACCTTTTCTGATCGATTCCACAACGTTTCTTTCACAATGCAATCACATGACCATAACTGGTCTTTATCTTTAAAGCCATGGTCACAACCAGCCATGCACCTATCTGCATCTGCTCTATGAGGGAATTCATACAAAATCCTTGCGGTGGACACACAGGTCTGCCTGTTTTTTTAAGGCATGCAGGAGGTTTTTTCCGACATGACCAATAACCTCTGCCTTTGGCTACTTTTTTGTTTAAAGGTATTACAAAGTTTTGGTATGGGGTCATGAATTTGGTTCAAATGAACATATTGGAAGCATATGCGATCCTACAATATTCAGTAATCGTTGTCGCGTTTGAAATTGAGTCTAATTGTTGTGAAATTGTAAATAATTAACTCTTTATGTTGTATAGCTCCCTCTTAAGGTCAAGATATTAATTAGGCCATAAAACAATGTTTCTTGACTAAAATGACCGATTGGCTATTTCTGTTTCGAAATTATATATCACAACTTCATGGTCGCAGCTACAATTGTAGTTCAGCGCTATTTGAAATTTATCAAAATTTACCGGGAGCACTGGTAAAATTTGGGTATACAATTTTACTCTAAAGCAGAAGTGTTGTAGGGGTTAAATTTTCTAGTGCTTATAATACATCCACAGGGGCATCAAAATATATCAAAATTGTAAAGAATCACTATCCAACCAATTTTCAAAATTTTCCAAAACTTTGTATTACCGGTACCTTTAATGCACTTCACTCTGCAGCCATTCATTTACATTTATTTTTTTCTAATCCATGGTTTCCCACTGCATATCTGAACACAGAAAAGTTAGTCAGACATTGCTTTTTATTTTTCTAAATAATAATTCATATGACTAACAGGGAATTACCTTTCACATGTTGTATTCATCTCTTACCTTTTCTTGCCTTTGCTTGTCTCATTATTATCTTTAGCTCTCAGACTATAAAAGAAAATGTCATCTCCAGAATGAAAGAAGAGGTAACTATGATCCATTTTATTCTTACCATTTTCTATATTAATCAATAAAATGATTTAAAAATGCATGAGCTTAGAACTTACCGATATACATTTTAACAAGGACATAGTTCTGCAGTTCTGTAGTAATTTGTAGTTCTTAATTTAAATTCCTTCTGTGTATAAAAGCCATGTCAATGATTTGGCTTGTACTGTATCTCATCATCAACAAGATCTATAAATTTGTACAAATAACAAAATAGGTAATGTTTGCAGATCTGTGATTTCACTGTAAACATGGGACAAATTGTGGTGATTGTCAGGTAAAAGTATGTGTCCAACCAACTCAAAACATTGTTTTATGTTTAAAGGGATCGTTACAGTGTTAAATCTGAGATGCATGGCCCTACGTGTTATCATTTCTGTGATATGGTGTAATTTTGAAACCCTAAAAAAGTTGCGCTTCAAAATGATCAAGAAGTGCCTCAAAAAAGTAAAAATCTTTGAGTGACTGGTTTTACATGTACCATGCTCGTTTTCACCAATGGACTGTAATGTTATGAAAACCGTTTGGCAAACGGTTTTCAAAATTTGTAATTCCAATCATAAATATTTTGATAATTAGACAGGCGATCGGCTTGTAAAAGTCATTGGGTTCCTGACTGACCTAAAGGCTTATAATTATAATTGCATCATGAGCTAAATCTAGAATTTTGTTTCAGAATCTGAGACAAAGTTACAGGATCCCTTTAATAGTTAAGAAGCTCTATAGGAGGGATTTCTATGTCAAGAGATTAAAAAATGGCTGTTTAGTAGAGTCGGTAGCTGGAAAGCAGTAGACAACAGGTTCATATCTCTCCTGGGGGGTGTTTCATAAAGAGTTCGTAAAGTTACGCATGACTTTACGAATGACTTGTATATGAAGTGCCAGATAGGATGCCCAAAGTTTTTTCTGATATTTCCAATAACCTCAATTAAATTATGGCAAAAAATATACTTTGCATTAGAAATGGTTGTTATAATAAGAATGTTAATCTATATCTGCACAGTTCAACTTAATAAATAATAATCAATAAAGATTGAGCATCCCATTTGGCTTTTCATATACAAGTCGTTCGTAAAGTCATGCGTAACTTTACGAACAGCTTTATGAAACACCCCCCGGGTTTGTTAATTTTGCCCTTTAAATAAAAAATCCTACAGATTATGCAGTTGACCTTTTATACTTGGATAAAGTTGGATTACAGGAACAATGAATGAATTATTTGTTACATCTGTGTATTTATTTCAACCAGAGATTCTTTACTGATGTACAGCCTCATGTATATGAATCTTAAAGTTAAAGTTGAGTTCTTAACATGCAATTGCATTGTGAAAGAAACGGTGCGAAATCGATCAGAAAAAGTTGATCATGTAGCATATAGTATTGCTAGGTTCTGGACTCATCAAAATGATCAGAAATTTGGCCCAGTCTTGGTAAAGTAACAAGCACTGTACACAGAAAGATGTATATGGGACTACACAAAAATGTGGCATAAAAATCGAGCCTCATTTTTAAGCTGATACATGTCATATTTAAAATATGAAGGCCTTTGAGAGCCGGGCTATTCAGGGACATTTTTTCTCTGATGCACTTCCACACTTGCATAATAACGATGATAACGCACACAAATTATTTTTCACCCCTGCCCAGAACTCAACATTCACTTTAAGTTTTAGAAACTCACTTAAAAGTGCATCGCCATGGACGTGACTTGATGTCATACATCTAAAAGGAATCTTGATAGCTAGCTATGTCCTGGTAGTTTCTAAATACAGTTTATGCACTTAAAAATGTTCTCATTCACGTCATAATCACAGGAAAATATATATATATTTTGTTTATCTTACCCTTTGCAGGCAACTCAGTGGCTAGATAGTGCAATGACCTTTACTCTGTTTGAGTTTGCCAAGGAGAATGCAGAGGATTTCATGACAGATCAAGAGGAATCAGCCGTACAAAAGGTATTTATTACTCTCACAATGACACATCAGTTGCTCATGGGTCAAATTTGTATGCTATTTAACCAAAACTCTAGCTTTAACAATGGGCTCATTACTAACCCTATATCTTTGTCAGAATACAGTCCAAAGCAATTTTGGCAGGTGTTGCCAAAATGAAGTGAAACACGCTGTCAATGTTTATGGTTTATAAACTCCATACTTGTAAACAGACAGACCCCTGCCCTGAAAAGATATCATAAACTGCAATGCTTTGCCTCTAATTCCTATGGACCTAAGGTGCAAGATCATAAATAATACATAACATTTATTAGGCGCTTAATACTGATGTTTCTAAGCGCAAAATCATAGTGTGGTGATCTATTGTTTCAAAAGCTGACGAGACATCCAATAATATACTGTATAAGCTGATATTTTCGCGTACAGACGTTTTCGTGAATGACAAGCTAAGAGACATTTTCGCAATTCGTTGCTTTCGCGGATGACACCTCTGCAGTACTTCCGTGAACTCCATGCTACACATACATGTACCTTACACACATAGAATAGTGAAAAACTTTCTCAGGCCAACACATACACACTCAGACTCTGTACACGTAAGTACACACACAAGTTTGAGCAGCCCAGCGCACCACATAATGATAATAATAATAATAATAATAAGATATTTCTTTACTGCAAATTGCAAATTGCCTCTAAGCGGATCAGAAGGGAAATAGTTGAAAGTAAAGGAAACAGAGTTTGCATTACAAATTACATCAATTCAACTAACATTAAAACTTTGCAAATGAAAATAATGCACATAATTACAAAAATTGCTTACAACCAAAATACAAATAGTTCATAAATTAATAGTACCGTATCCTACGTTAATCTTTTTAAAAAATATAAAAGGCAAAAGGTAAACAGGGCTTTTCAGGAACAAGACTTAAAGAGATGTGTTTTTAGCATTGTTTTAAATGTATTTAAAGAACTAGCATTGCGAAAATGAAGGGGGAGATTGTTCCAAAGAAATGCAGCTGCATAAACAAAAGAGCATTGACCGTATTGTTTGTATGAAATATGAAATAGTGTGAGACCGAGAGAGGAGGGATTGAGAAGCAGATCACAAAGTCCGGACAGGAGTATATCAAGGAAGGAGTTCAGAAAGATATGAAGGAGCGCAACCATGATAAGTCTTGACAGTAAGGAGGAGAATTTTGTAAGTGATGCGAGAAGTGATAGGAAGCCAGTGAAGATTTTGAAGAACAGGGGATATGTGAGAAGTACTGCTGTGCTTTGGATACGCTGGAGCTTTGAGGTCATTTTTGCGGGAAGACCAAAGAGAAGGTAATTGCAACAAGCTAGCCTAGATGTGACGAAAGCATGGATAAGACGATGGGCTGCATTCTGGTCGAGAAACCTACAAATTTTTCCTATTTTCCTTATAGCTACAAAAGCAGAATTACAAATGGCATCAACATTTGTAGACATAGTAAGGGAAGAATCCATAACAACACCAAGATTACGGGCCATAACGGATGGCTTAATTACAGACTGCCCAATTCGTAAACTGATTTGTGGGACATGAGAACAAAACTTGGAATGAAAGTGAAGAAATTTGGTTTTAGTAAACTGATTTGTGGGACATGTGAAATTTAGAGAAAGCTTGTTCTGAAATGCCCAAGTTCTAATATCCTTTAAGCAATTTTCCATCTTCTGAACAGCAGAAGAGCGATTTCTAGAATGAAATGTTAGGTACAAATGCACGTCGTCTGCATATGTCATACATGAGATATTGTGAGCCAATATGATATCTTGCAAGGGAGACGTAAACATTATAAAGAGTAATAATAATAGTAATTAACCTTTCTTGTATAGCGCATAACACATAGTATTAAAACATGTCCCTAAGCGCTCTAGAGAAGAAAAAAACAATACAAAGACAAGATGTACTGGGTAACAGACAAAATTTATGAATTAAATGTTAAATAAGTGCATCTTTAAAGCAATCTTAAACTCAACAATGGAGTCAATGTTTTTTTAGTTGTTTTGGGAGATTGTTCCATAAAGTTAAGGCAGTGTGAGCGAAGCTCATCATATGACCTGGTCATCACTGGTGGAATAACAAACAATTTTTTCTTATTAGAACAAAGATTTCTAGAAGGTGTGTACAATGTTAACAGCTCTATCAAATAAGGAGGCACAAAATCATAAAAACATTCATAAGTAACGGGCCGGCGACAGAGCCTTGTGGGACTCTGCACTAAAGATTGTGTTTTTCTGAGGAAACAGAATTGATGGAGACAGACTGAAAACGACCAGTCAAATAATATATAAACCACTGCAAAGCAGTCCCACTTATGCCTAAAAACCGTGAGGATAATCGTTGTCGTGTACTCGTTGAGGATAACCATGAGGCTAATCGTTGTCGGTACTCGTTGCCATGTACCGGTTTAAATGGTTTGTTTTGTTTAGTCTTGATTGAGTAGGTAATTTTTCTTTCTTTTCATTTTTTATCCTTTTCTTTATTCATCATTGTATTTTGTTTCCATCATGTCCATGTCTATTACAGCTGTTCAGCCTTCACTTTCTTGGCATGTATGTCTGAGAATGGTTGTACCACTGGGTGCATTTGGCCGGTGTTATGGTGTCGATGCACTGCACGGCAACCTCTCTCAGGGCGTCGCAACGCCACAATTGCAGGTTGACTCCTGCTCGTCCAGCAGCTATCTTGTCTCCAACTCGCCGTTGCCATTCCGGCAGCGCCAAGGTCCTTTTCATAGCACTCTTAAATGATGAGTGAGCCACTGAGGTCATATTACAAATTTGGCGAGTAAAGAGGGAGGCGCTTTGTTTCGATCAGAGGATTGGCATTGTCAGGGAGCTCAGCTCTCACGAGAGGCCTGGCGTTGTCGTAGATCAAGATGATAGGGGCATCATTAGGGAACATGTCATTGCACTCTGCATCTGTTGCGGCAAAGAACCGCTTGAAACTTGGTCGGGTGACAGTCTCGAAAGCCATATGATGCAAGAGACCAACTGTTGCCGTAATGGTGAATGTGACGTTGCAGTTACGACCCCGTTGCCCGTGAACGACCCTCCTAGAGGGAATACCTTGTGGTGCCCTCCCTTGGGTGCAACGCGTCCAGATGTTATACCCACACTCGTCTATGAAGACACAGTTGGCCCAAACTCTGTGCTTAAGAAACCACTCTGCATACTCTCCTAGTTGTTGGAGGACACGTGCGGCGTTCCTAGCATTGGGTACGTCCTCCGCGAGTTTCAGCGACACAAGCATGGCGTCCTCCGCCCTCGCTATGGTGGTCAGGGACACTTTCGGCTTTTGTGGGAGGTCTTCCCTGAGTTTGTCCTGGAGCGTGAGTAGTGGATTTGTCTCGATGACATATTGAAGAAAGTTGTTCATGTCATCATCTATCTTGGCATTACGTGCCCCACCTCTTGGTAGCTTCTCAACCCTACCGCTGTCCAGGTAGGTGGCTACTACTATGGATCGCACTGTAGACTGCTTTATCGCTAGATTATCTGCCAGTTCTAGATAATCTTGACCGTTTCCTTTGAATGCTTCAACCAAATGACGTCTATCGACATTGGAGATTTCCATGTATTGCACATGAGCTGCCATAATGTAGGATCTGTGTATATAGCTTACAAGTGCTTAGAAGAGATGTCACAAATTGTGCACCTTCCTTCTCTGGGGACAGTTACCTGTGTAAACGAGAGATACATGCTAACAAATCAAAAGCCATTCCTACAACATCAAATGAAAAGCAATGCACAAATATCACATATGTTTGCCTATTCACGAGATTAAATGCTTAAATACATACCACCTTCTGTCCGACTCAAATTTACTAATCAGTTGTTATTCTTTTATGACAGGAAGAAAAAGAAGAAAAAAAAGAGACTGTTCCTTTGGTAGGCAAGATCAAAGAGAGGAAAGAGCAACTCACCAAAAATCAGAAGAGGAAGATTACTGAAAGAACAAGTAAGTTTGCTTCTAAGCAGATCATTTATAGATTCAAACTGAGCTAGCCTTCCCATTCTTTAAGGAAGGGGGTCTATGAATTGAATTTTTGTAGTTGCTGCTACCTTGTTTGGCGTTCAACAATAAGGTGAGAGCAACGTCGATCTGGCGCTGCTCAGGGGCTGCCGGGCTCACGATCAATTGGGCGTAAAGAATTTCCATTTTCCGTCTTAAAATTTGGAGTGGACTTTAAAAGATTATTATTATTATTATTATCATTGTAAATAGCCAAATGATACATCCTAATTAAGTGTAAATGCAATACTAAGAATGGTCATCAAAGAAGTTCAGGAAAGGAGGATGCTGATCCTGGATGAAATGTGAATAAAACAAGACCACTGATCAAATGCAGGTGTGTAGGAGGCAGTTTTACCATCACCTTCATTTCATGTTATTTTTCACCTCTCCTTTTCCATCTATTTGAATTACTTGATGGTCTTATGCCGACAATTATACAATTTCCACACAACTGCGCCAGGAGTGTCATTTTTGACAGACATGGCGCATTATAAATGTTTTCTATTATTATTATTGTTATTTCCATTTCTCTCTGTTGTTCAGTTGAGGGGGGGGGGGCATTATTTCAGAAAGCAGTAGATACCAGAATAGACTGTCAAACTATAAATTTTAATTTCTTTTCTTGTTTTCTTTTCTCCATATAGATTATAAGGGTGAACGACCCAGAGGCTGGGACTGGGTTGATGTCATCAAGCATGTAAGTATCTTTCATGGCATGCGGTTCTATATCTGAAATATTTTTCACTTTTAGAGCAAGGAATTTTAGGTATTTTTGTAATTTGGGTTACCGCTCAAATTTTGGGTGGGTACCCAGGTTCTCGAAAATGATGAATCAAGAAAAAATCATCTAGATCTACTTCTATTGTTAAATCTAAATGTTCCTATAAACATCCTCAAATTTGACTATTAATATCGGCAAAATACCTTTGGATATACATGCATACCTTTGTTAACATTGGAATATCTCATATGAAGATATTTTTTATCCATGTTTGGTGATGTTTATTAATAGTGCCATCCATTATCATGCCTCTGAAAGTAAAAACTGCGGGCAAAAATCGAAAGAGAACATGCGAGCCGCCATTTTGCTTCATGCGGGATGGAAAAATCAAGCTAAAAATGTTAGAATAATAAAACAGCTTTCTAACAAATTCTTTTTCACAACATACCGATCGAAAAATAATTTTTAAAGACAAAATAAATAGTTTTCTTGTATTCTAAACACTGCATGCTTCTTTTAAAATCTGATATTTACTTAGTAATCACAACAAGTTTCGATACTCATCGCTGTTGCACTTGGTGAGTTCGGATTAGTCACGCAAGGAATGTGCATTACACTTCGTCAGCTGTAATGCATTCCGAAACAAACCCAAACAAATATACGTGATTGACCAAGAAATCATTAAAAACTACAAGAGCACAGTCGGAAAGACAACAACTACTCAAAATTAATGTAAGCAGATATATAACTTGGACAAAGAGTTCAATAGTTGTCCACGAAATGCCACAGAAATAGTGATATTTGAGGAGTTACAAGGTACATTTTCATCGGAATGGGCCTGCTGTGAGGTACTGTACTGTTTATCTTGATCATCAGGCTAGAATCCACTATACTGCCCTCTGTTGTAAAAAGCAGTATGACAGTGGATTTGAGCATATTGATTAGATATGTGCAGCAGGCCGCTTGCAATAATAATGTACCCAGTAACACCTCGAATATCACTATTTCTGTAGCTTTTTTTGGACGACTATTTAAATTTTTTGTCCAAGTCATGTATCTGCTTACGTTAATTTTGAGTAGTTGTGGTCTTTTCCAATGTTCTTTCATAGTTATGGTACGATCACGTATACCATTTGTTTGAGCTTGTTTCAGCACACATTATAGCTAATCAAGTGTTCTGCGCATTCTTTCCGTGACTACGTGTTGCGATTACTACATAATTAACAGCTTTTGAAGGAAGCATGCAGTGTTTAGAATAAGAGAAAAAAAAAAAAATTTCTTTAGTAAATTATTTGACTGGTATTTAGTAGGTGTAGATGATTTTTTTAGAAATGTGTTGTATCATTCCAACATAATTTTTTTATGAATTCTGTGTTTCTTTTTCATCCTGTGTAAATCAAAATGGCGGCTCGCATGTCCTCTTTCTACTTTTACATCAGATTTTGACATTTTAAGGCATGATATTAGCACTAAACATTGCCAAACGTGGATGAAAATAATGTAAAATGAGAGAATATACAGAACTAAGCGGAGGTACGCATGTGTTGATTTATTTGATTGCTAAAAAAGATCAATTTTTAAGGGGTGTATTTTTCATTGCCATCCAATTTCAGGAAACGGGTATCAAATTGTTTTTACTTGGGGCTCTCGGGCTGGATCCGTTTTTTAGTCTTTATATACTTTATATATATTTAATATACCTCTCTTTAGTATTTTGAATAAATCTAGTCATCTGATTGGTTGAAATTGGAGTTGTGAATATAACCATGCCCGTAAAGAAACTAACAATTGCCCGTTACCTGGATGAAGGGCAAAAGTTGATGAGAAAGATGCCCGCATACAGTGTAGTTAAATTTTGCGGAGATCCCCGTAGGTTTACGTTTAAAAAGTTTTCCTGTGCGAGGGTAGATACCACATACAGTGCACTGTGTTTGCGATTCCCGAATGATCGTGAATGATCATAACATTCAGGCAACTGTCCGGCGAAGATTTACAGACAGTGTCTCAGATTTTCTGTGATGTTTTAATCATTCTTTACTCAAGAAAAGGATTTTGTGAATTCGGTACATAAAAGATAATATGGACTGCTTTAATATTCAAAAGCATAGCTGTTTCTATACTGGCTCTCGGGGGACGTTACATCTAGCTATGACCCCTCGGCGGGCGGCGCACCTCAGGGTCATGGCAGGATGTAACGTCCCCTTGAGCCTATAGAAACAGCGATGCCTCTCATAGCAGTCAATATATTTATATTAAGTAATGGATGAGACCATTTCCTGTAATTCAATTAACCAGATGTGCATGTGGCCCTTGCAATAACATGGGTTTCAATCAATATAACGTCCTTCAGAGTCTTCATGTAGCATTTCATATGACATTTCATAATTGTGTGCTCTTCCAGTTTGGTGCTCGGATCTGACCTATTTTCATTCTCCATTGCCACGGTACATCTTTATGTTCATAGGCAGACATGAAGATGCTGGCACAATTTTCAATGTTTACTTGCACTTTATAGAGAGGGAGGGGGGATGCCTTCATTCTTGTCACGGTCGATTCTATACAACGTATCGTGTACAACATATCAATTTTTTTCATTTAAGAAATAAAAAACCTTGACACGACCATTGACTGATGGTTCTTTTTGGTATTAAAGAGAAGGTTGAGTTCTGGGAAGAGGTGAAAAATAATTTGTGAGCGTTATCATTCTTATTATGCAAGTATGGAAGAACGTCAGATAAGACATGTTCCCTGAAAAGCATGGCTCTTCAAATGCCTTTATATATATTCTAAATATGTCATGTAACATCATAAAACTCTGGGGTAGGATTTTTACGCCACGTGTTCGTGTAGTCCCATATACATCTTTCTGTGTACAGTGTTTTAACTTTACCAAGACTTGGCCAAATTTCTTATCATTTTGATGATTCCAGAACCTTGCAATACACACAAATTCTTATGTGCTAGATGATCAACCTTTTCTGGTCGATTCCACACCGTTTCTATCACAATGCAATCGCATGACCAGAACTCAACTTCATCTTTAAGTCAATGATCATATCAAGATATTCTTCGTTTTTAGGTGTAGTAAATGACATATGGCACGTATTGCACTGAATCATATATTCATAGCATAGCTTTGTATAAGAGAGAAATTCAATTGAAGCTTGAAATTGACCAGAACCACTCCCTAGAGCACCTGTACACTTCCTCACATACTTTTAGTCTTTAGATTGAATTTATTCTTTAAATTTGTTAGAGAGGATGAATGAATTAATATTTTGAAATTTGTACATTTCACATTGCTGCTAGATGTTAGTCAAGGTTACTTTAGTCAAAAATATAAAACAAAATATCTTTAAAGCCCATAGACTTATAGATTTGGAAAGCCTCCTAGAATTTTCCATCAAATTTCTTTTGATTTTGATGACAAATTGCAATATACTAGCAATTCTAAGCTGCTGTGAAGTCTGTTTCCTCATTAGTGGCATAGAAACATAAGAGAGTTAAAATGTAATTAATATTACTGGCCAGGATGAAAATTACAAAGTATAACCTTTGACCCATATGTGTAAAAACCCTATAGGCAGCTGTGTAGCCGCAATGTTCCCAAGTCTCTGTTATGTTGCAGTCTTGAGAGCTTCCAATGAGGACATAGTGGCCTTGATTTGTCATTCCTTTTAATATTTACACTAAAATTCTTTCTAAACTATGGAGGAATGTATCTCTGTTTTATGTTGAAGTCTGTAACAACAGGATACTATATTTCCATGTAAGTTTTGTTTCTTGCTATTTTAATGAAGTCATTCATGTTTACAACCTTTCTCCTTTATCTTTTCCATTTTTACGCAGTTAAGCAAGTCTGGGTTCACGAAGCCAGAAGATAGCTGACAGTGAACAATTCACAAAGACAATTAGAGATGAGATACAGCTGACCAATCCAGAGCCTTCAATATAAGGATACGTTCAATCAGAAGCTAAACTGGTTGTAGTGCTGCAAATAAAGGAATAAAATAAACCTGACCTGTTTCTTTTCGTATTTACAAGAACTGGATGTGTGAAGACTGTGGTCTCCATGTTAAGGTTTGTAGGTGTAGCGCTCCAGCGCCGTATGTATGCTCTTGCGAAGAGAGAAGTCGACACAAACTTGAAATGGGTGTTCCTCAACCATTTCTCTCTCCTGGCAGATTCTCATGTATTGGGGTTCATTGGAGACTTTTGTAACAGTTTTGCAATGTTCCTGCACCTTGTTCAACAATAGAATGATAATGGAATCTTATTTGTTTTAGGTGTTTCTTTGATTGTTGTTCTTGTTTAGCAACATGTTCATGTGACACTGTTTTTTGTAGGCTGATATTACAGTGCTTAGATCTTGAAGCGATTCGTTGGTCTTCAAGTTCAAGTCTATTTTCCACATGTGGTTCATAAAAAACAAGTATACATACATTGTTCAGACATATAAAAAATGCAAAGTAACACAAAATTAACAAACAATAATGTTAAGAGAAAAAATAGTGAACAAAATCTAATGTCCATTAACACAGAACAACTAAATACATGTAGATATTTTAAAAAACATGTATGGGAACCAGCAAAGACCAGGGGCCTGTCGAGACTTATCTTTAGTACAATAATAGATATTTTTGATATTTTATATATAATTTTTTTTTTTTTTAATTATTTAAAAAAAAAAAAAACAATATGACACTCATAAGAGCGATGTACAGTACATGACAATACAAAATTAATTTGGCAAATTAAACAGGCAAACAAATTTGGGGCACTTTATAGAAGAAGGCAACTGATAGGCTTCACGAGATGGCGGCTTTCATGGAGCAGTCATTGATTTTGTACAGGGTTATGTGTGAACTAATATACAAATATTGACTGCTTTGAGGGGCACAGTATAGCTACTGGTCATGTGACCTAACGACGGTGCTGTGCCAGAAACAAAGTCCGGATGGTCTAGAGAGCACCAAGATGCTATCGGTGTTCGTTTAATATTCTCATCCCATGTTTCAAGTCTCAAAAAGATATGTTAACGAAATATGCCTGTCAAAATGTATTTAGGGGGTAGGAAAAGTTACCTGTTTAAGTTCTTTGCTTGTGTCTCAATGCGTGTGTCCATTATTAACCTCACATGCAACCATTGTATCCTTGCATTGAAGAACTATTCTTTGCTGTACTGCCCAGCAATCAGTAGCAAAATTCCTTTTTTTTTGTAGAAACTGCAAATCTATGTTACATACACGTGGGTTTTTTTAAGGATATACACTGAGATATGTATGGTTTGTTGACTCAGATGAGACTCTAGTATCTTAGTAATTAGATATATTGCATTGTGAGATCTCTATTTACATACATGTATATAGACCAGTTCTTACATGTATTTCTTTATTGTTTACCCAAAGACTTGTCAACCAATGAACTATTGCATTCACCCATTTTGAGTTAGTGTAGATCAATAATCAGCATAGAGGTTTCATAGATTGGTTGTTGTTCTTCTCGGAAAATCTGTAGCAAGCTGTAGGCTTTATCACTGGTAACCAATTAAATGCCTACAATTTTGATACCCTTGTACACCGGTCCATACTATAGTGTGCAACAACAACAATAACAACAACAAAACCCTGGCTTGTATCTGAACTTCTGCCACATGGTGCCTATGTTTCCATTTGTTTGCATTAAAGATAAAGTTGATTTCTGGTCATGCGATTGCATTGTGAAAGAAACATTGTGGAATCGCATGACCAGAACTCAACTTTATCTTTAAGGGAAACAAAAATGTGGTCTTTATAGACAGGTGGTCTTCATGTGCAGGTACCTTTAATACAGGTTTCAATAAGAAATGAAAATGTGATCTTTATAGACAGGTGGTCTTCATGTGCAGGTAACTTAAATACAGATTTCAAAAAGAAATGAAAAAGTGATCTTTATAGACAGGTGGTCTTCATGTGCAGGTACCTTTAATACAGATTTTAAAAAGAAATGAAAATGTGATCTTTATATACAGGTGGTCTTCATGTGCAGGTACCTTTAATACAGATTTCAAAAAGAAATGAAAATTGATCTTTATATACAGGTGGTCTTCATGTGCAGGTACCTTTAATACAGGTTTAAAAAAGAAATGAAAATGTGATCTTTATAGACAGGTGGTCTTCATATTCAGGTACCTTTAATACAGGTATCAATAAGAAATGAAAATGTGATCTTTATAGACAGGTGGTCTTCATATTCAGGTACCTTTAATACAGGTTTCAATAAGAAATGAAAATGTGATCTTTATAGCCAGGTGGTCTTCATATTCAGGTACCTTTAATACAGGTTTCAATAAGAAATGAAAATGTGATCTTTATAGCCAGGTGGTCTTCATATTCAGGTACCTTTAATACAGGTTTCAAGGGAAATGAGAAAGGTTTCAAGAGAAATGAAAATGTGATCTTTATACTAGATAGGTAGTCTTTCTATTAAGAAAAGATGGTTGCCAAAGCAGGTTGTACTGTGTATCACATGTTACACTATCAGTACTCACACATACCATGAATGTTAAAGACCCTATCCAATGAAATAAGAACTGTATATCAATGGAATGAACATAGAACACATGTACATATTTAAAGGAATACAACATATTTTCCCTTTCGGTATTGCACACAAGCAAGTTAAGTTATTTTTAGCACACCCCTCAAAATTATGTGTCAACAGGAGTTGAATTTGCTGCAGTTATGGTGGCGACATTCCATGTGGACCCTATCTGCTCGCCTATATAGCTTAGGCGATGAGCCGTGCTTAATGCAAAGTCATTGTAAATATGCATAATCCACATTAGATGATGTCATCAAATCGATTGCTAGATTTTGGGTCAACAACTTTCAAAGCTTTAGATTTCCAGAGGTGTTACTGCTACTCCTTTGACAGATACTAAAATAGCATATAATTGATTTTATCGTAATCTATGGCTCGTATTAAAGTTTTCCGTTGATATATAATTCATCTATTTACTTTTTCATTTCCGACAGGATTTTTATTTTTACATCTGTGTGCTACCAGTAAAGCACACTTCTAGCTAGAATATATATAATGTACTTGGATATAACCTACCTTGTCTCTCACTCGATATGATTAATTCATCATTTTACCTTTGAACAAAGTTTGTAATATATATTCTGAACATATACTTTATTCTTCTGTTACAAGAAGTTATTCATATTTGAGTATATAACATTAAAGCCTGTCATCAATGATAGTGATCGATAACAGCCACTCCCTTTTTTATGTAAAATAATATTGAAACTGATATTTTTATATTGCTAATGCATTCTGTTGTGATTGCACCTTGCTTATTTTAGATGTTAAAAGAGGATGTTCTCTAATATATATTGTTAATCCATGTCCCTTGTTTTTAATGTAGCAAACACATGAATATAGAATGAGCTACTATTTTCATTGCTTTCTCTTCTTTTCCTGTAACACTTTGGCCTGTTTTTATCATGCATTTTTTTTTTTTGCTGCTCTAGGCAAGGTTCTTTGGTATGTCAGTTGTTGGCAGGACATGTAACCATGAGACAAGTTCATTTATACAAATGTCACATTCAAGAAAAGAAATATTTATTAGCCTTATATTAAATGTTAACATCTGTAATGTTTGATGGAATTAGTTGTACAATAAATCAAACACTACTCTGTGAAATGAATTCAATCACTTTTGTTATGTCCATTGAGTACAAAACGATTGGCCATTTTCGGAATGTAATATCAAATTTAATGCATAAGTCTTTGTTAAGAGCCTCGTTATTAATTATCTAATTCACCTGATACAAATAATAGTATTTAGATAGAATGCAAAAAAAAGTATTACATATTGTTTGGTAGGACAGGCCATAATGTTTGTCTGACCTAGCAACAACTGGGGCTCGTTGCATAAAACTTTCCATTGATGGTAACTTTGCCATCAATAGTAACTTCCATGGAAACCGTGATTTGATTGGCTGTTGAGTGATGTTGCCATGGTAGTTACATCGATGGTAGGTTTTATGCATCGGGCACCTGATGTATGCAATTTGCATTCTGACTATTAACATACAATGATATATAACAGATGAATGTGATATCTTATTGCTAGGTTAATTAAAGGTACTATGTCCCATTTGCAGGCCAAAAAAAATGAAAAAGTTAAATTCCAACTGCATTTGAAAGATAATACTAATTTAGAACTTCCCTAAAAAAGGTGGGGCTTGAAAACGTCTTCAAGTGGGGAAAAAACGACTATCAGTTGTCAAATCGACTTTAGGGCTATAGAGCCCAAAAGTAATAGTCTTGATTTTCAGACAATTGTACCGAATGGTCATACATTTTATGCTGCGCAAAGATTCAATTAGTTTAATCTTGACCATTATAAGAAGTGGTTTATTGATGTAGACAAATGCTCATGTACCCTTTACAACTCTTTTCATGTTTGTTATTACCAAAGAAGAAAAAAAGCTAGTCAGTCACTCAATAGTGTCTGTAAGTGAAGTCTAGCAAGTAAACGGGTTGCCTTGCATAATTTGAATATGAGGACACTGCTAACGTTTAAATTTCACAGATAGGACATACATGACATATTCATAATTCCTGCAAAGTTCTACAGCATTTGAGGTTGGCTGCAAAAGGGACATAGTACCTTTAAATGTTCAAATTTGAATACAATTTGAAAAAGGTCTACCTAATGTTTACACTTTAAAGGTGTCTGTTCAAGAAAAGGGATTATACAAAAATAAAAAATAAAATTTCTACCAGTTATATTTGATTCAATTCAGTTCATATGTTCACAATATTACCAACTTAGTAAGAAAAGATATAAGGGTAAGAGCCACAAAGTAATTGATGCATGACAAAACAAAATAGCAATAGAATTTCATCGTTTTGAAATGATGTTACATGCTACAAATAATTTGTATATACATGTACAGTGGAAACTTGTTACAATTAAGTCCTCCGGACAAAGGATAGTACCTTATTTGATCACAGTTTGTTATATCAGGGGTGTTTTTATTAATAATGGCAAAAACACGTAAAATGCAAAGTGGGACCAGCAAAATTACCTTGTCATATTGAGAGCTTGTTATAACTTCTTTGTAACGAGGTTCCACGGTATAAACTTTACATCAAATAATACCACAAGCACAATACTAAAAACTTTTCCGTTGCTAAGGCATCAACACTAAATTCTTCTAAAATTTTCGCCAGTAATAGGTGATGTTGTGATTGTTGTCATAGTAACAGAATAGCGTCATCAGTTTTATAAATTGATAATTAGAAAGCAACATTTTGAATAATTCTGTCACATTTTGGCGCTGACACCCAACAGTGTTTATAATTCAAAGCACAAATTATCATTTTGGGATAAGTGGTTGAAAATCCAAAATGAACAATAAAAACAAGCTCGTCGTAAATGTCTTCATATAAAATATTATATACCGTTATGAGGTTTACATTTTCGTATTTTCCCCTATTTGAATAACTTAAGAGACGCACAAAGGAAATGCCTCTTTTAACCATTTATTGACTGCATTTCTCCGGTCTTTTCTTTTTTCTTTTCTTTTTCTTCAAGCATTTTCATTTTTTCACAAATGTAGCTCAGGATATTGATTCTTACTCGAGAAAGATCCTTCGTTCATAACCATAGTTAGCAGATAGGTCATGGGACAGAGCATTAGACCGTAAATCAGTAAATACAAAACTTTTGTGTTGCCTTTTTTTAAATCGCTTTGTTGAATACTGAATTATTAATTTATTTACTTTTATATGATATATCATTCAAGTTTTGTGTAAAGTAGAACCAGAAGGTAGATATATAGACTAGGAATACTGTTTAAGTAAGTAGGCTTCGTTCCATATAAGATGGACTTTTTGAATGGTAGAGCATGGGGCAGCTCCATCCATGCCTTGTGGTATGACTATACTTAAATCTGTTTCATTTACAACCAGAAAGTTTTGCAAAATCGTAAGCCGCTAGTTTTCGCGGCAAAATCTGTTCACGAATCGGACAATTATGTAATAACTTATTTATCAGTTAGCGCTATTGGCGTACATTTATGCAAGCAGAAATGTGTAGAAGAAGTATACAGTATGCCTGACAGAGAGAGACAAAGAGTGAGAGACAGAGAGAAAGAAGAGAAGAGTTAGATTGAGAGTGAGGAATTACAGATGCACCACATTGAGGGTGGTAGAGAGAGAGAGAGAGAGAGAGAGAGAGAGAGAGAGAGAGAAGAAAAAAAGAAGAAAAGAGTTAGATTGAGAGTGAGGAATTACAGATGGACCACATTGAGGGTGGTAGAGGGAGAGAGAGAGAGAGTCTTCGTATAGAGATACATGGTGAACTAAATTAATGACGGAAATTTAATAAGGTTAATTGCAACTCAATAAAACAAAAAATTAAAAAAATTATACACAATTTATCCGTTTTCTAGCCTTTATCTATCATGTAATTTTTAACAGATATGAGAGAGACTGAAAACTGATCTGGTTATACACTCTCAGAATCATAACTCCCATTGAGCTTCATATAACCAGCGCAGGTTTTTCCTCGTGTACATTGTCACTATGAAAATGACTGACAATGAGAGCGGACAAAATATACAGTTCCTCAGGTAGACAAAGGAACATCCCTTCACTGCTATTATGTAAAAATGTGTAGAACAGGTGTCACATGCATATTCACCTTTTTACATAATAGCTGTGAAGGGATGTTCCTTTGTCTACCTGAGGAACTGTATATTTTGTCCGCTCTCATTGTCAGTCATGTTCATAGTGTGTAGATTATTCGAACCTTGCTTTAATTCAGCTTCTAAATATGTACTTTGCTATTTACTAAATCATACTATCGCTTGTGGTAGCTAGCTGTGGCGAGATATATAGTCATTGTAACAATTTGTTATATCAATCCCGCCTGATATCATACAGAGACGTGGCTTGAAATTCTTTCTTGAATAAACTTGCCCCGATGTCTGGCGCTATGATGATTTAATTGGCCTGAATCATGCAAACACAATGGAGGTGTTACAGTGATAAATTCTATTGTGGAGCAAAGAAATGATGAAAAGCTATTTCTGGGTCAAATTTCGGTGAAATGCTGGTGTCATGGAGAAGACTTGTACCGTATCGTTCACTGTTGAAGCAGCTGGTATATACCACGTGTCTCCCTAGCTAGACTGAGCCTTGGAAAGTGTTTCAGACAGATGGGAGGTAGCTAGGAGGGACGCCCTGTACAATCATGATTGTGTATATACTTCGTGTAAAATGCTATCCAAAGAAGAAGAAATGTGCATTTTTAGTACAAGCAATCGATTGATATGGTTCTATTTTGAGAATCCTTTTTGGTTTTGTCGCATGATATGATAAATTAGAGCTGCTTCACATGAGTGTGCAATATAATAATTTCACTCATAATTCATTCGTGTAAGTATACCCACACTTTCCATGAAAGCTGCGGTAGAAAATAAAAAATAAAATTTTTCCTTTTTTTTTTTTTTTTTTTTTTTAAAGATTTCTATGATATATAATTTCAAAAGTGATTACATATTCTAATTAATTAAATGCTACGCGTCTATATTTATCGTAAAGTCAAGTGAAGGTGCCTTTCTTGATTTAGCTAAACATATTTTGCTAGGGTGCTTTCTGACTACCAAGGAAAATTCAGATCTAAATTCAAGACTTGTCAGAAGAGGGAGGCGTAATCTTTGAAAACGAGCACAGTGGGAAGCGTGGCGAGGGCAGTAACTTAATTGTTTCTCCTCTCCCTCCTCTTTCTTTCTCTCCCTCCTCCTCCTCACACCCCTTCTCTCCCTCCTCCTTCTTTTATTCTTATTCTATTCTCCTCCTGCCCTTCCTTTTTCAAAAGGACTATGTGCGCAGCCAATTATAAACCATACCCTTGGATATATATACATATGGCATTCATTTTCACATTAGCATTGCAGTTTGTGTTGACATAAATAATGAAGAAAGTTGAGAGCAAAATCATATCTAGATACATTAATTTTATTAAGCTATGTATAGATATTGAGAAACAAGGTAGGAAAGAAAGCTACGTAACCGACCTTTATCGAAACATTTTCTACAGTTTTCAGAGCAAAGTGATTGTATAAAATGGATGCAGAATCATGATTGAATACATATTCCTATCCATTGCATCAACATATTCCATTATTCACCTATTACATTGTCGCTTATATTTGCCTGTATGTTCAACGACAACATCAGCTCCGAATCATGCCAGAGGAACCCAGAGAGGTAGTTAACATCTAGCTGTAGTTTCCATAGCCGAGGTTACCATTATCTACCGTCTTCAAATTGAATTTTTAAGGATGCTGTATATACGAAGGTCCGTCAGCTGCTCAATAGAAGTTAGTATCTACCATCTTCTAATCGAACGAAAGTCCCACCGACCTAGCTTAGTAACAATGACAGATTGGCGAGGCTTTCATTCCAGGAGAAGAGGCAGTTTGATCAGGGACATGTCTAGTAGGTCCATGGTTTGATTAAAGTGAAGCTATGAAGACTTTATCGATGGTAGTGCGGTAAAATCTCAAGCTGACTTGTATTCCTAAGGTAGTTTGTAGGTAGTATCATGAAGATTCTCAGCCGAGTTTGTCGAAAATCGGCAGAACATGGCAGCGATCGTCAGCCCATCTAGAAAACGAAACAAAAACAATCATGACAAGTGGCAGCTCAGAAGTAGGAATGATGGTAAATTTAATGGTAATTATTTATATTAAACTTTATTAGCCGACAATGCTAGGTTGAATTGCACAGCATTTAAAAACAAACATGATCAATCATAGTCATAAAATCAAATAGGACTAAACATCAAGTCATAGACATTATACACGGTGATTAACTTTTCTGACTAAATTGGATAGGCATACATTCGTCAATTTCAATTAAACAACTAGGGACATTTGGTTGAAATATATTACACAATAAAGTAATATTGCAATAGACCGTGAATACATCATGACTACATGTATACCTCAAATATGAAGAGTGATATTAAGACGATTAAGGCGGAGCGTCTTATAAAATAGGGGGACACCAACAACAAAAGGGCACTTTTTGGAAAGAAAAGGGGCACCTACAAACGGAAACATAACAAAACATACACCATTTTAGACATTGTTATATACGCCTACATCGTCATGATTGCAACTACACTACCAGGGATGATATCAATGTTTGTTTCTTTCTTTACGTGTTACAATATACTGCTTTATTAAGCAACATACTTTGCGTTGGGTGTGATGGTCTGAATATTAATTTACGAGCGAGCGAGCAAAAATTCTAAGATTCGTGAGGTCCCAGTGCGATAAATTACATCTTATAAAGATGACAAAAACACACCCTGATGAGACTGAACGGTTCTTTTATAAATAACATAATTATAACATCTATAAATGTGAACGAGCGTAGCGAGCGGGCTCTAGGAAAAATTAAAGAAAGAGGCGCTCTAATTCGCCCTGAATGAGGGGTGCATGTTATGGAGAAAGGAAAAATAGGCACTTATCAAAAGGGAAAAAGGACAGTTATTTGAACAGAAATGGTGCTCGTGTCAAAGTAAAAGGTACACTCGACAGAGATGAAAAAGACACTTGTAAGAATAGAAATGGGGAATCTGTTGAAGGAAAAGGGCTCCTATCAGATTTCAATAGGGGTATTCATCAAATGTTAAAAGGGGCATTTTGAAAAGGGGGAGGGGCTCCTTTAAAAAAAAAGGAAAATGGGCACTTATCCGAAGGAAATGTGGTACTTAATAGAAAGGAAAGGGGCACTTGTCAGAGGTAAAAAGGGGCCTTTAAGAGAAGGGGACGGGGGATCTTATTTAGAAGGGAAAATAACACTGCTAAAAAAGAAAAGGGGCACGAGTCAAAGTTTTAAAAAGGGGGAAAAATATCAAAGGTGAAAGGGGGAATTTCTCGCACCTGAAAAGACTTACTCGCCAGAGATGAAAAGGGCAATTATTAGAAAAGAAAAGGGGCACTTATCCTATGTAAAGAGGGGCTTTCGGGGGATACCTGAAAAAGTGGGGGCACAGTGCCCATCCCCCCCCCCCCACCTCCATCGGGAGGGCCGCATCTGGCATAGTGGGCAAAAGTGAGAGAAAACGCCGGAACTTCATGTCGTTTCAGCAACATTTGTAAATTGCTGGTATCGAATTAGAAATAAACCACGTTTGAATTTTTATTTGGGGGTCAACTGCCTTTTTCTTTTACTGTTCATTTTCAAAGAGAAAGAAAAGTGTGTAAATCATACAGAAAATTATATAGTTAAAGAGAGAGCTAAACAGCAATGCCACGTTGGAAAGAGGAATATTATGATGTATGTATACCTCGACCCAATTAAAACGTAGGCCTACAAAGTATGCATCTCAAACAACCAGCTTGATCAAGGTCTTGTAACTCAGAATGAACCGGGGACACAAAGGGGATGACGTCAAGAACGTATCAAGACCAGACAGTTATTTTATGCGACTGTACATGCAGAGCATTGTTACTTATTTTCATTTCTTAAAATAACAAATCAACATAAAACCACACCGGTAAAAAAAGACGCTTGTCTTATAGTAGCGTGGTGAAGCTATATATATACACACACACTGACGTGACATGGACCTTGTCAAACAGTATAGCACAGCGTTATAACAATACATGAAGGACGTTGATTGGCGCCTACGATACAGCAATACATCCATTGCATGAGACAGTAGGCGGATGGACATCGAATCTCACTATGACTACTGTTACCCGCCAAAAATCAGTCACTTTGGTATATGCTGATTCCTACATTTCGCTGCGAAATTGTCGCTTGTGCTTTCTCTCTGCAAATTATACACGTGCACGTTCATTGTTTGATCTACGTTTTACAAGTAAATTTAGTGCGTCAGATTAATATTACTTAATATAGCAATATGTGACAGTTGACTGCTAAAGGTTAAAGTTCAGGTCAAAAACATAATGGTGTAAATTGAAATGATTATATCATTTAAATACAAGTGTAGGCTGCATGCATTGAATGTTTTTTCAAAAACTTGATCCCCTGTTTTTTATTACATTGTGAGAACATATTGAAGCCTTATTATGATATTGATATCTATTTGACAAAAAACTGAAACTTTACTTCTCAAACAACAATTACCGTTTTGATATCTTTTTGACAAGCAAACTGAAGCAAAACAATATTCTATAAAGCCTAGATATAGTACCCGATTATTCTTCTGAATAGAATTCTATGACATTAAATTGCTGACCTTAGCAGCTTACAAGAAACATCCTAACATGCAATGAGGTCGTTCACAGCAGAAACCTCTCTGATAAAACTAAGACGGCTGAAGTGAACATACCTCTAATAAGCTGATTATACTTATGTATAGATGGAAGTAAACACAGATGAGAGCTAGGGCGATCGAAAAGGGTACACAATTGTTAAAAAATTAATGCGTATTTAGAAAATAAAATAAACTAAGACACTTCTTTACAAACATTACAACCCTCTCCATTCCAATTTCCATAGATTTGGGGCAGACATTTAACATTTTGATGGAAATGAGATTATTTAAGATGACATCTGATATATATATATATTTTTTTTAATAGTTTTTTTTTTGTTGATTCCAAACAATGATAAATTAATTTTTAGAAATAACGTACATTTTTTTTCCTTGACATAATTCAAAACATTTACATCACATACATTGTACAATTGATGAAAACAAAAATGAAATCAGTTGTATCATAAAACAAATAACCCCATCCAACCAAACACACTACTACTACTACTACTACCCCCCCCCCCCTCCCCATCATGCGACACACACTCCACCCGACCACACTTCCACCATACACTGTTCCTAGCCCCCTCAGAATACCCCAAATTGGAGCGACAGACAAAACCGAAACAATCTATTTAAAACATTTAAAACAAAATCATTTAAACGAGGCTACAATAGTCCAGTGTAAAAAAAATTCATGAAAACTTTACTTGTTCCCACTTCTGTAAATGTAAGGCCAATTTACCGGCCCTCCCTGCAATATTCTTTTCTTCTTCCCTAAATTCTAACAGTTCTTTTTGAAACTCCCCCAAAGACAATATTACGGACTTTCCCCGGCATCTATATATCCAATATTTCAATGCAAAAATAATTGTATTAAACATTTTTATTCGTGGGGAGTTACCAGACAACCCTGATATACACCTCGTCCATGAGACCGAACTCATCTAACTCTGATATAAACCTCGTCCATGAGACATAACTCATCTAACTCTGATATTAACCTCGTCCATAAGGCAGAACTCAACTTACTCTAATATAAACCTCGTCCATAAGACAGAACTCATCTAACTCTGATATAAACCTCGTCCATGAGACAGAACTAATCTAACTCTGATATAAACCTCGTCCATGAGACAGAACTAATCTAACTCTGATATAAACCTCGTCCATGAGACAGAACTCATCTAACTCTGATATAAACCTCGTCCATGAGACCGAACTCATCTAACTCTGATACAAACCCCGTCCATAAGACAGAACTCATCTAACTCTGATATAAACCTCGTCCATAAGACAGAACTCATCTAACTCTGATATAAACCTCGTCCATGAGACAGAACTCATCTAACTCTGATATAAACCCCGTCCATAAGACAGAACTCATCTAAATCTGATATAAACCTCGTCCATAAGACAGAACTCATCTAACTCTGATATAAACCTCGTCCATGAGACAGAACTCATCTATCTCTGATATAAACCTCGTCCATGAGACAGAACTCATCTAAATCTGATATAAACCTCGTCCATGAGACAGAACTCATCTAACTCTGATATTAACCTCGTCCATAATGCAGAACTCAACTTACTCTAATATAAACCTCGTCCATAAGACAGAACTCATCTAACTCTGATATAAACCTCGTCCATGAGACAAAACTCATCTAACTCTGATATAAACCTCGTCCATGAGACAGAACTCATCTCACTCTTATATAAACCTCGTCCATGAGACAGAACTCATCTAACTCTGATATAAACCTTGTCCATGAGACCGAACTCATCTAACTCTGATATAAACCTTGTTCATAAGACAGAACTCATCTAACTCTGACATAAACCTCTCCCAGTGGATAACTTTTCAATCAATAATGAAGTTTTCGTTTAGGGGCAGCGTTCAAACACTGTTTCTTATCTTATCGTCTTGACCTGGTAATAAAATAATTTCCATATTGCAACGGCAGTTAATTATTTGTCCAAGTGTACTCGCTACTAACGTGGACGTGATCATATGTCGTATTGATCCGCCTGCAGACGATGGAGCCAGCCAAGGACACCCCGCTGTGTGTCCATGAAACACAGTATACCCAGCATACATATTCCGTTCTTCATTAACATAAGCCCAGTAAATCTAGTGTTCTCGAAGAGTAATTCTATGTTTTAACACACGGGAATTTCTGT